CAGGTTTGCAGTGGTTAGTCGGTGGTGATGTATGTACACTAGCTGTAGTTGTGTTTTGGACCTAGTTTGCAGTGGTTAGTCGGTGGTGATGTATGTACACTAGCTGTAGTTGTGTTTTGGACCAGGTTTGCAGTGGTTAGTCGGTGGTGATGTATGTACACTAGCTGTAGTTGTGTTTTGGACCAGGTTTGCAGTGGTTAGTCGGTGGTGATGTATGTACACTAGCTGTAGTTGTGTTTTGGACCAGGTTTGCAGTGGTTAGTCGGTGGTGATGTATGTACACTAGCTGTAGTTGTGTTTAGGACCTAGTTTGCAGTGGTTAGTCGGTGGTGATGTATGTACACTAGCTGTAGTTGTGTTTTGGACCTAGTTTGCAGCGGTTAGTCGGTGGTGATGTATGTACACTAGCTGTAGTTGTGTTTAGGACCTAGTTTGCAGTGGTTAGTCGGTGGTGATGTATGTACACTAGTTGTAGTTGTGTTTAGGACCTAGTTTGCAGTGGTTAGTCGGTGGTGATGTATGTACACTAGCTGTAGTTGTGTTTTGGACCTGTTTGCAGTGGTTAGTCGGTGGTGATGCATGTACACTAGCTGTAGTTGTGTTTAGGACCTAGTTTGCAGTGGTTAGTCGGTGGTGATGTATGTACACTAGCTGTAGTTGTGTTTAGGACCTAGTTTGCAGTGGTTAGTCGGTGGTGATGTATGTACACTAGCTGTAGTTGTGTTTTGGACCAGGTTTGCAGTGGTTAGTCGGTGGTGATGTATGTACACTAGCTGTAGTTGTGTTTAGGACCTAGTTTGCAGTGGTTAGTCGGTGGTGATGTATGTACACTAGCTGTAGTTGTGTTTAGGACCTAGTTTGCAGTGGTTAGTCGGTGGTGATGTATGTACACTAGCTGTAGTTGTGTTTTGGACCAGGTTTGCAGTGGTTAGTCGGTGGTGATGTATGTACACTAGCTGTAGTTGTGTTTTGGACCAGGTTTGCAGTGGTTAGTCGGTGGTGATGTATGTACACTAGCTGTAGTTGTGTTTAGGACCTAGTTTGCAGTGGTTAGTCGGTGGTGATGTATGTACACTAGCTGTAGTTGTGTTTAGGACCTAGTTTGCAGTGGTTAGTCGGTGGTGATGTATGTACACTAGCTGTAGTTGTGTTTTGGACCTAGTTTGCAGTGGTTAGTCGGTGGTGATGTATGTACACTAGCTGTAGTTGTGTTTTGGACCAGGTTTGCAGTGGTTAGTCGGTGGTGATGTATGTACACTAGCTGTAGTTGTGTTTAGGACCTAGTTTGCAGTGGTTAGTCGGTGGTGATGTATGTACACTAGCTGTAGTTGTGTTTAGGACCTAGTTTGCAGTGGTTAGTCGGTGGTGATGTATGTACACTAGCTGTAGTTGTGTTTTGGACCAGGTTTGCAGTGGTTAGTCGGTGGTGATGTATGTACACTAGCTGTAGTTGTGTTTAGGACCTAGTTTGCAGTGGTTAGTCGGTGGTGATGTATGTACACTAGCTGTAGTTGTGTTTAGGACCTAGTTTGCAGTGGTTAGTCGGTGGTGATGTATGTACACTAGCTGTAGTTGTGTTTTGGACCAGGTTTGCAGTGGTTAGTCGGTGGTGATGTATGTACACTAGCTGTAGTTGTGTTTTGGACCAGGTTTGCAGTGGTTAGTCGGTGGTGATGTATGTACACTAGCTGTAGTTGTGTTTTGGACCTAGTTTGCAGTGGTTAGTCGGTGGTGATGTATGTACACTAGCTGTAGTTGTGTTTAGGACCTAGTTTGCAGTGGTTGGTCGGTGGTGATGTATGTACACTAGCTGTAGTTGTGTTTAGGACCTAGTTTGCAGTGGTTAGTCGGTGGTGATGTATGTACACTAGCTGTAGTTGTGTTTTGGACCTAGTTTGCAGTGGTTAGTCGGTGGTGATGTATGTACACTAGCTGTAGTTGTGTTTAGGACCTAGTTTGCAGCGGTTAGTCGGTGGTGATGTATGTACACTAGCTGTAGTTGTGTTTAGGACCTAGTTTGCAGTGGTTAGTCGGTGGTGATGTATGTACACTAGCTGTAGTTGTGTTTTGGACCTAGTTTGCAGTGGTTAGTCGGTGGTGATGTATGTACACTAGCTGTAGTTGTGTTTTGGACCTAGTTTGCAGTGGTTAGTCGGTGGTGATGTATGTACACTAGCTGTAGTTGTGTTTTGGACCTAGTTTGCAGTGGTTAGTCGGTGGTGATGTATGTACACTAGCTGTAGTTGTGTTTTGGACCTAGTTTGCAGTGGTTAGTCGGTGGTGATGTATGTACACTAGCTGTAGTTGTGTTTAGGACCTAGTTTGCAGTGGTTAGTCGGTGGTGATGTATGTACACTAGCTGTAGTTGTGTTTAGGACCTAGTTTGCAGTGGTTAGTCGGTGGTGATGTATGTACACTAGCTGTAGTTGTGTTTAGGACCTAGTTTGCAGTGGTTAGTCGGTGGTGATGTATGTACACTAGCTGTAGTTGTGTTTAGGACCTAGTTTTGCAGTGGTTAGTCGGTGGTGATGTATGTACACTAGCTGTAGTTGTGTTTAGGACCTAGTTTTGCAGTGGTTAGTCGGTGGTGATGTATGTACACTAGCTGTAGTTGTGTTTAGGACCTAGTTTTGCAGTGGTTAGTCGGTGGTGATGTATGTACACTAGCTGTAGTTGTGTTTAGGACCTAGTTTTGCAGTGGTTAGTCGGTGGTGATGTATGTACACTAGCTGTAGTTGTGTTTAGGACCTAGTTTGCAGTGGTTAGTCGGTGGTGATGTATGTACACTAGCTGTAGTTGTGTTTTGGACCTAGTTTGCAGTGGTTAGTCGGTGGTGATGTATGTACACTAGCTGTAGTTGTGTTTAGGACCTAGTTTGCAGTGGTTAGTCGGTGGTGATGTATGTACACTAGCTGTAGTTGTGTTTAGGACCTAGTTTGCAGTGGTTAGTCGGTGGTGATGTATGTACACTAGCTGTAGTTGTGTTTTGGACCTAGTTTGCAGTGGTTAGTCCGTGGTGATGTATGTACACTAGCTGTAGTTGTGTTTAGGACCTAGTTTGCAGTGGTTAGTCGGTGGTGATGTATGTACACTAGCTGTAGTTGTGTTTAGGACCTAGTTTGCAGTGGTTAGTCGGTGGTGATGTATGTACACTAGCTGTAGTTGTGTTTAGGACCTAGTTTGCAGTGGTTAGTCGGTGGTGATGTATGTACACTAGCTGTAGTTGTGTTTAGGACCTAGTTTTGCAGTGGTTAGTCGGTGGTGATGTATGTACACTAGCTGTAGTTGTGTTTAGGACCTAGTTTCGCAGTGTTCAGGTGACTGGTCTCAGGGGGTAACATTTTGATAACATTTATTAATGTTTGGTCAAATCCAATTTTCAAGAGTATACCTTCTTTTGCCAAGCATTTTAGTTATATAGAAAAAACATTAAAAGTATTTCGTTTAAATTTCAAAAATATTTATATGTTACATTTTAAGAAAGAGAGTTTTGTTACTGAACCTGATGCGAACTTTACTAATGTATATTATAAGTTTATTATATAATCATATTTCTAGGGACGCATACATACAGATTGTAATTTGTATCATGTTATACTGTACTAACATGGAAACTGCTTCAATCTAGATACAGTTGAGAATCCATGCACCTTTAAATCATGTACAGGAAATATAGGAATATACAACAGAACGAGTTATTTAACCTCTTCATACACGCGTAGCAAACCACAGTGACATTATAAGGTTGATTTTGTGTGGAAAACCCCATTAATAATGAACAGATAAAAAATATCATGCAATTTTCCTGCAAATTAAGTTAATGTATCGACGTAGCATAAATTTAATTATCAAATTATTCCACTCTGTTTTTGTTTTTGTTGTTAACACATCCGCAATCAATTCATTATACAGTGCAATTGGAGAATTTTAATAGGGAAGAATTAATAATAAATACATTTAGCTTGCTTAGCGCATTTACATCTATTCTCTCCTTGTGCGAGCATGTATGACTTTCGTCAACTAATTATCAGTGCCCGTTCAGTGTGAACGCGTACTCCAATGAAGCGAGATCGATGAATTCTTTATTGTACAAAACATATTTAATATGCATATCACATAGAGGACGACCTCGTGTGTAAAATATGTTAGTGCATAAAATTCAAATATGAAAATTAAGGGGAGACTGTAGGCTCGGATCAATTGGACGGCCTAGCGATTTTGATTCAAGCCCGTTTCGTGTCTGTTTTTCATACTTTATGGCGTATATCAACCTAGCAGTCGTTGAATTCCCTAAATACAAAGGGTATATGTCTCAGTTTGTCACAAGTCACTAATTGAATGTCTAAACCTACACGAGTCTCTTTCACAGCCCTCTAGAGCTTATATTTAAACATTCACACCCATTCCACTCGCACCCCTTTCTCAGCTCTAGCAGGCCATGACATTAAGACCCTTTTGGTTCCTTAATATATGAGACTTTCTTTGTAGAATTATGTTTATTTGACCTTATTCTTAACTCAATTCGGGTACTATATTTTAGTCTAGACCAAGACCGAAAATGGGTGAAAACATAAGAATTATTTTTGCACCTGAAATAACAGTGAATCAATGTTAATATGTCTTGGTGGAAGGGATAAATCTGGGTTTTTTAATATATTTCCTTTCAATCATCCGTGTGCATTGCACATGCCAATTGTATCACAGGAGAATTTATTGTTTTGATCACATATTTCAAAGTGTTTCAGCTGTCAAAATCAATCAAACTAATCGAGTTTGCCTTTCATTTCTTTCTTGTGCGTGCGTCCATATAGGATCATAGAGGAACTAAATAGTTCGATTCTTCAACTGATGAAATGCATTTTCAAACTGCATATAGATCGCATCGATTACGTTATTATTTCAAAAGATCACACTTTAGACATTGTAGAAAATGACAGTTCGGAGGCAGTCTCACGTGCTCCCATGGTAACGCTGACCACCACGTGACTAAGCATCGAGATCGATGGCTAAAGCAACGTCGAGTCTTGGAATGAGCTCATTAATAATTCAATCTGAAAAGCAGGAAACAAAATGGCGTGAGGCAGCGTAGTACGGTTGTATCATAAGCTGTTTCGGGGCTGTTGGCTGACAGTCCGCCTGTCCACCTGGCCGTCCGCTTGTCCACAAGGACACGAGATGGATAACTACACATTCTCTTTCTCCACGCCAAGCTGGCCAAACAAGGTCCGAGCATTTCTCGCTCAATTCTCCGATTTCTTCAGCGCTTTCGCCAAGCATATAGCGCCCTCGTATCACCATGACCGTTGCGAAAGGTAAGAACACCCGGTTTTGTTGATAGTAAATGTACCCTGTCGTCAGCATGTTGTAGAGTTAACTATTTTTCTTCGTTTAGATGGAAAACAATATCCACAATGGTCCATACACAAAGGGAATGATTACACTGGGTATGCATCTTGAATATATTGGCATTGTGCCAGGGGGTATATGTTATTGGGGTATATATATTATATAATATTTATTATATATTTATTTGACCATGTTGACGTTGGGCATAGTTTATTGTGTACCATAGTACTATATATGGGATGCCTCTTTGTAGGAATGACATCATTTATACTTTATATATATATTTAGCCTAGTATGTGTCATTATATGTTGATGCAAACCGGTCCATCGTATACATATATTGTGCGTGTGCGTGCGTGAAGGTAAAAAGGAAGTGCTATCTTTGCAATATCAAAACAAAATAAAGTCACTGAGAATTAATACAGAGGATTCTTCTTCAATAGATTTTTTCATGTATTCACACATTTATGCTCGGGAGTGTGCACGCTCGTGTGCATGCCAAACACAACAGACCATGGAAGGAAGAAATCATAGTTTACCCAGACGTCACATCCCTACATGACGTCATCATATGACGTGACGTGATAATGTGTACTTTGGATATTGCGGGAAACTGTATCACACAAGATGTAAACAACTATAAGGAGAATACACTACTCTATATGTATATGCGTATACTCTACATGGTGCCATATCTTTATTTAGTGATACAGGTATGTTTTATAGTTTAACCATTACAACTGAGCACATACTCTTTAGCTTTTGTGCTTTGTATATTCCATTATGTTGTTGATACGCCCTGAAGCACTTCATTGTATTTACAACAGGACCTTATTCCACATCTGCCAGAGGAGAGGTGTCAACTATTGTTCTGTACAAGGTGTCATCGCAAGGCCGAGATTCGGGTTAATTAATTCCATTGTATGCCCCTGCTGATAACAATACCCTAAATCCTTGTAAACATAATGATGTCATTTTCGTAGTCATTCAATCAATATGTATTGTTCCAGAGCCAACTGACCTAAAATTCGTACTGTCATAAATTATATCAGTACAATTAATTGTGTTGTAATAATAACAATAATAATTGTTATTATTACAACACAATTAATTTAACAATAATAATTGGTATCATTCCATTTTCGTAGTGCACATATGATATTAACGAATTCAAAGAACTTGATCGGGTAGATCTATGTGAACTAAAAGACACTATTTATGGATAACAACTTCTTTGATATACTAAACTAGCGAGTTATATGACTATTCCGTGTCTATCTTGTCATCCGTCAACTTCTAAGAAATGCCAATCAAGCAGATCATCCCAACTATGGTATATAGGAAATAATACATTGTCTAAAACATAATGAGTGAGTGAATGGGTTGGACTTTACGTCGCTTTTAGCAATATCCCAGCAATATCACGGCGGGAGACACCAGAAATGGGCTTCACACATTGTACCAAGGTGGGGTGTCAAACCGGGGCTTTGACGTGAGAAGCGAACGCTTTCACCACAGGGCTAAGCTTCCCCACCCCCTCTACAATTAACATGTCTTTGGGAACGCAATATGACTTCGATGGTTGCGAGTGATGGGTTGATTTCGAAATTTAGCTTATCATTAAAAAACCTTACAATTTGTTATGTCGGTTTCTTTCGATTGTCGATCTATAACCGTGAACCGCATTTGCTGTTCTAGATTCTAGGTTCGTACGTGATATATCACATATTCCAAAACTTAAAGCTTAATCAAAGGATTTTTCATCGCTTTAAAACATTGATATATCAACATCAAACATGTTTCAATCAAAAGATATGCCATTATACGGCCCACGTTTCAGGGGGACAGTCTTGATAATGATTCATAATCAACAGCTCATCGATTTACAAACTCGCGTCGTCTGCTGTCACGTGGAACTTACACATTTCCGGTTGAAGGGCGCATGCGTCAAAAGAAATTGGTGTTGCAAAACAAAACATGCCAACATGGCACGTGAAATTGAATCGTAAGTTCAGTGTTATGCATTGTTTTTTAATTACATACGGTGTTTGCATATATTGATAATATCTAGTCTGGCACGAGAACTCATAATTAGACCATTACGTTGTTTCCCGTACAGGCGAAGGAAACGTCCCCTTTTTTCGTGGTACTGGTTTCTGCACAAATTCGTCGTTTCCATTTGACAAAAGATGCATGTGGTCTTACGTGTAATTTATTTGTGACATTAAGGATAGAGTTGTTAGTGTATTAGTGTAGATAGATCAATGATCATCTGTTATATGTCGATCTACTGTAATCACACTTGGGAATCAGAAATCCTATGTGTCACTGCCATGACTGGTAGGTCGTTGTCGAGACGAGTACTACAGATATCCCCGTGGTATGAGTTTTCGGACGCTTTAGAAACATTTGTAATTTTCTCCTAAATCAAAATAAAAACTGTAAAACATCTCACTCACATAAAAGACGACTTTATCTTAAATAAAACATGTCATCACCTGAGTATTTACAATGTCTGCATGTGATGCCACACCCCTTGTTATAGCGCGAGTAATCTCTGATTGTATGATCTGACGATATGTACCCTAGGTGCGTTTCAGTATACAGAAATATACACTAGCCAGAATCCAGACACTTATCCTAGGATGAGTCCATTCCGCATGGCACAGAGTGTTTAACCGGTTCCTTGAACATTTATGCACTCAGTCGCTATTTGTCCAGTGACCTGAAAAGGCTGTGTCCATTGTCAGTTTGTATGTACAGTTGTATATACTTTCATTTAGGGGTTGTAATAATACCTTTTTTACCCACAACGTAATGGATTTGTAACCTGCACCGTCAGTTTGCCTCCTGAGAGTTTCCAGGTCTTGGTCCTGCCCTACCCTGAAGCACTTGTAGCACAAGTGTTGTCACTTTAGGCAACCTCTGTTCATACAGCATTGAGTGCCACTGAGTGGGTACCAGGTAGGATGAGATGGTTATGTAACTATTAGCCTCCTCACAGGCAGCATTGGTTGTATACTCCCCAGGAAGCTGAGAATGAAAATCAAGCACACACTCATTAATTGAACATAATAATGTAGTGCCGTGAGCATTCAAATGGAATTTGGCATATTATAAATGGACTTATTATTAAAGCATGATACTCAAGTCTCAGTGATGTACAACTTAAAGTGAGTGAGTATGGTTTTATGCCGCTTTTAGCAATATTCCAGCAATATCATGGCGGGGGACACCAGAAATGGGCTTCACACATTGTACCCATGTCAGGAATAGAACCCGGGTCTTCGGTGTGACGAGCGAACACTTTAACCACTAGGCTAACCGACCACCCCTTTACAACTTCAGCGTTAGAAATTGGCACTGGTCCTGTAGTCCTTACCAAACTGCCCCATAGTAAAGGTATCCTAAGAACTAGTAGAAATTGGCCTGTTTTAAGGGTTTTGCTATATGTTATCATTATAAGGACTAGTGGACAAAAACTGTTAGTTTCTAACCCTGAACTTAGAACTATTATTAGAGTCACAAACTACTTACCTGCATTATCTTAATCAATAATCATTAAATCTGTGTATTTAAGCCGTTACAGGCGTCTTTGTCGTTGTAATAGCAAATGTGAGGTTAGCAGGTATCTATTGATTCCCCCTGGCAGCAGCTGTAACTGCACCTACAGCTCAGTATGTTGGAGGGAGTGTGGTTTTACGCTGCTTTTATCAATATTTAAATAGTCTACCCGACCGCCCCTGATACAAGAGGAAGTCACACAACATGCACTATGCTATTAAGCAAGGGTGGTGGAGTAGCCTAGTGGTTAATATATTCACCTGTCAAGCCGAAGACCGGGGTTCGATTCCCCACATGGGTACAATGTGTGAAGCCCCTTTCTGCTGTCCCCCGCCATGATATTGCTAGAATATTGCTAAAAGCAGCATAAAACCATACTCACCCGCTCATAAAAATCATATATTTTGGTCCAAGACAAAACTTTTCTGTGTGGTGGTCTAGGGAAACATGCTAAATTCTTGGTACAAGTGAACGAAGCACACAGACAAGCATATCTGACTTCTGAATCTCGGAAAAGCAAAAAAAATGGGGACTGCCAAAAAATAAGGTCGTGTTGTGGATATGTTTTCAGGGCATCTACTGCTAAACTTGCTAAAAGGGTATACAGTTTAGGGAATGTTTTCTACTGTACAAATGGAAATGTCCGAATCAAGGTGGTAGAGAAATGAAGCCAAATCATTTTGAAAAGCTAACATCTGATTGGCTCAAGAACCCATGTGCCCTTCATTTTAATTGTTCCGTCAAAGTTTGTTCAGGTTTCACCTGATGTGGTCTTCTGTGGGGGTGTCTTTACATTTGACGCAGAGAAGTTTTGTTGAATATGAGACAGTCACTGTAGCAGAAGGATAGGCAATTTTCTGAAGTTTGTCCACTGGCCTGTATTAACATTAAGGGTATTTACCAATTTCTGTGATAATTATTTCTAAAATATGTATGATTTAGTCTAACTGTTGATTGAAAAAAGATGGGTCTAGGGTACATTATATTGTGCTAGCTGCGCTTAACTACAGCTCCATATACACATTGTACTATAGACATGATAAAGGCGAGGGAAATTACTCATTATTAAATTATAGTTCTATAAATACATGTAATGGTATTTAACTTACTTAAATATTTTACCCACATATGGATCAAACATACTGCTATGAGAAAACATGATAATTTCTATATGTTAGAGTGTTATGTTATACGTTTTGTTTGATAATGCCCTATTTTGGACATTTTTTTACTTTTAGTCTACAGGGTATTCTCGCATTTGTTAGGGCGATAGATTGACTTAACATGCTTATCAGTGTTCCCGCTGGCTTTTGAAACTGCCAGTCACTATGCTTGACTCACAACACCTGACTCACAATACTTGACTCCCAGTACCTGACTCACAATACCTGACTCACAGTACCTGACTCACAATACTTGACTCACAGTTACTGACTGACAATACGTGATTCACAGTACCTTACTCACAATACTTGACTCACAGTACCTGACTCACAATACTTGACTCACAGTTACTAACTCACGTGATTCACAACACCTGACTCACAATACTTGACTCTCAGTACCAGACTCACAATACTTGACTCCCAGTACCTGATTCACAACACTTGACTCACAGTATCTGATTCACAACACTTGACTCACAATACTTGACTCACAATACCAGACTTACAATACTTGACTCACAGTACCATACTCCTAATACTTGACTCACAGTACCTGACTCACAATACTTGATTCAGTGTACCTGAATCACAATGCTTAATTCACAGTTCCTGACTCCAAGTACTTCACTCACAGTACCTGACTCACAGTACCTGACTCACAATATTTGACTCACAGTACCTGACTCACAGTACGTGACTCACATTACCTGACTCACAGTACTTGACTCACAGTACTTGACTCACAGTACCTGACTCACAGTACTTGACTCACAACACTTTGACTCAAAACTCTCAACTCACAACTCTTGACTCCCCATACTTGATGTTTCAGGTCAGTCCAGATGCGACTGTATGCTCTCAACAAGAGGCAGTTTGTTCTGGTGTTCATCTCGCTCTTTGTGTGCTTCGGTATCAGCATCCTCATCGGTATAGCTGGGCCACCCATCACGGACAATGTCACCAAGGACAGTGCCTCCCTCATCCCGAGACCCAATGACACAAAGGTAACACTCCTACAGCATGTACCTTTACACGCACTTAATGCAGCTACTGTGTCCTGTAATGAGAGACTGGTAGTTTCAAAATCCTGCTGATAGGCCATTAAACATGTTTGGAATTTCTGTATATGGTCAAAAAGGAACATCACAATGTATGCATGATTTTTCATCTGGAAATTTGCAGTCTGGATGAATTCACCAGTTCAATACTGCATCCATTTTTGTTTATTTGTTGTTTAATGCCACGCTGGACAATATTCAAGCTGTATGGCAGCAGTTTGTAAATAATCTGGACCAGACATTCCATTGGTTGATGTGAACTCGATCGACCTGATCTCGTTAGTCACTTTATGACAAGCATGGGTTGCTGAATACCAATTCTAGCCCAGATCTTCACAGGGGTACCTTTATTAGAGGAGGACTAGGCTCTGACCAATGGGCAGTTTCAAGAAGTTAGATTCAAGTCCCTTCTCGTGCGACACTTCTTTGTTTGCTACCTCAGATGTTTCACATGTATTGTCATAGTTCAGGGCTTTACAAGTATGTCTATTTTGAGTCATGCCGAAACAATTACTGATGTCACATGGTCACATCATCATGATCATTGCACATACTGAGAAGTATTTAGTAGGGGTGACAGTTGGTCTGGAAATCACTTTTGCCAGGGTTAGAAACTAACAGTTTTTCTCCACTAGTCCTTATAATGATAACATATACCAAAAACCCTTAAAATGGGCCAATTTCTACTAGTCCTTAGGATACCTTTACTATTGGGCAGTTTGGTAAGGACTACAGGACTAGTGCCAATAACTATTGATATTGCAAGCAACTATTGCGATAAATATCAATAGTTTTCAGTGTATCATTTTAGATGGATTTTAGAGTTGAATTAAACCTTGGAACTGAAGTTTCCTTTGAATGTGATAACCACAACAACAAATAAAAAGTAAAGTTTGAGATGACTGATTTGTTTTTTCTTAAGTCTAATAATTTTAGAAAAAGAAACTTACACATTATTGTGGATTAATTACTACCACTCATGATCAAAAGAAAAACAAATTTGAACAGCATTGCATATATGTTATTGATATGGTAAATATAATCGAAACTATCGAAACTGAAATCAATACTATTGATTGGAAACTGATTTAACAATCGATTTATTAACTTTAAGTGCTTATCAATAGCAATATATCGATATTTCAATTTATCATGACACCCCTAGTATTAAGCCTATTATTTGGGGACTTCAGTGTTCAACCACTGACACTCTGAACATGCTGCGGGGGCACGGTTGGCCCAGTCGTCTAAGGCGCCGCGATTCGCTGTGCAGAGTTGCGTCCCTTGGACAAGCCAGAAACCTATGATTGTGGGTTCGAATCCCGGTTCGCCCCAATTATGTTTCTAGGTTTGTCAGCACCATACCCGTGCTCGTGGGTTTCACCGAAGTGGTAAACGTCTGAGACCTGCATCACTTCGGGCTTTCCTCCCACATTAAGCTGACACTCCGCGATATAACTGGAATACTGTTAAACCAAACTCATTAACTCACTCACTGAACATGCTGCTGAACTCAGAGTGCCGTTTGTATCAATAGGATGCAATATAGTGGTCACACTACGAGGCCCACGATACAATACCTTGATTTACAACTTCTGTATCATGGTAAATAAGATTCATTACAAGTTATATTGGCTGAAAAACATGTGAATAATAACAGAAACTTTCAACCACCAGTTTACGCAGATTCTCTAGTATTTCATGGTTGGACAAAAAACCTTCACAGTGCCCTCTGGCTAATATGTTTCTGCCCTACAATATCCCATCTTTGATCGCTGAAATTTACAAAAAAAGGATTTAGGGTTCTGATTCATCTGCAAAATGAAAGAATATCAACTTGTGTAATAAAAGTACAGTATCTGGAAACGAATCGGATCACACCAACAGTATCAGGATATATATGGTATCATCACCCCAATTAATGATTACCGTCTTTACATAGAGACATAGGCCTCGTATCAAACATCATGTACAGACTCGTGAAGATCCGGGGTAGAATAGGTCTTCACAACCCATGCTTGCCCTAAAAGGCGACTATGCTTGTCGTAAGAGGCAACTAACAGGATGGGGTGGTCAGGCTCTCTAACTTGGTCGATCCATGTCATCGATCCCAATCGCATGGATCGATGCCCATGCTGTCAATCACTGGATTGTCTGGTCCAGACTCCATTATTTACAGACCGCCGTTATATAGCTGGAATATTGCTGAGTGTCGTGTTAAACAACAAACAAACAAACATCATGGTACATGGCACTTGTCTACAATGTCTAACCCAAGACAGAACAAAATCTTTGTGTTTAAAGTTACGGTATTCGACGTAATAAGCGCCCAGGGCGCTCTTAAAATTAGAAATAGGGGGCTCTTATGAGAATGTTATTTTGGTGAAAAAAAACAGAGTTGAAAGATAAATTTCGTGGTTTATGCTGACAGCCTGAAATGTTTATGTACGACAGATATATTTTTCCAGAATTAAATGCCCAGAGTTAAGGATGCATATAACACACGAGTGCGTATTATACGCGAATAAATAAGTCTTGTGTACGTTGATCAATCGGAAGGGGTGCTAATTGGGATTGTTCACTAGCCAATATCTTAGCAAATGGGCGCTTATTAGAGCGAGCGCTTATTACGTAGAATACGGTATTTCCAATTTTTTTGTCATTGTAAAGATCAGTGCATGAACATGTGTGCCATGTGGAAGCTATGTTTCAATCCATCATGTATTTTCTGTTGTAACACAGAGTGGCCCCTTCTATCTCAAGTCTCCTCCCATGTCCACCTTCCACCAACAGCTGTGGCTTACAGCCAACATCGTCACCGACAACAAGGGAGGTAAGTCAGTGTTGAGCCTTGTCTATGTGTACCACCACCACTTCCTACATGGCTGTTGATATTGGAACACATTAACCTTGTGTCAGAAATCAAAGATAACCTTGTGTGAGTTATTGTTACTAAATCAGAACTGTTGTTGGATTATTGGAACGACCATATTGATAGGTAACAGAACGCACTGCTTCAATTAAATGTTGTTATTCATGAAGATCCATTTATATAACTGACACACATCATTTTAATTCACTTCAATGCCACATAGTACCAATACTATACCGACGTCAACATGGATCTGATTCTCGTGGAAATGAGAGTTATCTCCCTTGTATCAATATGCTTTGTGACCCTGACATTTGTTTCAAATACATTGTAAACAATTCATGAAAATATATAATAAAAAAAGCTATGTGCTTTTGGTGCGCCAGAATCCTATGATTGTCGGTTTGAATCCTGGTTCACCCCTGTTATGTTTCTAGGTTTGTCAGCACCATAACCATGCTCTTGGGTTTCACCGAAGTGGTAAATGTCTGAGACCTCCACCACTTCGGGCTTTCCTCCTACATTAAGCTGTCACGCCGTGATATAACTGGAATACTGCGCAAAGCAGCATTAACCCCAACTCAATCACTCACTCACTCATTTATATGTTAAAGTTAGGTCTATTTTATTACAGTTACTGAGTTAGTAGAAATGCTTGGTAAATTTGTTAATAGTAAGCATTGGTACATTATGGAACAGATGCTATTGTGTGTCACTATGAAGCTAATCAGAAGCTAATTTCAAAGAAGATTGTACATGAAAATAACTTCTGTATTTGAAAAACTAAATACAACACAGTATGCAATATGAAAATAAATTGTGAACAGAAATCTGGTAAAAAGCGTTAAGACATGTAAGAATATCTTTTGATATGTTCGAACAAGTGACAAAACTATTTAGTTTAATTGCTGAGTACTAAATGTACGTTTCAGGCGCACGGTTTGAGCAACCTTTTATGATGGGCATCAGAAATCTGGTAAAAAGCGTTAAGGCATGTAAGAATATCTTTTGATATGTTTGAACAAGTGACAAAACTATTTAGTTTAATGGCTGAATACTAAATGTACGTTTCAGGTGCACGGTTTGAGCAACCTTTTATTATGGGCATCATCATCCACGGCATGAACGGAGATGACCAGAGCGTGGACCGAGTGACCAATCCCACCCCTAGAGGCACCCCACACAACCGGTCTAGGCTTCTCCGCTGTAGCCAGGTAGCATATACAGACTAAGTTCATTTGTATCCCCGTGAAGATCCGGGTTCCAATTGGTCTTCAGCAACCCCATTCTTGTTGTAAGAGGCGACTAACAGGATTGGGTGGTCAGGCTTGCTGTCTTGGTTGATGCAATGTCATCGATCCCAATTGCGTTGATTGATGCTCATGATGACAATTATCATTGATCATTGGATTGTCTGGTCCAGACTCGGTTATTTACAGACCGCCGTCATATAGCTGGAATATTGCTGAGTGCGACATTAAACAACAAACGAACATCATGTCTGATATTTGTGTGTTTGAAGTAAACTGGGTTTGGATGGTCACTATGACAACTGGGTATGGATGTTAGTTGGAGGGGCAGTGGAAGCCCAAGTTTGCTATGACCTCGCTATTTGTGTTGTTGATTCTACTGGCTAAAGTCACATACTGGAGTTGATGTATAAGTCAATGCATAGATTACAATTTGTTTCCACATCTTCAGTGAAAACAGTTGTATCTCAACCATGTTAACATGTTCCAATATTAACAAGCATACACTGTGAACACTGTCCAACCATGATGTATGTTATTTATTGATTTATTGCTTGTCATAAGAGGCTACTAAATAGGAACTGGAGGTCAGGCTCAGGGTTGATGGCATGTCACTGTACCCTGATTGAATGGGACATTGCTCGTAATATCAACATGATCAGTCAATGGTATGTGTGGCGCGTACGCAGTTATTTAGTCTGCAGTCATATAGCTGGAATGCTGACTTCAGCGTTAAACAACAAACGATGGACAAATTGTTTTAAAAAAAATGTGTGTTTTGTATGTAGAACTGTGACGAGCTGATCGTGATGCACCTGGGCTACCTGGACTACGCTTACTATCTCATCCAGGTCCGCTTCTTTGGCCTGGAGAACAACAAGTTTAACATCAAGACTATTGAGTTCACTGTAAGTCTTCTTTACTTATTTTCTTTACTCATCTAAAGTACCTTTTTCATCTTAATGGGGTATTATGCAGACTCACTATGCAGAGTTGTGTCCCTTGACCTTATAAGGATCTGCTGATCAAGGGTGCTAAATGCAAAGTTGATTCTTGATTTGTCAGCACCGAATCTGTGCTTGTGGGATTCACTGGAGTTAATGTTAAGCTGACACTCTGGCACAGCTGAAATACTGTATAAAGAGGCGTTTCTATGATTCTATGATTATCTTATCCAGACCTACTCAAAACAAGACGTGTGACATGGGTGATATTTATTATATACCTCAATACATGCTGTAGGCAGAGACATCAATATGAGACTGATGTGGAAGGGGAGGCAACTCAGTATTCTCTGTATGTTTCAGTTCAAGAGCTACAACACATCCTTCACTCAGATTGAGATTTGGATCCGATTTGTCTTCCTGGTTATGACATTCCTCTGCACTGTAAGTACACCGTCAATTCAGCAGTCCTTATTTAGTTAATAATGTGTTTTTCTGGAGGTTATCCATAAACTTCTGGGCTCTAAAAATTATTATTGGCTGTGTAATTCTTTTGGGAAACGGGATCCCATCTGCTTGTTACAAGGGCCACTATGCTGCATGGGTTGTTTTCCATTTTCAGTCTAGCTCTAGACATTCCATTTCAGGATTGAAATTTACACATGGTCTTTGTGTAATTAGAGTAAACTAGTAGATGGATAAACATTGCAAAATTTGAGTTAGCAAACAAAAGGTTCCTTGTAGAACTAGTCCCCCTTTAACATTCCCCTGCCAAAATTAACTGACAAATGCTAGATAACCTTAAGATAGCCTATGCTTGTCACAGAGTACTTTCCCTGAAAACAAACCTCACCTCCTATATTGTAGATGGAGACTTTATCATGGTTATGCAGTTGAAACTAATATATTTGTTTTTTGACTATGCTTGTCGTAAGAGGCTACTAACGGGATGGGGAGGTCAGGCTCGCTGATTTGGTTTGATGCATGTCATTGTATCCCAATGGCTTAGATCGATGCTCATGATGTCAATCACTTGATTGTCTGATCCAGACTTGATTATTTACAGACCGCCGTCGTATAGCTGGTATATTACTGAGTGCCGTGTTAAACAACAAACAAACATTAATGTTTTCTGTTGTGTCTCTTTGCTCTAAGCTATCTTGTACTGATGATAACAGTATTATGTTGTACATTTACAGTGTATGTTTGCGCACTCATTGCGGAAGTTCTCCATGCGGGACTGGTCAATAGAACAGAAATGGATGTCAATTCTTCTTCCTCTTCTTCTCTTATATGATGGTAAGTAACCTGGTTTGGGTTATTCTCCTCAACATCAGCCAGTGCCAACATGATGAATACTCACTGTGCTATTGTTCATTAGTTAATCATCCTCGTTACCATTGCAGATCCCATCTTCCCCCTGACTTTCCTCGTCAACAGCTGGGTGCCGGGGATGTTTGATGGTGTCTTCCAGGCCTCCTTCCTGTGTGCCTTGCTGTTGTTCTGGTTGTGTATCTACCACGGTGTCAGACAGGTACGTGTGGGTGTGCCTTGCTGTTTTTCTGGTTGTGTATCTACCACAGTGTCAGACAGGTGTGGGTGTGTGTGTGTCTTGCTGTGGTTCTGGTTGTGTATCTACCACAGTGTCAGACAGGTGTGGGTGTGTCTTGCTGTTGTTCTGGTTGTGTATCTACCACGGTGTCAGACAGGTGTGTGTGCGGGTGTGCCTTGCTGTTTTTCTGGTTGTGTATCTACCACAGTGTCAGACAGGTGTGGGTGTGTCTTGCTGTTGTTCTGGTTGTGTATCTACCGGGATGTCAGACAGGTGTGTGTGGTTGTGTCTTGCTGTTGTTCTGGTTGTGTATCTACCATGGTGTCAGACAGGTGTGGGTGTGTCTTGCTGTTGATCTGGCTGTGTATCTACCACAGTGTCAGACAGGTGTGTGTGCGGGTGTGTCTTGCTGTTGTTCTGGCTTGTGTATCTACCACAGTGTCAGACAGGTTGGTGTGTGTGTGTGTGTCTTGCTGTTGATCTGGTTGTGTATCTACCACGGTGTCAGACAGGTGTGTGTGCCTTGCTGTTGTTCTGGCTGTGTAACTTCCGGGGTGTCAGACAGGTGGGTGTGGTTGTGTCTTGCTGTTGTTCTGGTTGTGTATCTACCATGGTGTCAGACAGGTGTGGGTGTGTCTTGCTGTTGATCTGGCTGTGTATCTACCACAGTGTCAGACAGGTGTGTGTGCGGGTGTGTCTTGCTGTTGTTCTGCTTGTGTATCTACCACAGTGTCAGACAGGTTGGTGTGTGTGTGTGTGTCTTGCTGTTGATCTGGTTGTATATCTACTACAGTGTCAGACAGGTGTGTGTGTGGGTGTGTCTTGCTGTTGTTCTGGCTGTGTATCTACCATGGTGTCAGACAGGGGTGTGTGTGTGTGTCTTGCTGTTGATCTGGTTGTATATCTACCACAGTGTCAGACAGGTGTGTGTGTGTGTGTGTGTGTGTGTGTCTGTCTTGCTGTTCTGGTTGTGTATCTACCACAGTGTCAGACAGGTGTGTGTATGTGTGTGTGTGTCTTGCCGTTCTGGTAATGTATCTACCACAGTGTCAGACAGGTGGGTGTGTCTTGGTGTTCTGGTTGTGTATCTACCACGGTGTCAGACAGGTGTGTATGGGGGTGTCCTTCTGCTGATGTAGCACTTGGATTGTAGCATTGATGATGTTTCAGTAAACACATGTTGTGTAGATGTACATGTACTGTACTGTAGTGCTGTGTAATCTGTGTGTAAAACAACTTCTCACTTTGGTTGTCAGGAAGGTCAGTCAATGAGGTTGATATATTATTGAGTGTTTACTGCTGAAAAATGTCACAAAAATACTTCATGTGCTACACATGTTGAACCCTGTACAATTGTTCTGTTCCCAGACTGACCGTAGGTTCATCCGTTTCTACCTGCCTAAGCTGGTGGTAGTGGGTCTGATGTGGATCGCGGCGGTGACGCTGGCATCGTGGCAGGAGTACAACGAACTGCTGGACCCAACCTACTACTACAGACTGGACAAGAGTAACTTCATGGTACTGCCAGTTGGATAAACCACAGTATACCAAATTATTCCACATAATACCACAGTAGTACACAGTTCCTGGGGATGAGTCCAGTTTATTCACTATATATTCCAACTTTTGTAATATTTGGCACAATGGCCACAAATATTAAAGGAATTTTTTTGGGGTATTTAGGCATGAGATAATCAAGCACAGCAATGTAGTCGTACGGGTTTGAATCTCATTGGGTGTAGGGTAGCCTAGTGGTTAAAGCGTTCGCTCGTCACGCCGAAGACCCGGGTTCAATTCCCGACATGGGTACAATGTTTGAAGCCCATTTCTGATGTCCCCCGCCGTGATATTGTTGGAATATTGCTAAAGGCAGCATAAAGCCATACTCACTCTCTCTCATTGGGTGTATTTCGAGATACTGCCAAAATCTTTTTTTGGTCATTCATATCGAGTTAAAGTTAATTATGTGTTTTGAGTGTATTTCATTATCATGATTATATATTACCCATATTGAAATTCTTTACATATTATAGGTTTAACAGTTTCAGAGTTGTCTCTGTCCAAATAGAATGTTTATTTTCCAATATGTTGTGTTGCAGGGCTTTAAGGTGTTTTTCTTCATCACTGGGGGCATCTACTTATTATATCTTGTGTATCTCCTCATCCGAGCTTACGCTGAACTGCGATCCATGCCATACTTTGGTAAGTACATCGGCTTGTGATCGGTAATATCGATGACCTGGTTGATATCTTGTCAACATGCCCTGACAGCGAAGTTTGTTGTTCACAATATCAATCACTGTTTTTTTCTGATCCAGACTTGATTATTTACAGCCTGGAATATTGCAAAGTGAGGCGTTAAACAACAACCACTACAAACAAACATCTGCTTTTGTATCTCAACATCCAAGCTTACACTGATTCAAATAATTTTGCAAATAATGGTAATATCATTTTACATGTCACCCTAATATCCTGGGACAGAGTATCACAATGCTCTAACAGTTGTTTGTTTGGAAGTGGATTCCGGGCGTAAAACAAGTTTTGATGTAGGGATGCCAGTTCCCACTAAAATTTTGTTTGTGGATAAGTTCTGATAAGCTGAACATGCCATTCTTGGTTTCCAGACCTTCGTCTCAAGTTCATGACCGCACTGATGCTGATTGTGTTGTCCATTAGTATCGCTATCACTGTGCTGAGGTTCGGCAGCGGCGTGCTGGAAGACAACTTTGTAGCCGAGATGTCAACACACTATCAGAACTCAGCAGAGTTCGTGTCTTTCTATGGCTTGCTGAATTTCTACATGTACACCATGGCCTTTGTGTACTCCCCGTCAAAAAATGCCATGTATGGTGAGTAGTCCTACAGAGACATCGTCCATCTAGTTGATGCAGTACTTAATGTGTATAGGTAGACTGTGTGAAGCATACCTAGGATGGTTGTTTTCACTGATATTTTCACCCTATGGGGATTCTTGTTGAGAATATGTCTCCTGAATCACTTGCTTGTCGTAATAACTGACAGAATGAACATCATAACATCACTGGTAGAGGTCGGATTTATAGAGGTAGTAAGTATTGCCAATAGTTTACTGAGTCAAGCTTATTACATTAGGGAAATAAAATTATTATTTTACCTTATCCTTATCCAAGGGTGTGTTCGGGTGAGCTGTTTTTCTGTTCGCTGGGAACACTGTTCAGGAAGTTTCCACTACCTTTCAGAAATGAAATGAGATAAGCAATAAGTCATGATTAGTATAAACGATATTTCCACTCTAAAAAAACACACTTCTCAAAGACAGACAGTTCAATTTTCAAGGACTTATGCTTTACCCTATTGCAGCAGTCTTTGATTTGATAAACCCAAGCAGTTTGCAAGTGCAGAAATCTGAAGTAAACAGTTAGTGTTCTGTTTATTCCATCTACATCTAAGCTGTGTACATGATCAGTAAATTTCAATGATTGATCCCCCCATATAAACACTGTTGATGCAATCACGTCAGTTTTCAAATATGTGAGCGCTGTGTAGAAGAACTGCATTAATCTTATTAAGACCAATCTACATTATAGAAAATAGGCAAGTCCAGCTAGCTGTATTCCACATGAAATGAGTATTAGACAAATTCTTTAGAAGATGTCATAGACTAAATCACAGTCTTGTTACCCAGTTGAAATGTGTGGGAACCTTTTAGAAATGTGTGGGAACCTTTTAGAAATGTGTGGGAATCTTTTAGAAATGTGTGGGAACCTTTTTGAAATGTGTGAGAACCTTTTTGAAATGTGTGGGAATCTTTTAGAAATGTGTGGGAACCCTTTGAAATGTGTGGAAACCTTTAAGAAATGTGTGGGAACCTTTGAGAAATGTGTGGAAATCTTTTAGAAATGTGTGGGAACCCTTTGAAATGTGTGGGAACCTTTAAGAAATGTGCGGGAACCTTTTTGAAATGTGTGGGAACCTTTTAGAAATGGGCTGGAACCTTTTAGAAATGTACGGAAACCTTTTAGAAATTTGTGAGAACCTTTTAGAAATGTACGGGAACCTTTTAGAAATGGGCGGGAACCTTTTAGAAATGGGCGGAAACCTTTTAGAAATGTGTGGGAACCTTTTTTAAATGTGTGGGAACCTTTTTGAAATGTGTGAGAACCTTTTTGAAATGTGTGGGAACCTTTAAGAAATGTGCGGGAACCTTTTTGAAATGTGTGAGAACCTTTTTGAAATGTGTGAGAACCTTTTTGAAATGTGAGAACCTTTTTGAAATGTGTGAGAACCTTTAAGAAATGTGCGGGAACCTTTTTGAAATGTGTGAGAACCTTTTTGAAATGTGTGAGAACCTTTTTGAAATGTGTGGGAACCTTTTAGAAATGTGCAGAAACCTATTTGAAATGTGTGGGAACCTTTTTGAAATGTGTGAGAACTTTTTTGAAATGTGTGGGAACCTTTTTGAAATGTGTGAGAACCTTTTTGAAATGTGTGAGAACCTTTTTGAAATGTGTGGGAACCTTTTAGAAATGTGTGAGAACCTTTTAGAAATGTGTGAGAACCTTTTTGAAATGAGTGGGAACCTTTTTGAAATGTGTATGTCTCTTTTAAGTCACCAAGCTTCATGCATGTTAAAGTACATCAACAGTGATTCAAGCACAGCTGATAGCTATGTGATTGCTTGTTCCAGAAACCCACTTTAAGGACAACCCTGCCCTGTCTATGCTCAATGACTCTGACGAAGAAGTCCACTACGGGTAGGTCTTACTGCTAATGTTTTCTATAGTTTATGGGATGTTGGTAGGTACCATGAATCTTCTTCTCTTTGAGGGGCTCAGGTGGCCCTGTCATCCCTGTGCAGAGTTGCATCTCTTAGGTGTGCCAGAAACTAGGGCTGGGACGGGTAACTCGGGTACCCAGGTCGGGTGGGTACTGAGTAGGACCCGGGTACCCACAGGACTACCCGGACCAATGGTTAGTCACGTGATATATTGTTTAATGACAAAAATCATCTAGAACTCTATGGTTACACTACAGGTCACTCATGATCGCATTTCTTTCTGACTATGCACCCATTTCTTCTGATTTTTCATATTGTTGAATAAAGATATAACTTAATTCTACTTCAGTGTATGAATTACCTGATACATGTATTTAAATACGTTTTGCCAGGGTTAAATCGGACATTTTGAGACATCTCCTGAGACTTACAATGGGTACCCGGGTAGGGTCGGGTAATAGGGGGATGGGTACATGAGTAGTAAATTTGGACTCGTCCCAGCCCTACCAGAAACCTATGGTTAGGGGTTCTAATCCTGGTGTGCCCTGATGGTGTTTCTATATGTTTGTCATAGCATACCTATGCTTCTGCATGTTGTGGGTTTCACCAAGTTGTTGAGATTTAAAGAACTGCATTACTTCAGGCTTTCCTCATAGCAAGTTGACATGCCATGATGTTACTGAAATACTGTTCAAGGCGGTGTTAAAACAACTCTCACTCAATCTTGTCTTTGAATAAAAGGGTGAGAATCAACTTGAGAACAATCTTCGTAGAATTGATTTACCTGGATGTAAATTCCATGGTCATTGAGAACTTGTGCCCCATGTGTGTCGCAGGGAGAGAATAGGCACTGGTGATCCAGTGGTCACAATGGCCGCAGGGTATATGGTTAGCATTTAGAAAGGGGACCACAAGAGAAGACAGCTGTAACCTGGCTGATTGTGTTATCGTATAGATTGCTGTGTCTTTGATGCTTGCTCATACTATTGACCACAGGTTTATGTTGTACTTGGTTCATTACTGGTAAGCTGCCATCATGTAGCTGTGATACTACTGACGATAGTGTCATACCTCACTCACTCCCTCACTCACTCACTCACTCACTCACTCACTCACTCACTCACTCACTCACTCGGGACCACAGGTGGCCCAGTCGTCTAAGGCGCCGCGATTCACTGTGCAGAGTTGCGTCCCTAGGGCAAGCCAGAAACCTATGATTGTGGGTTCGAATCCCGGTTTGCCCTGATTATGTTTCCAGATTTGTCAGCATACCCGTGCTCGTGGGTTTCACCGAAGTGGTAAACTTCTGAGACCTGCATCACTTCGGGCTTTCCTCCCACATAGAGCTGACACGCTGCGATATAACTGGAATACTGTTAAAAGCAGTGTTAAACCCAACTCACTCACTCACTCACTCACTCTATAAACTACATGTAGGGCTACTACTAAACTGTTAAAGATGCCCTTGAAGGTTTCTGAAATGGATATTTTGAAATATCATCCTCTTCAAACTGTCTTGCAGATCGGACCATGAAGAAACAACATTGACAAGCCGAGGTGCTGGCAAATATGACAGTGATGAAGATGCATTCCGATGATATGTCACATGACTGTCATGTGACTGTTGCCGGGGTGCTATGAGGTCGACTATGCAGAGAATTAGTTGTTAGTAAACTAGGAAGATTTGGATCTATTTTTATAACAGCAAAGCTTACAGCATTGGAATTGCTTCAAATGGTATCTTTTGCTATGGACATTTTGATTGATTGGTAATGTGGTAAATTTTGTAAAATAATAGGGTTAATTCATACTGTTTATTCTGTTGTAGGCCAGACAAATTTAAGTTCTTGTTTTGGAGATTTTCTAGACCAGTTTCTCAAGACACTGATGGATCAGGAGGAATGACAATCAATATAATTATGTCATATAATGAAATAGAATAAAACAGGGATTTATCTCGACCTGCTCAGAGACCAATATTTGTCTCAAAGTCTGCAGCATACGTTAGTCAAAATTTACAAATTGAAGTTACAAATTTCACAGTTTATTATTTTCTAGTTCTAACTAAAGTGATAGCTTTTAAAGGATGACCAGAATTTCACTGATAGCATGACCAGGAAGATGAAGAGGACTTAGTGGTTAGTTATACATTAATGTGTTGAATGCAAAGGTAACATACAATGTTAAAACACCTCTAAATTTAGGAAAATATGAACTTGCAATTTTGAACAAAATTATGATTTGTCTCCCAATTTGTCTGCCAAGTTTACCAGCACTTCATATGGAATCCTAGATAAATCCCTGTAAGAATTAAATGTCCTAGTAAGAAAATGACTTGATAATACTAAAAAAAGTATTGAATTGAAGTTATTGCAAAATTATGAAAGAAGTAGTTTCTGAAACAACATGTTTACAGTTATGCAAGTTGTTATGTGGAATCTTTTTCTTTTTACTTTAAATTTAAGTCAGATTTTTCCGCAAACAAGAACAAAACTAGTCTGGCCATAGATAACTGTTATACAAATATTGCCTTTCACAGCTAAGTGGATGCTGTATGTATGTTCTGAACCACTACAAAGTGGGTGTCAGATTTTGACCAAGGGGACAGAATTAGGTAAATCATGTACAACATTTTATTGTGGGAATGTCTTTGAAGTACAAAACTTTGCTGTGATTCTAGGTATCTGATAGTTTTGGAGATAGTTTGTTTTCTTTGTAAGGAGTTTGATTTATTTGTAAACACTTAGTATGGGTTGTGTTTACAGGAATGTTAATATTAGGACGAGGGAAGGTGAGAGTGAAACTGCTTCTTACAGTGAAACAAAAATGAACCAATTTCCATGTTTCTGAAATCATGTTTGTAAATATCATCTTTTCATTTTGGCTAGAAGTATTTATAAAATAGATCTGATCATTTAATTCCTTATCCCAGTTTGAACGTGTTAAACCCCATTTCACATCACATCACCTTACCCTAGAAAGTACTGAAAGTCAGCCAGTTATTTACGTAACGGTAAACTGCCAAATGCAATGAAAGCCAGTCTGCCCTGCAGTGTGGGTCGATTCAGCTAGTGCCAGCTACACAGGCCCATATCACACGGTATCTTATATAGGGAATGGGTGTGCAGTATGGGCCGTATTCAGCTAGTGCCAGCTATACAGGCCCATATCACACGGTATCTTATATAGGGAATGGGTGTGCAGTATGGGCCGTATTCAGCTAGTGCCAGCTACACAGGCCCATATCACACGGTATCTTATATAGGGAATGGGTGTGCAGTATGGGCCGTATTCAGCTAGTGCCAGCTACACAGGCCCATATCACGTGGTATCTTATATAGGGAATGGGTGTGCAGTATGGGCCGTATTCAGCTAGTGCCAGCTACACAGGCCCATATCACACGGTATGTTATATAGGGGATGGGTGGGGAGATTTTCAGGCAGCAGTTGTCGTGTCTGTTTAGACAGGTAAAGCATGATACATGAACAGATTATGAATTGTATAGAAAATATAGCCCATAATTTCCAAAATTTGAAAACACTAAGACCAATGTGGTATGGTCTTGTCTGACCTTTGTCATCATTTGTCATCATGTGTCGTTAAAGATGAGATGTTCAAATAGGAGGGACACTACTGAAGATTTATTTCATTCCTGAAATAGATCTGAAGGGTTATCAATATCTTTAATTAATGTCAAATTAATGTCCATTTGTTATTGTTAAGAAGTCAACCAGAAATCCTGAAACAGGTTGTAATATTGTAAGGGTTTTCTCCAGAGTAGTGATCACGGATATTATAGAAACATAATAGAATTGAAAACTGTAATTGCCTCACTGGGGAGAAATAGCCTCCCTGGTTATCTTGTGCAGGGAATTCTAGTAGATCTTACTACAACATAGAACATGCTTTCTTTAGAACATACCTAGATTATGGGAGGTATGGTTCAACATGTAGCTGTTGTTCCATGAGCTGATTCAACACTGTGTGTAGCTGTTTCCACAAGCTGTTGGTTCAACATGTAGCAGTGTTTCCACAAGCTGTTGGTTCAACATGTAGCTGTTTCCACATGCTGTTGGTTCAACATGTAGCTGTTTCCACATGCTGTTGGTTCAACATGTAGCAGTGTTTCCACATGCTGTTGTTTCAACATGTAGCTGTTTCCACAAGCTGTTGGTTCAACATGTAGCAGTGTTTCCACAAGCTCTTGGTACAACATGTAGCTGTTTCCACATACGGTTGGTTCAACATGTAGCAGTGTTTCCACATGCTGTTGTTTCAACATGTAGCTGTTTCCACATGCTGTTGGTTCAACATGTAGCTGTTTCCACATGCTGTTGGTTCAGCATGTAGCAGTGTTTCCACATGCGGTTGGTTCAACATGTAGCTGTTTCCACATGCTGTTGGTTCAGCATGTAGCAGTGTTTCCACATTCTGTTGGTTTAACATGTAGCTGTTTCAACATGCGGTTGGTTCAACATGTAGCTGTTTCTACATGCTGTTGGTTCAACATGTAGCTGTTTCCACAAGCGGTTGGTTCAACATGTAGCTGTTTCCACAAGCTGTTGGTTCAACATGCAGCAGTGTTTCCACATGCTGTTGGTTCAACATGTAGCTGTTTCCACATGCTGTTGGTTCAACATGTAGCAGTGTTTCCACATGCGTTTGGTTCAACATGTAGCTGTTTCCACAAGCGGTTGGTTCAACATGTAGCTGTTTCCACATGTAGCTGTTTCCACATGCGGTTGGTTCAACATGTCGCTATGGATCCACATGCTGCTGTTGGCTATACATGTTGATATTTGTTCATCAGGCAGCTGTGGTTCCACACCTTGCTGTTGATTGCTTATGTTACTGTGCCTCTCTGGGATATTAACCTCAGCCATGACAAATTAGAATTGCTTCTTTCACAGAGGGGACTAGTATCTCAGGTATATATGCCAAAAGGGTTCTGTCAGGGTGGCTTTGTGTTCTGTGCAGTGTATTGTTGTCCCTTTACGTCTTCATCGCCACTTTTTATAATATTTATTTATTTTTATTTTTCTGTTTATTTGTGAATATTATGTATTGATTACTGACAATCTTTTCTTTGTAAACTTTAATATTATTATTTTATTTGTCCCTTTTTATCGGTTTGTTGTGTGTGTAGTTACCCATCACTGCCTTACTATCTGTGTAGCAGCTCTAATCCTAGTTCCATCCCCAATCCTCTGCCATGTGGGTGCTCGCTATGTACATCCAACCACATGTGTCCAACAATTCACGTCATGCACAACCTATAGCATAGCTGCATGAGCACAAATATCTATTTGCATTTCTTATACATTGTATTATTTAGTGTGTTAATTAATCATCATATTCAAGTCTGATTTTTGCGACCAATTACTGTATGTAATCTTCTTTTCTTGTTTAGACACCAAGTGCTAGAACCTGCACTAATAGACTCAACTACATTTCTAATGGTTAAGGAGTATGGTAGTAGAAATTAATAATTATTCCCTTTATCATGTTACTATCATAAGGAGTAGCTTCTGAAATGACTTGTTTCTACTGCAGCCAAAAACAGTATTCAAGTTGCATCAAATATCAGAATGAAAATGAAACGTTTTCATATTTTTCCACCATTACTAAAGATATATAAGGTTAGTTTCAAACCATTTTCTATCAAGCTGGTAGGCCTGTGGAGGGCATTCCCTCTCAGTCCTCACTCCCTACATCCGGTCTCATGCTTCATCAATCACCAGTACTTGTCCTGTTGATCGTCAGTTCCAGGTTGTGTTGGAGAGTTCTGTATGCAAGTTGATTTGTCCCAAGTTCATGTTCAATCATTCCAGTTGTGAATTCTTGCCAGATCATCATTTTAACATATTTCCGAAATCCAATTCCTCAAATCCCATTGTCGGCATATTACGCATTCATGTTATTGTCCAGCCAGATAAATGGCAAAGATCAAACCATGTTTCTGATTTTAGAAACGTGAAATCAAGAAAGCTTGAGCACAAAAATTACTGGGGTAAAAGAAGTGAAATTATTTAAATTTGTATTTATGATCTAAATACATCAATGATGTAGTCCTCCTCTGCAGTATCCCTGCCTCCCAGAGACACCAATTTAAATTGCTCATTTGCATGGTTCCTGTTTCTTATTCTGGCCAATCCTAGGTTGTGATAATAATGGCTACCCTATATTGCCATGTATAAGGCAAGTATTTTGTACCTAGAAATGGGGGGTTGATGGAGAAATTTTGTATGAGTTGGGGATGTGCTTCATTCCGGATTGCTTTATGGAAAGGGTATATAAATCAGCATCGATTTTTGAAGGTTTTTACAGGAGGGTCGCTTTAGACAGTGATATACAGTACTGATGAATATACCAGCCTGACTTCACAGTGCAAATTTTAGGTCAAGTTACTTGATAGGTGAAGAGTTATTTAGTGCATTGACATGGAGAAGGTATGTCAAACTGTCTCAACATGCTTTGACATTTCTTGATTTGACTATCATAAAAGAATATCTTCTTACATACGTATATGTCTGCTGAAAGACTCTTGATGTCTCACAATTTATTACAAAACGCTCATCTTGAATCAACACATTGAATATACATCTATTTTCCGTTTCATTTTCAATACACACACAGCGACATGTTTAGCAAGAATACAAAGATTTAACTTGGCCAGGTCCACTTTCACAGAAGTCTCAGTTCTATGGCTATTACAAACATGTATGTTAAAAGCTAACCTACCTTGGTCCATTTGGTAAAATATCCACTGGACATTTTCAAAACAGTGTTTTAAGATGATAATCATATTCCATGTTACTTGGGTAGAGGTCAAGAAGCATTGGCATGTCTTGTCAAGGACACAGAATAGTTTCACACCCTTGAGATTCTGTTTTGGAAAATATTCTAACAGGAGTACAAAACCCTGCTCTCACTCCAAAATTACTGGTTTAGTGTAGGCGCTGTAGATAGGCTTCAGACATCTTTATTATAAACAAGGTTGAACTGAGATTGCTCTGTGGAATAGAACCCTTCGTTGGTTGAAATCCTATCTCCAGTTGTGCAATATTTGAGGTGAATATGGTGGAATCACTTGACTGTGATATATGAGAGGGAACATTCCAGATGGCATTTGTGTAAGCGTGAAGTTATATCCCTAATGGTATATACTGTGATAAGTGTGTTCATTTGTGTCATTCGCTTGGGGGTAACCATTTTGTTGCATAATCTACTTACGAATTAGATCTGCTTTGTAAGTTGTGTATAGATGAGAGTTATTGTAATATATTGTTTGTAAATGACTTGTAAATATTCTAATTTTTCTGTTGATCATCTGTTATCTGTACAATTATGCTGTATGAAACAAATAAATTATTTAATGTAACAGAGTAGTTGTGTTCTGTGAGAGGAATACTTTCAACAAGGACATGAAAATTGATCATCATACTTGTGGATCCAGGTTAGAACTGATCTTCAGGCAACCCATGCTTGTCATAAAAGGCAACCACAGGTATAGGTGGTTATTCTCAGTGACTTGGTTGATGCATGTCATGGTTTCCCAATTACGTATATCGACACTCATGATTGTCTCATCCAGACTATCATTTTCAGACTGTCTTCATGTAGCTGGAATATTGTCAAGTGTGGCGTCAAAAATCAAACAAATCCTACTTCTTAATCACAGTTTCACAGCAGTCATTGTCTGGTGGGTTTTTTCTTTGTTTGTTGTTTAGAGCCACACTCAGTAATATTCCAGCTACCCATAAAGCTAAATAATTGAATCTGGAGCAGACAAACCACTGATCATTGCTATTGTGAGCAGCAACCCATGCCACTGGAGTACATTGACACTATCAACCAAGTCATCATGACTAACACCCAATCCATGAAGTTGCCTTGTATCACCAGCATAGGTCACTGGGGAACAATTCTAACCTGGATGGGGTTTGTCGTACCAAAAAAGGTGGGCTAGAAAAGTGCTCAAGAGGTGTGTCCCTTTAGTCACATGATCCGTTGAGTCCCAGAATCTTCTAGACTAAAAATTCTTGGTCTCTCAGCATCAAATTTGTGAATATCTACAAGCGAAGTCATTGTGGGCTTTCCTCCCACATTAACCTTACATGCTGTCGTATAACTGAAGTACTGAAGATTTAACACAGATCAACCCTCATGTCAACGCTCCCTTCATTCATATTTTTGGTGCCCAAACCAATGCCTTTTTAGGGGGCACGGGTGACCCAGTCGTCTTAAGGCACCACGATTCGCTGTGCAGAGTTGTATCCCTTGGGCACGCCAGAAACCTATGATTGTGGGTTCGAATCATGGTCGCCCCTATTATGTTTCTAGGTTTGTCCACACCATATCCGTGCTCGTGGGTTTCACTGAAGTGGTAAATGTCTGAGACCTGCATCACTTCGGGCTTTCGTCCCATATTAAACTGACGCCGCGATATAACTGTAATAATGTTAAAAGCGGCGTTAAACCTAACTCACTCAATACCTTTTTAATTTAGCTTCTTACAATTCTATCAAGCTCTGATTATAATTCTTGCTAGGAAGTAGGAAATGCCACATACTGCACTCAGGATATTCACAAGTGTCATAATTGTCAGCATTGCCTACCATAAATTCCACAACACACAAGATGCAGACATACCGACAAACTGCATCGTCAGCTGGAATGGTTTATTCAACTTGGTTGACATGAATCACATTTCTGTGTTGTGATCAACAATGGATGATGATATGAAATAAATAATATAACAATAAAACTGTATAATAGCATGACCAACAGGGTATGCTATCCAATAGGACGCACAATCAGCACACACATCTCTAATACTGGAAACAATAGGAGCATGTACAACAGAAGGACTGGACGACCAGCTGGAGGGAGGGAGGCAGGGCTATATCACAGATCATCCTCACGCAACACTTGGTCGTAGTGACTGTATATAATTACAAATAATGCTGCAAATAGATTATTTTGGTTTTGTAAACAATATAAGAACACTTTACATGGTATGTGGGCATATTCCTGTGCATATCATTCTTTGTTAGAGGCAAAAGTGCACTGCTGAAAAACTTGCTTCATCAGCACATGGCACTGAATTGACTTCTATTCTTAAGCGTATGTATTGTGGGCGAGTGTCAAGTCTGGGCCTCAAATAAAGTTACCGTATTTGACGTAATAAGCGCCCACGGCGATATTTGCTAATATATTGGCTAGTGAACAATCCCAATTAACCTTCCAATTTATCAATGTACTAAAGGACGTATTTATTCATGTATAATACGTGTGTTATATGCATCCTTAATTATTGGAAATTAAATTCTGTTGTTTCTCACCAAAATAATATTCTAATAAGAGCCCCCTATTTCTAATTTTGAGAGCGCCCTAGGCGCTTATTATGTCAAATACGGTATGTTGAATGCATGGATCAAGAGAAATATTTACAGATAATGCACACATTTAGAATCTGCATGTAGAATCAGGGTCCAATATTTACAAAAATACTTCATTCAAACAATGCGACAATTGCTATATATACATATAATGCTGTTGATTTCATATTTTGATGTGTAGAATTTTGGCAACACAGGGTTAATTCACATCCCTAAATACTGAAATGTTGGCCTCAAGCAATCAGCTGTCACTTCAGCAACTTTCTGATAATTTCCATACACGTTCTACTGTGACATGGATGGACAGATGTTACAATGTACAAGGAGGCCTGCAGTGATCCCTGACATCAGACGTCAGACGTTAACCGAAACATTGGGCAATCCTTACCCAGGTGTCGGTAGCTACACGACTGAGTGCTACATGGGTCCACAATGAAAGGTTGTGTATATTGATACAGGACAATACAATATTGCAATATTTCATGAGATTTCATGAATAAACCTAATATTCAAATATCACAATTTACACACGAGACTGTATGTTGGAATGACGTGATTTCTTCATACATCACATAACACAAGTGAGACATTTCACCAGCGATCATTTGGACAGTTTTTGACAATTTCCGAAAAACACAGTTCCCACTGGTTAAATAGCTGCATGTTTAATTTTGGAAAATGCTCAACTCCACTTCATCCTGTGAGATCTGCTGACACTACAGCACACAGTCTGCACAGTGTTGAACCCTGGTCTAGGGTCTGTACTGGTCTAGTATGGGCGTAGGGTCGCGGACAGTCCCCGGAAGGCCCAGCGGGTGGCCTGAATCCCCTCCCTTCGGACGTCCATCTCCATGACCGGTTCCCGACTAGCGATGCGTGAGTGGTACACTGGACACTGGTAGGTTTCAGAGGCGCGGGTGGAGTCCTGTAGAATCGGCTTCTCGTTGACCGGCCAGCAGGTGACATGCACCACGGGGAGGGAGGCACAGCCGGTCCTGGGGGGCGTGTCCTGTAGCTCCCCTGTCGTCTTCTCCCACGCACATCCCCATACGTAGATGCCAAACACGAACATCCCCTCCTGAGGTGGGTCCCGCAGCTGCAACACAGCATCAAAGAAATATCAACTCCTTGTTATATGTAGTTTTGTTATACCTTATCATCTCTTGACTGTGTAGATTCATTTTATTTATTCTGCAGGTGCCCTCAGTGAATCAGTATATTTTTACACTACATTATTCCCCGGCACATCACATGCTTCAAACATTGTACCCACGAGGGGGGTCAAATCTGGGTTCTAGGAGTGAGTGAGTGATTATGGTTCAATACCACTTTGAACAGTATTTCAGCCATATTATGGCCAAATTGATGTGGGAGGTACTGACACATCTACAAACCAAACAGGACACTATCAAAGATTTCCGGCATGCCTAAGAGATGTAACTCTGCACAGCGATGTGCAGTGCCTTTGATGACCGGGCCATTCAGGAATGACAAGCCAATATTTTGACCATAAGACCCACCACCCCTCAGCTGTCCTGAATCTTGCAGAGTTTTGAATTGGAATGAGACTATAGAAACTCTATCAAATGCTTCAAACTAGCAGTACTATATGGTCACATGAAGCAGACACTGATTCCAAATCCAATGACTGTCCCAAAGTGTAAATAATTAGGGAATTGGATGTCCACAATGTCAGACAAGTATAGACCGTACTTGACAGCTGACTACTAGTCTGACTTGACCCATATTAAGTTCTGACTTGAGACAAGTACTTCATCCATCCATCCACCTTCAGATGAAGCATCACACAAAGCCACCCATCCCCTGTGTACACTTACGTGATCCTTGTCCCTGGAAGTGACTTCTGTCTGGAAGGTGAACTGCTCGAAGTTTCCTGATCTGTCGGCAGAGAACTGCTTCATGCTCTCCTGTTTGAGCAGAGCCAGAAGTCCCCGGGGGTTGAAGAACGCTCCCAGCCAGTAGGCCGGCATCTTCTCCCGACCCTACACACACGGTACATGTTAGTCTCAGCAAGTGGACTCAGGCAAGTGAAGATACATCCAAATATCATAAAACGCAACAACAGTTGTCATGGAGCTATCAGTGATGATATAATTCTATCAACACAACAAATGTGTTGGGAAACCAAAGCTGGTAGTACTTCAGAGCACCTTAATATCATGCTTTATGTCATCAAAGAGTACAATGAGTAAATTATTTCAAAAATAAAAAAAAGTATCAGTTCCAATAGTTTTCAAACATGGAATACTTAAAAATACATGCTCATCCTCTTTCACAAACAAATGACACTTACACGACAAAGACATCTGAGAGTTTTTAACTAAGAGTCAAGGAAGAAACAAACTGTTATTATGTCAAGATCTGATCATACAATCCTGTCCATGATTCAAGATGATGTTGAATTTATCAAAAGTAATTTGATAAATATTCTGAAGTTTGTTTCATTAAATCAGTACCATATACAAACTAATGTAATATTTCGTATTAGGGTGAAACAATACAGCAAGGTCATGATACGATACATATCTTGATGCATAGGTAACGATACGATACATATCGCGATACACCTATTTACGTCAAATTGTGTGGAATCTTCTTGACTATAAGTATTTCGGAGCATGTTCTTAAAAACAGTAAACACATGTTCATAGCTGCTTTTTTTATTAGTGAACTTGGAACACTAATTTCAACACATTTTGTGGTATTTAACTGACCAAATTGCTCGGGGTAATTAAAAAAGTAGTAAGTTATATATTTCAGCAAGTGTATCGTCTTGTATCGATACAGAAGAAACATATGGTGTATTGTATCGTCGCATAGACACTTATGATGCACCGGGCACTGATGGATCATTTCATCCCTATTGCGTATATTGTGATGGTCTTACCAGTGACAGGATCCTCTCGAAGTGATGACATCTGTTCTGGAGCTCCAGGAGCCACTGGCCCAATCCCCAGGTGAGGGGCGGGGCCGAGAAGCCAGCTAGCTGACACCAAGCCCGGGGGATGCGCATGTGGAACAGATCGTCGGCTATAGACAGCAGACTCTCAGTTATCTGGTCACCTAGGATACTCGCCTCAGTTGCCATCTTGATGGCCTGCAAGAATGGCATGGGTGAAGATTAATTTTAAAATTTCCTTGCTTGAATAATGACATACACATGAAAGGAGGTGTAACAGAGTAATAATCAGATTGTATAAAATAATGGACTGCAAGTTTCCACAGAGAGTAAGTTCTAGAACTTAAAGAATGAAATCATTTTCAGGGACCAACAGTTTGGCCTCAAAGGAGACCCGCACACTCTATCCAAGTTGTATTGAGAGTTCACTGCTCTTAGTCAATGAGTTAAAGAAATAATAACAAGTCTCCACATTTTGCAGGAGTTGTATCTCCATAAACATGGTCCAAAGATTCAGGAAACTGCAGAGTGCAAGGTAATCTTTGCCCCAACACCAACACCACATCACACTGGTAACACAAAGCAGATCCTGTTATTACCAGCAGCGTGGCCTTGATCTCCGTCAGCAACTTGTACATGGTCTCCAGCTCTCGCATGATGAAGTTGTTGAACGTCGTGAAGCCGCCGATCTTCTTCACTCTCTCTATGATGTACTCCTGAAGGAAGAAAAGAAAATTTGCAGGTACTTGGCATCCTTTCCTGTCCATCCAAGAAGAAAAGTAACAATTTCAATGGCAATGACAGGTGAGAGACTGCGAACAATAGGTACTTTTATTGGTGATTGGAAGGAATCTGTAGCATAAATCAAAGAAGTTCCAGGTGTCTTCAATAAATCTCAATTATTTGCAAGGTTTTGTTTAATTCTAAGTCATGTCTAAGTGGAATTAAGCACACACCATCTGGTAACCCTACCAAGTTGGATTCAAATCATTAAAAAAAACAACACTTTGAATGCAAGCCAGAATTTCATACATGTACATCAGTTTTGGACTGAGTAATTATCAATACTGGGCCAGTGTCTGTTGTAACAAGGCACAAAACAGACCTAGACAGGAACTGGTGCCAGTCAGTGTAGAATAGTCTCTCTCTATATGATCTATATGTTTTAAACTGTCTGTCAAGCAAGTCAAGATGGTCAGATACACCAATGAGAGTGTTGACTGTGATGTGTGTGTGTTGGGAGGGAGACTACCCACCTTGTTGTAGGCCTTCGGCACCTTGGAGTGCATGGTGTGACAGATCTCCCACAGTTCCACATCCTTCCTCATCTTGAAGGTGGCGTAACTGGCCGTGGAGAACACACCCTGGTCCACGATGGCAGGGTGGTTGCTCTGTACACTCACACCAGCCAGAGCAGGACCTACACAGAACATGACATTACAGGAAGCAGAACAGGCATGGTTAGAGCAGGACCTACACAGAACATGACATTACAGGAAACAGAACAGGCATGGTTAGAGCAGGACCTATACAGAACATGACATTACAGGAAACAGAACAGGCATGGTTAGAGCAGGACCTACACAGAACATGACATTACAGGAAACAGAACAGGCATGGTTAGAGCAGGACCTACACAGAACATGACATTACAGGAAACAGAACATACACAACCAGAGCAGGACCTCCTCAGAAAATGACATTATAGGACATGGATCATGACATTATAGGACACTGAACATGACATTACAGGACAGGACACGAAACATGACATTATAGGAAACAGAACATACATTGCTTCAGCAGGACCTACACAGAACATGGCAATACAGGATACAGAACATAGCAATACAGGACACAGGACATGGCATTATAGGACACGGAACATACATATGGTCAGCAAATATGATATCTTGAAACAGAAAAACAGAGCATAGACAGAGCATAGCCATATCATCACATTGTATAAATATGCCTCCTCATCACGGCCAACTGCACTATACGTGTACCACCACCATCAAGTAATGGTCTTTCATATAATCTCACAATGATATCATCCTGTTTCTGCAACTTGGATGATGTAAATGTTTTGGACATTTTCTGATAGAAGATAGCCAGGGGCCTGTGTTCATTAACGGTTCTGTGTTGAAAAAAAACAATGTATATTCCAATTAAGATCTGACCCTAAAAGAAACAGCAGTAGCTGGGTGTGGTTCTAGCATAGCCCCACCCTGACCAGCAGGCCCAGCACCCAGGCCCAGTAGTCTGTACTCACCCAGGAAGGGGCTGGGAGGCCGGGGGAACAACTTGTGTGACAGCGTCGGCGTGGACGGCATGGAATCAAACACCTTGTTGAGACGAGTGAAGACGTACTGGTCATCCCCCAGCAGAGTCTGCACAACATATACATCCATACTGTCACTACAGCTCACTGGGTGGTCACAGATAGTTCTCATCTTGACTAAAGGTTAAACAAATTCAAAATGTTCGAAAACTAATTCAGTCATTCACAGATGACTCAAATACTATTTCATATTTACTGATAGATTGCAATTCAATATTAGAATTGTAAAAGGAAATATATATTCTACTTCAAAGTAATTCAGGTTTCATTTAAACACATGCAACAAACACTAAATGACATTAATTGTCCAAATGACACAAAATCAGCAAGGATGCAGTATTGCCATGGCTGATCTAATGAAGCATACAATGTACTTTAGACAACTTATGGTTGAACACAGGGGGCTGCCCATGTCATATTCTGCTGGGGTGGAACCTGGGAATTTGTTACAAACATAGTTTGAGAAAATACCAGAAAATAATAATTTTGCCTTCAGTTTTACAAAAAGAAACAAATTGTTCACTGGGCATTATGGATGTCTTGCAAAAAATGTTTGTAAAAAATCATATATTGTTTGGCAAGGAGTCAAATAATTAATTTTTGACTACACAATTTCAGACAAAAACATCTTGAAGCGATGGCCCCAAAAATATTGTCTCAAGCAAAATATCCGACCCCCAAGAATATGAAATGGTCGGTGCCTAAGCCTGCAAGCGTAAATGAACATGCATCACCCACCAGACAGCTGTCATCCTACGCAGCATGGGAAGAAGATGGGGAAGATACAGAACAAAGCACACAGACTACAAGCTGCCTCACTAACAATATCACCATAAACAAACAACACACTATTTGTAGAATATTAAAAGCAATCTCATGAATCTGCATTTACTAGCACTGAATGTGACAGAAGCATGATTTCAGTGTTAAACTAAATCCTGAAGTAATATGATTTCCTACACACAATTTGCATCTATGAAGCATATCTATACAACAAGCCCGATTCTAACAGGATTGTAACATTTAGATCCCCTTCCGGACCAGTTGCCATGGGTTCTTTGTTTTCCTGTCAGTTATTTGTAATGTGGTCTAATACTAAAGTGAATGATTTCTTATAATTCCAGACATGAATCAAAATCAAAGTCAAGAGAATGTGTAAATGTTTCGTATAAGAAACAAAAACAAGACTATGATTGTCCAGTCACTGACCTCTCTGTGATAAGAGGTTGTTTGAAGGAAGAAGCTTTTGGAAAATTATTATTTTTTAAGGATTCGTTTTGTAAGTATGACATGTTTGTTTCAGTTACTTTCGTCAGCTTTTTTAAAATCACATCAAATGGAAGAAGTAAATACTTATAAGCAGGTCCGAATGGGGTGTTCTTCCCCTACTTTCCACCCGGAAGAGCATGGTTCTAACTGTAACATCCCCCTAGAGATGCAGGAATAAGAACATGCGTATGCTGTAATGGCATGTATCACAAGAGTAACCCTTGATGTAATTAAATCTGTAAATCCCACCGATTCGCGAAAGCCTTCCTGCCTGGATGTGTGGGACTTACCTCGTTGTTGGGGTGGAGGTGGCAGCCCTCGGGGGTGTCCAGGAAGTGAGGCTGTCCTGGATGTATGGGACTTACCTCGATGTTGGGCAGGAGATGGTAGCCCTCGGGGATGTCCAGGAAGTGAGGCTGTCTTGGATGTGTGGGACTTACCTCGATGTTGGGCAGGAGATGGTAGCCCTCGGGGGCTTCCAGGAAGTGAGGCTGTCCTGGATGTGTGGGACTTACCTCGATGTTGGGGTGGAGATGGTAGCCCTCGGGGGCTTCCAGGAAGTGAGGCTGTCCTGGATGTGTGGGACTTACCTCGATGTTGGGGTGGAGATGGCAGCCCTCGGGGGCTTCCAGGAAGTGAGGCTGTCCTGGATGTGTGGGACTTACCTCGATGTTGGGGTGGAGATGGCAGCCCTCGGGGGTGTCCAGGAAGTGGTAGTTGAGGCCGTCCAGAGCCTGGATCAGGGAGTTCAGTCTCACATTGGGGTTGAAGAACATCGTCGGCTGGCGATACTTCACTGGAAATAATTCAATCAAGACTGATTCATCCTCAGAATGTATTAGAAGAAATCCCAAATTTATCGTCTATGTTCATAAGAGCAAACTAGAATATAAGTGTCAAAAATTAAGGAGAATATTATGAATATATTATGACATTATTACCCCAGTCGATGGATCAGTGTGCATGAGATTTTCATTCTCAGCAACAAAAGCTGCCTTGTTTGCCACTAATGACTAGAAGGTCACATTATCATACCATCCTACCGGGTACCCACTCACTGCTGGGTGAACAACTTACCCCACAACGGTGTCTACTTACATCTGGCAACCTCGAAGTCCTTCTTGACTGAAGTAGGGGACACCCAGTAGTCCACCATAGCACTGAGACTCTGCTGGTCGAAGCTGTCCGTCACATAGTTGCCGTACACCACCTGGTCACACAGAACTCACAGTTACATCACCGGCAGGCACGGTGTACTCATGATGTACATAAAACAATAACACAGTACAGCACCAACCATATATAGTAGCAAGGCGCACATGTAAATATCCAGCAATATTCTCTCTGTTTTCACTTCATTTCAAGGCTGTGTGTAGATTTGTTTAGTTCACTCCAATGAATTCCCACTTATCAACAGTTGACTTTATAAATACAACTTATATAATATGAAATTCAAAATTGATTTTCGTAACACCTACCCTATATTTACATTGTGGTCCAGTTTCAAGGCTGACAAGGTCAGTGTGTCGAGGTCAAGAGAAGGTCAGAATGACAAGGTCAGCTAGACAAGGTCAGTGTGTCAAGGTCAAGACAAGATCAATGTGTCAAGGTCAAGACAAGGTCAGCTAGACACGGTCTTTGTGACTCACCTCGGCCAGGATGAACCTGATGCCAGTCCAGGACGTCATCCTCTGTGTGGGGACGCCATCTGGCCCCAGAACAAACAGCGGATCCTTGAACTCTCCAGTAGCAAAGTTTAGTGCCTCCTGTATCATAGATAGCATGTGATGAGGGACTGCTCTATATATATACTAATTTGATGTCACTGTCAACTTGGAAAATCTGTATTTATTAGAATGATCTAAATATTTAATGTAATATAGAAGCAATTTAGCCCTCTTTTGCTGATTTTTGGGGGGTAAACTGTGCAACAAGCCAACAGGATTTCACTGTACATAAGATCACAGTACAATCTTCATCTTTACCTGCAGTTCTCCAAAGCCGACATTGGCCAGATCCTGGGGTGCATTCCACCCTCCTTGACCGAACCTGGCCCTGAGCTGGACAGCAGCATGGAGGTAGCACAGGTTGTGTAGCACAGCAGGCCACTCTGGCCGGTTGGACTGCTTCAAGATGTCCGGCTCCATCCACGTGAACGACCGTACCAGACTGTCCTTCATCACCTGAAACCCAAACATGTGTCAGAGACTTACATCATTCCAAGTAGATCACACCATGTCAACTACAGGTGGGAGGAAAGCCTGATGTCATGCAGGTCTTATAGATGCTTACAACTGAAACCCACAACCATGTATGATGCTAACAAACCAAGGATCATAATCAGGAACTCAAATCCATGCAGACCTAAGGGACATAACTCTGCACAGTTGACCACGTTGACCACTGGAGTATCTGTGCCATATTATGAGTCAACCACACTCCTAACAGTTTCCATATTCAGGACGCAGAACCGACCCTTTCTCCATTTGTCTTTCCCATTGCATATTTCCCAATGACAACACAGAACAGTGAGTAAGAAAGTTTATGTTTACATCACATTTTTCATTCCTCCACAGCAGCAGGCATGAAGACATTGTACCCATGTGAGGAAATGAACCCCTTTGCCTTAACCACTCATCTACCCTCGCTACTATGATACTGAACAGACGTCTGTTCATATAATATAAAAGTTTTAAGCTTGTTCGGCACTATTTCCTTCATATCAAGGCAGCATCAACACAGAATTAGGCCTGCACTACGCCAGCAAATATCTCATCATGTCATCTGTGCAATCATCACGTCAACCAACAGGTTCTAACTGATAATTTGTCTTCCTGATCTACTTGTCCACCAAAGACCAATTCATTGTTCAGTTTCGACCGTTTCCCACGTTTCCCTCCTCCTCCAACCACCCTGATTATGTACTGGGCACAAAGTCACAAATAGACAAATTAATGATTTCACAACAAAAGCCCAAAATATGTTTGCCTCACACAAGCAAAGATCACATTCCACAAAGCTACCTTGCCGTATGACTGCAGCAAGTTCATGTCAACATTTACGACAGTTGAAGCATTGGAAGAGATCCTGGGTCTTAGTCTCATTGTGGCCTTCATGAAGATGAATCAAAGCGTCATGTTGACTATGTTCCTACCTTGGGTGTGTCGATGACGACCTTGACCGAGTTCTGGATGAGTCGGACAGGGAGCATGGAGTTGTTTGTCTGTGCGGAGATCCACAGTCGGAACTGGGAGTCGGCTTGAGCTGCAGCCGTCTCCAGCAGCATGGTCTCGATGGCGTTGAGCAGGTGGGGGGAGTTGTGGGCGTTGTGCAGCAGCACCCAGGATCCCTGCAACACAACACAAGGAGTTGTCTGGATATTCCTCACACGGTGTACACAACATTCAATACCTATCAGAGACAACTCAAAATGAAACCTTTTTCATACCAAATTTTGCCATCTATACTACAACCCTGCCCATAACGAGACTCGTCCCTGGAGAAACCTTCAAAATCAATGTGACTATATACCCCATCCATGCTACGATCTGGAGTGAAGAAGTCTCAATAAAATATGTGTCAGTCACTTTTTTTCTTCGATGCATTGTCACTTGAATAACACCAGTGCATGGAGCCATTTGTGCTGCCACAGTGCAAACCTTAGATAGCTGCCTGTAAAATATAGTGAAAAGAGGCAATGTGTTCGAACTTTAGTGAGACAATGGTCATCTGTTTGTTGTAATTTAAATCTCCAAAAAACGTTAATATTTTTAATTTACTAATCTTTGTTTTGTTAACTATAGGCACATTTCCAGCACAATTCCAGTAATACATACACCAACAAAGTTCATAGAACTGTCTCAACAAGTTTGTATCCACAAATAAGTCTCCTGTCTAGTCACATGTTATACATGTACATCCTGACTATTGGTTGTATGAGGGAGTTTGGTGTAATGCCCCTTGGATCGTATATCAGTTATATTACAGCATCACAGCATGATGGGGAGGGAAGTGATGCAGGTCTCAGACATGTACCACTTGGATGAATCCCAGGAGAATGGGTATGCTGCTGACAAACCTACAATACAGTCTGGGTGACCCTGGGATTCGAGCCATCATCATATAGGTTTCATCAGAGACCATATAATAGAGGGACGGCCCTCTAGCCTATGGGCTAAACCATCAGTGCTACGGCTTGTACTGCGCAGCCTGTCCGGAAGCGAGCAGAAACGCGTTCACTGCAGTCATCGTTGACGCCTTCTTTTCCCATGCAAAATAAATATTTTACAATACAAAATTACACTCATGTATTTCTTAACATTGTTAACATTACAACTGAGATTTGTTGGTGCCCTAAAGCATGTCGTTGTCACTGAATTTGACGACTGTGATCATGCTTTGTCTTTGTCCGAGAGAACAAAATGGCGCACATGTAAAATCGGCAAAAGTGCAGATTTTGATTTTCAATAACGGCCTCTAATTCGCAATGAAAGTCCTTGGTTACTAAGGTGTATAAAAAGGAAATATGTTAAAAATTGGCTTAGTGCCATTTACAAATTTAGGGCGGATGCGAAATTTCAGATTTGGACTCCAGAAATGGGACTAAATCTGACTTTTCCCGAAATAATTACACCACAACTCTTAATTTTCGCATGCTTTCAGACGAATGTGTTCCTATCATCGGTCCTGAATTAAATAGTTTTACATTCATCACGATTTCCCCTTTGGCTTGGTACCAAAGTTATTTAGGTACGATCGGTAGGTTTTTTGTATGATTTTTTGCGCAAGGCCATATTTTACGTCACATATTTTAAGTTAAATTACCATATAGCAGACGACATAACATGCATTTTGTCTGTGATTATCATCCGCATATATCTTTTGAAACATTATACAAAGTGACTTATATTGTATGATATTAGAATTGTTTTTGTAAGACGCGTATTGTTTTACCATTGCTTTCGCCATTTCTTCGTAAGTTTAACTTTGTTTCAGTTAGGCTTCTATCACATATCGCGCATATACTACATACTACAATACCACATATTTGTTATCTTCTGTAGATTTTGTCTGCATTAATCATGACAACATTTAATCAGTTATTTATTTTATGCCGTGTAAATATTGATTATGAGCAAAATGATCTTGGCCTAAACCCAATCATAATAATGTAAAAATGATGAAGGTACTACTTACTTTGTGTATTTACACAACAATGAAAACATCATACAAAAATAAAAATCCGTTACATGAAATATTTGTATTAGAATAGTAGTAGATTTGGTATATTTGTTTATTTATAATAGTTAACAATTGCAGCATAAAATGAGATATGTAAATTGAAATAAATGTCCCGGAAGACACACATGTTCAGCAAATAATTTAATTTGCAGCCAACTGACATGTGCTAATGAGAGATATCATACAAAAATCTTTGTAATCCGCTAAGAGACGTCCTTTTATTGGATTGTCGCTGGTCGTAGTCGGAGAAATCTCGGATAAGGGAATTAACTCTTACCCCGGATATTATGTAATATTGTTTACGTGGTTACCAGAATGGTCAGTCGTGAATGTCTGCGCATCTATTGCGCATCTGCAGCGGTACAGGGAGGTTAACAGCAGGGTGTCGGGGTGTATCAGTTACATGCAAGACCGTAGCGCTGATGGTTAGTGATAAACTGTTGGTGAGGGCCGTCCCTCTATTATATGGTCTCTGGTTTCATACATGCCCAGGAGACACATGCTGCAGTTTAGATAACTGAGCTACCCAGTGAATCTCTAGTGTAAGAAAACATATTTGATTATTACAGGATTCCACATCCATTGCGGACATGGATGTTTCTGTGAAGACAATGCTCCCGACAAATGTCTCACCTCGGCCATGCCCTTCTGGATATGTTTCTTGACCGTCCTCTCCACTGCAGGGTTGTTGTCTGTGAGGGTCACCACCTCGTAGAGACTCTGCTTCCTCACAGCAAAGTCTGTGAACAACTTGCAGGCCGTCTCCGACTCAGATGTAAACAGCAGAATGAGTGCCATCGACGGGCTGCTCTGTCTCAGCATGGTGGGGAAGTCAAAAGGGACATCACCATAGTATCTGGATTGGAGACATGGACATTAAATATCTGTATTGACCTTCATATGCTGATCTGGTCTCCCTTAGATGGTGGTCTCCCTGTTGCATTTCAAGTTGGAATATGTCGTCAGTATAATCATGCTTGCATCATGGGCAATTCTCACCAATCTCAATCTCATGATAAAGGTGATCCCAAACAATCTCAATCTCATGATGAAGGTGATCCCAAACAATCTCATGATAAAGGTGATCCCCAACAATCTCAATCTCACGATAAAGGTGATCCCCAACAATCTCAATCTCATGATAAAGGTGATCCCCAACAATCTCAATCTCATGATAAAGGTGATCCCCAACAATCCCATGATAAAGGTGATCCCCAACAATCCCATTCTCATGATAAAGGTGATCCCCAACAATCTCATGATAAAGGTGATCCCCAACAATCCCATTCTCATGAAAAAGGTGATCCCCAACAATCTCATGATAAAGGTGATCCCCCAACAATCTCAATCTCACGATAAAGGTGATCCCCAACAATCTCAATCTCATGATAAAGGTGATCCCAACAATCTCAATCTCTTGATAAAGGTGATCCCAACCAATCTCAATCTCATGATAAAGGTGATCCCCAACAATCTCATGATAAAGGTGATCCCCAACAATCCCAATCTCACGACACAGTTAAACTACAACAATCCCAACCTCACGACACAGTTGAACTACAACAATCTCAATCTCATTACAAAGCTGATCCACAACAATCTCATCATATAAGGGAAACCCAAACAACCCTTGTGTCAAGATAAAGATGATCCACAACAAATTCCTCACAAAGCTGATAATCTCCGTCCTAATCTCATGACATGACTGACCACAACAATCTCAAGACACAACACTACTCACTTCTTGCCGAGGACCTGGTTGACGAACAGCGTGGAGGCCTGGAGGATCCTGTCGCTGCGGACTGCCCGGATCACACACAGCCTCTGCATGGGCTTGTACACCTCGTCCATCTTGTCCGGCAGGGCTACGTTCTCCGGGATGTCGCTCTCACACAGGTTCCTCCACTGGGTCTCACGTCCATCCTTCGGCATACGGTCAAACATTTCCTGGAACCACTCAAAGTGCGTTGCCAGTACCTGCAGGTTGTGGAACTGCTCGTCGGTCATCCAATCGAAAGGTTTCTTGGCGGACACGATGCGGCTGTTGGTCTCCTGGGAGTAGCCCAGAGAGGACATGACAACCGAGCTGTAGTTGGGGGAGATGACGAACTCACGCTCCCCGGGACCCATCTGGTTGTGTGACTCCTCAACCTACACCAACACAGGATTACTCCTTACACATGGGTATTGAAAGTCATACACAGTAACGTTGTGAATGAGTAACTATTGCTGGACACTGAATCAGCAAAGGTGTAACTATTTACAGCAAGGAGTAAAATCATGAAACATACAACAATCTCCACAGTCATCAACATGAACATCATCATCTGCAAAACCTCAACAGCAACAGTCCATGTTTTGCTGTATCCAGATTTACTACTCCATTCTTATAACACCATCTGCTGGATTTAAAGAAAGTCTAGTGCTGGTATAAGCTGCCCACACCCACACACCCACACACCCACACACCCACACACACCCACACACCCACACACACCCACACACCCACACACCCACACACACACACACACACACACACACTTCTGAGTATACCCGGGTAGATTCTGGGAGCTCCCAGAATGTACCCCTGGGTATATTTTTGGGGACTTCCCAGAATCTACCCCCCTTTCCCAGAATCTACCCCAAGGGGGTATAATCTGGGAGTTCCCAGAATCTACCCCCATGTAGATGCTAATAAATTGTCGTACCAGTGTATTATTAGCAATGGATTCCTCATTCCACAGTGGGAACAGATATATTTTACAGTCACCTCAGTATCAATATAAGTCATCCATTCATCAAAAGAAAAGGAGTATTTGAAACTAGGAACACCAAGGAATATTCACCAAAAAACTTTAACAACAAAAATTAATTTTTAACTGAGCCACATGGAGCCATGTTTCAAAACACAATCCTAACTAGTTTGGTTTTTATTTACAATGGTATACAGCTTCAAGGGTCACATACATTTTTGATGATGTTTCACACACAGACAATATTTGAGAAATATTTCCTTGGGAGAAGCAGCAGTTTGAAATTAAGCATGAAAGTCAAGGTGTCCTTTCTTAACTGCAATGTAGAACATCCCTAGAGTCTCCACACCCAACGACCCAAGCACCCCTTTATTAACACATGCAGGTAAGATGTAAATGTATGGACGTCTTGTACATACCTCCACAGCAAGCAGCAGGGCAAAGATCTGCCTGTCTCTCTCCAGCAGTGCTCGGGCGGTGGTGGTGTAGGCGCTGTACGTCAGCTTTTCTATCACAGCCTTCACAGCAGACCTGGAGCAACACAAATGATTATTAATGTAGGGCAGCAAAGAGTTCATCCATTATACATGATGGTCAGGTAATGATCTTCACATGCAAAAACTCTTATTTGTATGCATGAATTATAACATTTTCTGACACACAATTGTCTAACATTCTGGATATTTTTGTATACACTTAGCCAAACATTGTCAATCCTGCCAAGTCAACTCTGCCAGATTAACCACAGTTTTAAAAAAACCCATCATGATTATTGACTGATGTCCCAATGTATAAACAGACAGTCAAATAAAGTATCCAACAAGCAGGAGAGACAGAATCTGTACTTCTGATTACTTCAAGCTCCTTCTTCTAAGCCTGTATAACGACAATAACATGGCAATGCTCTAGTGTACACTGACCTCTCAGAGTGGCTGATGGCGGCTTCATACAGAGCCAGATACTGCTTGAAGGAGATCTGGTAGAGAGGGTTCACCTCCCTCATGTACTGGGCAGTGTCGAAACACACAGCAGCTCGCTGTGCAATAGACCGATACCCTTCTCGGGCCTTCAGGATAGAGTCCTCACCCATCTGCACACGGCCTTGGCTACAATAATAATCATAATCATAATAGTAATAATAATGAGTCTTTAAGGAGGATAGTTCTTGAATCAGAAATGATCTGGAATCTTGTTCCACAGTACTGGTCTAACTTTGGCAAAGGTCAAAGGTGTTGGTGCATGGACATGTTTGTGTATATATACAACAGTTTGCACAACTATACAAGTTTATTGACACACAGCATACTGTATACAAGAGTTGCCCTCCCCCTGTGAAGATCCAGGTTAGAGTTTCAGCAACCCATGCTTGTCGTAAGAGGCAACTAATGGGATCAATAGTCAGGCATTCCAATTTGGATGATGCAAGTCATCGTATCCTAATGGCATAAATCAATGCTTATGATGTCAAACACTGGATTGTCTGGTCCAGACTCAATTATTTACAGACCGCCGTCATATAGCTGGAATACTGCGGCAAATGCTGCAAAATGGACCTATGTTTGACAACCATCACTGTTTACATCTACTCCTGTCAAGGTCAAGACTTCACTACCTCTCCAGGGTTTCGTCATACAGCTTCTTGAGGTCGGCCAGTCTCTTGGTGGCCTGGAGGTCATTCATGAGGCGTATGTCTGAAGACAGCTGGTTGCGCATCTGCTGCTCCAGCCGGTGTAGCTGTTCCATGTTCTCCAGCTTCTCCTGTAGGCGACAACAGTGTTTGATGCAAACATTGGTGTGGGATACTTGATAAAGCACAAATATATGATCATCATCTTGTAAATCTATTCAGAGTCTCTAGTCACTTTTTTCTACACATGCCTATGGACCTCCACACAAAAAAGAAAGCACATCCAGCAGTACTTCTCCGTAAAGAAAAATCATAATGTGCTCTTTAGAGTAATTTTCCCAAATTCTGAATCCTGATCTGTTATCTCTAGATTCTGTGGGGACATCAGATTAATATAGGTTCCCAGTTACCTATTCTTGTCTTCAATGTGTTATTTAACTTTACACTTTATACAGTCTTTCTCAAAGTCGATAAACTCTTTAACAATAACAAGCAGTGAATATCTACTAAGCACAGATAAACTGATGACCTTCAAAGGATGTCAAAGTTGATGAAGACTGACCTGTCTGAGGGCAGTCCTCTCGTTCTCCAGCCGTGACTTCTCGTGGGCCATGAAGACATCCAGGAGCTCCTCCTCCACACACTGGCGGCACTGCTGGAAGTACATGACGCTGGTGTAGGCGGCCAGCTGCTGGGGCACCTGGTGGGGCTCCACCGTCGTGTGCAGGAACAGGCGGAAGTGGGGGTCACACTCCACCTCATGGTCCTCCACAATCACCTTGAACCTGGACTTGCCGTTGATGAAGTTGGAGCTGGACTGGATGGTGTCCCGGAATCGCTGGTCCCGGGCCAGCTCCACCATGTTGCAGTCAGTGACCAGCAGCGGCGTGCCGTCCGCCAGGCAGTTCTCCAGCTGGGACCTCATCTCCTGGACACAAGTGTGGACGTAGTCATATAGGCCACGTAGTTACTACACATAGCAGTCACAATCTATTTAAGAGACACCATGTTACCAAAGTATACCATCCGAATCAGCAATTACCTAAAACGCTAATCTCTAGCTCAAATCCGTCTTTACTTAACAGTCTAGGTAAATATTTTTTCTTAGTAATTAAGAAACGCAATAGACATTTTAAAGATGTCAATAATAGCCTAAGTAGTAATAGTGTCCACTATTGTGAATCATAAGGCAAACATTTTGGAACGCTCTACCAAATATATACATGAGTATACACTTGTATAATGTGGAGGTGACCTCATTACAATACTACTAGTCACACAGTAGGAGAAATACGTCTACAATCAATTATACTTGAAGAAGAAGAAGAAGAACAACAACAACAACAACGTTTTCTTCCTTCTACCCATATAGTAGTCAGCAGAGCCCATTGGCTACACCCAGCCAAATAGGATGCACATACATTATCTCATGATAACGTAACATAGTAACCATGGTAACAACACAAAACCTCTCTGTGGGGATTCTATTTCATAATAGGTCCTTAGTACTCTATATCTCATGCTGACTCATTTGAGGATTAGATGGACACAATTTGTTCCAGCTATCAACAGCAGGTTTGCCTGGCCAGGACTCAATTATTTCCAAGAAGTTGTGGCCAAGCTGGAATATTTCTGACAGTCCCACAAAACAACATTCACTCACTTGTATTCGCAAGTAGACCAGAATATTTTGCAAGCAGACCAGAATATTTTGCAAGTAGACCAGAATATTTTCACTCATCACAAAACATCGTCAAATAGTGAAAAATAATCTTCAAAAATTGATCAAACTTAATTTAACATATAGCATGTCTGTGTCAAGTTTCATTTGCATTGAAAAGGAAGGAGTAAGTTATGAGGAGCTGTCGACTAGTGACGTACATGGTATTTGACCTCCACCAGCTCCTTGTCTGTGAAGTACAGCTGCAGCCAGTCCAGGACACGGGACGTGGGGTCGCAGATGAGGGGCCAGGCAGTGGTACTCTTCTCCTGCATCAGGAAACACGCGTTTTCCAACACGAGGCGCGTTGTCGGCAGCCCAATCATCTCCAGGTGCATCACTTCAAGCTGCAGGCAAACACACAACATTATCATCAACACTAGAAACATACTGAAAATCAACTTCAATCTTATTCAATACAAAACATCAGTAAAGTAGTTCTTCTGGAATCCCATAGCTTGAGTGAGAGGGTATGGTTTCAGGAAGCTTCTAGCAATATCTTGGTTGGAGATACCATGAATGGACCCCTGACAAACACTGACTGACGGAATTGGGTTTTACAAACATTTTTAGCAATATCTTAGCCATATCAAAAATGGGGGCACCAAGAATTGGGCTTCACACATTGTACACGGGAGGGGAATTGGCTTTCAATGTAACAAACGAACACATTAATCACCTAGCTACCGTAATGTCCCTCACTGATACACATCTGAGGATCAAAACCATGTGTTTAGTGTGACAAAAATGGCCTTATGACTTAGTAGGCTACCATACTCCATCAATAACTTGAGCGATAAATCTTCACATTCAAATAACGGGGATTAATAACAATTCCTCATCATAACATTAGTTGATATGTGAAAGTTTTTCTGACAAATAACTTCCTGTCAATGTTCCCAATGAAGTATGTCTTGAACATCTGAAACTCAACTGATACTTGAAAGGATCAGTAACAGTGGAACCCATGGTGTTGGAACTTGGCGTACACCAACAGCAACCTGTGTACTGTGACAGGCACAGATGTACTTACAGGCGTGTAGAGGAACTCGATGAGCTCCATGTTCCTGAAGAGCAGCTTGCGATGTAGAGGCAGACCATGGTGCTCACAGACCTGCATGAAGAACTCTCCCATCCGCTTCCTGCAGGAACACACACCAGCAACATTAATCTCACTCTACTGTGTGACCAATACACTATATTCAGATACCTGCAGACACTACTAATACATACGTTACCTGATATGAGTATAAGCAGTGTAGGAAGGTGATCACTTGAATCATATATTATGGAATCAAAGTACTGTGAAACCTTGTCAGACCTAAAGTCCTAAAGTTACATTGAATAAATGTAAAGTTATCCATAACTTGAGACAAAAGGTGTGCTGATAGCAGTTACTTCATCTATATCACATTTATATCACATTCCAATTCCCAGTTCACTAAATATTAAGTCTTTACTTCATCAAACAAAAAGTTCAGATAAATAGCTTCTGTCAGACACTAGTTGAAAAAGGACACAATATGAACCTTAGGTGAGTGAGTGAGTGAGTTGGGTTTACATCGCTTTCAACAGTATTCCAGTTATATCACGGCATGTCAGCTTAATGTGGGAGGAAAGCCTGAAGTGATGCAGGTCTCAGATGTTTACCACTTCGTTGAAACCCACGAGCACCGGTATGGTGCTGACATAGCTTTCTGACGTGCCCAAGGGATGCAACTCTGCACAGTGAATTAGACGACTGGGCCACCCATGCTCCCTATGAACCTTAGGAACTGAACCATGTTGAGGATTAAAAATGGTTTGTCCTGGATTAACCGCCCTCATTTCGTTTCATTTGTATGTTGCTTAGCACCACAGCTCACCAATTTTCAGCTAATTAATCGAGTCTGTACCAGATAATCCAGTCATCCATATTGTGGGCAACAATCTATGCCATTGGGGCACATTAAAGATATTAACAAGCGCTTCAAGCTAATGCATCCCAGACAACCACCCAGGTACTGCTGCCCTGCATGTCTGTGCAACAACCCACCTGGTGTCGATGTTAACAGCTCCGCCGTATGTGAGGAAGGCGGCAGCAGTGACACAGTTAGCCAGCAACAGCTCATTACAGTCGTTTTCATTCACATGTTTTCTCCACATGGACTCCTGGGTCCTCATACTGAAACAAGGCAGACATTGAGGCAGTGTAGGCTAGAAAACAGGCATTAACAAAACGTAAAACTTGATACATTTCCTTCTGCAAATCATAGGCAGGAATACTGAAACCATTTTAATTAGATAACTGAATCCATGAACACAAAGTCAATGTCATTAGTCCGCAGCACAGAGATGAAACTGCTGCAATATGGTTTAGGTAACTTTGGAATCATTTCCTCTCCTGATACCCACTGATTTACACTGATATACAGTTAAGTCTTGTTAATCTCACACTCGTTAATCTGACAATCGGCTTTATCCGACACAAATGATGGGAACCGATTAAATCAGTGTTATTTAGACCCGTTAATCCGTCTTGCACACTGACTCAGACACTCCTAATTTGCAACGAATTACAGAAATCACTCATTAATCAGTCTTGTTAATCTGACAAGCCTGTGTTTTAATGCGAGACGAATCGGCTAGTAGCTGCACATTACAATGACTGCAGAGATAAACTTGTTTAACAATAAACAATTAATGTTTCAAATAAACAAAACAGGATTAACCACATGCTTAGATTAGCTCAATCTCATTTAATTCAGATACAAGTTCTCGCTACCACTGAGGACATCCCATTACACAACCTTTCACAAACTTTGACCAACCAACGAAATGGTCAGTCGAAACAGGAAGTCGACATTAACCACTAAGAAAGGAGTTATTTGAGCTTTGCGGCACTAGTTTCAAACTGGCGACTTCCATTCCAGACTATGCTTTTAAAAGTATTTTAAATCAGTCATACAACCCTGTAGTTTTGTGAGGTTGCATGACTAGAAAACATATTCCACTAACATTGTAATGTAACAATATGAATATTACATTTTTCATTTTTTTATTACAACATGTTTGTATCGTTATCTATCATGTAATTGTCAAATTTTCGATCACAAAGATTGATCCTACTGAATTTCGTTTATCTGACATAATCATATGGAACCAACCATGTCGGATTTACAGGACTTGACTGTACATGTCAATAACAATTCTTTACTTCTCAGACAAGATAACAAAATAACAAATGTCAATGACTTCAATACAATGACAGAGACAGGAACCTCCATCAGTTATACCAGTCCTACCTCTCCACCATCTCTACAGCCGCCTTCAGCCTCTCATTCATCGACTGCAGCTCCATCTCTAGTGAATGTTTCTGGACAACGGCCAGGTCAAACTGAGTCTGAAGCTTGTTGACCACCTCCTGGACCCGGGGCAAGTCCTCCGCTGTCAGATCCTCATCCGGCTCGGAGGATATCTCCTGAGCATCCTTGTCCGGCTAGACAGTCAAACAACAGTGACATATGAGGAAACTAGGTGAAGGCAGGGAGAGCAGTCTTCACTTACTGACCGGTGTATACTCTAACATCCAGGGGTTTCCCAGTGAGGATGAGGCCATCACAGATATCAGTCTCATTGACATTAAACTTTGTGCAAAGGTTCAACAATCACATGAACCATTGAATAGCATCACTGTTCAGTCATTACACAGAGTAAATCTTGCGCACCATTATCTTAACCTTTTCACTCAAGTCACTTTCATCACAGGAAATACAATTTCATGAGCTCACCATTTTGTAAGAGATGCTATTGTTTAGTACTTCAAATTATACATTGAGCTTTTGCAAGCCTCTAAGTGAGTCTAAAAATACATGTGAACATCTGTTCTACCTACACAAGCATGCCAGAGGCGGATTCAGGATTTTAAAAATGGGGGTTGCAACCAACATCAGAAGTGGACAAACACACATGGAGGGACCAGCATTGGTTGACATTTAAGGTGTGAAAATGGGGGATGGGTGCATCCTCAGCATCCACCATCTCTAAATCGGCCATTGCAAACCTAGGGGAGAGCTATTCTATGACTTGATCACGATGGTATTCCACAACACTGAACACTACCTACATCAGTACAGACTAAGCTAGCAGCTCCTATGAGATGGGGGCAACACAATCTCCAGCAACTATAGTCTGCACTAACACAGACGAACATCGGTGATGAGAGTGGAGTGGAGAAGAATGAACCCTGACACAGAGGTCACCCAGTACAATCATCACCACACAGTGGCTCGACACACACATGCACAAAGCTATCTTTGTGCTTGGACTAGAAGTCTTTGTAGCACTAACACTACTTTGTTCAAGGTAAACCTCACAGCTGCATGTGAGCTGGTTTGAAAAATAAGTGACAATGAAAGCACTTTCCCTGTATTTTATGTCAGAAAACTGGTACGTGAGTCCAAGACTCTCCAAGAAAGCCAAGAACAGATCTGTTCTCCCAGAACATTGACGGAGGAAGGAAGGAAGGAGACAGACAACAGGTCACTATCTAACACATCATCACCAACCTGCATCTTGTTTAAAACCTGTTACAACATGTAACATATCAGGGGATCACACATTACCAAATAAAACCCAATAATACCTTCATTCCCTTCACCATGCTTATAAAGAAACCAATTGACATTGTTTAAAGTTACGTTATGAGATTCATGACAACAGCAGTGCATGTTGAAAGAGTGAAAGGACTTTCTGCTATGAGAACATGGAGAATAAGTTTAATTGCTTTATTCATCGATACATCATGCAATCAGCTTCAAGTGATGAGACCAACCTTTGTCAAATGAACCCATTTCTACCAGCAGCAAGAAGACAAAATACAGCTGAATTACAGGCATCTTGAAACCTTGTCTTCATCAATGATGACAATCATAGCAACACAGGGAAAAGTTTACTTACCAAGAAACTCTAGAAGGATATATCACCAAGCATACACACTTTCAGAAAAATAAAGTATTGTCAGGCCACATCAACATGTCAATTAGATCACCGCCATTTCTTCTCTGGACATGCACTACTCATGACTACTTTCGACATGTACTACTCAAGACTACTCAAGACTACTCTTCATGTACAACTCAAGACTACTCTCAACACAGTGGTGATCTAATTGATCTAATTGATATATATCAATTGAAATATTTCATCAGATTTTCGACATGTTCACAGCTGATGCAACACTCACCTTGATGGACAGTTTTGTCAAGAATTTTAGTTTTGTTTTAATTAAATGTTTGAGAAAAAATCAAATCGTGATTTTTAGTGCCAAAAATCCAATTCAGGTGCAAAAAATAATTTAATTTTCAAAGCTATGTCAAATGTTAGCAAGGGAAGAAAATGTAACAATGAGATCATAATGGCTACCCAGTCATTCATTCCCCTTGAGACAAGTACTTCCTAGATCCCGCATATACTAGGTGCATACACAGTGAGCTGGTTAACATGAACTCCTCCCTGTTTGAGGACTGGCGGGTAGTTAGTACATGCATTCATTGACAAAATATCAGCTTGTTAAGCATATTAGAATATCACATGCAGTGTATAGGGACACAGATGTCACCTGTCAAAATTCAGATCAACAAAACGTGAGTGAGTTGGCTTGGAGCTGCTTTGAACAATATTTCATGTCACAGGGAGTCAGCTGCATGTGGGAGGAGAGAACAAAGTAATGCAGGCTGTAGACATTTACCACTTGGATGATACTGACGAGAATAGGTGTGGCGCTGACAGACCAAGGACCTTAATTGGGGCAAATCTTGGATTCCAACCCATTAACAGCTAAGGGAGGCAACTCCAAGGACCTTAATTTGGGCAAATCTTGGATTCCAACCCATTAACAGCGCATCTTACCACAGCTAAGGGAGGCAACTCCAAGGACCTAAATTGGAGCAAATCTTGGATTCCAACCAATTAACAGCTAAGGGAGGCAACTCCAAGGACCTTAATTTGGGCAAATCTTGGATTCCAACCCATTAACAGCGCATCTTGCCACAGCTAAGGGAGGTAACTCCAAGGACCTTATTTTTGGCAAATCTTGGATTCCAACCCATTAACAGCGCATCTTGCCACAGCTAAGGGAGGCAACTCCAAGGACCTTAATTGAGGCAAATCTTGGATTCCAACCCATTAACAGCGCATCTTGCCACAGCTAAGGGAGGCAACTCCAAGGACCTTAATTGAGGCAAATCTTGGATTCCAACCCATTAACAGCGTATCTTGTACTGACAACTGCAGAGCCTTACATCACAGGAAAAACAGTGCCTGCAATATCTGCAGGAATACAGCTAACAGTGACTCAGTGAACACAACTGTGTCGACACAATGTTATGGACAAGGCACTTTCTAAACACAAAAATGATTAATTGCTGTTAGCAAACTTAAAGAATCTTGATGAAATCAATAGGGTTAAACTAGACTATTTGAAATATACCTGGCTGGCCAGCTGAAATAAACAAATGTCAGTGTTAAGTTGGGTGTTTTAGATGTTAATCCCCACATTTCTGTTCCCTCAGCTCGTTGTCAAGGTGTTAAATATTATTAACCATTGATCTCAAACCTCTTAAAAACAAGTTGCACAGGCTATATTGTTGGTTAAAATCAGACCACCCAAACTATGCTACAAGCATTGTGACTGAAATTTAAAAGTTACAACCAAAACACCTTCAATAATGCTAATATCAATCCACCAATACTTATTAAAAATGTAATTTTAAAATTCATTAAAAAAAACTTATCATGAATATTTACACTACTGATACTAAAATATGTTTTCACAAACTACTTTTGACATCATATGAATAGAGAAAAAGGATATTTTTCAAGTTTACATAGAGTGAGTGAGTATAGTTTTACGCCGCATTCAGCAATATTCCAGCAATATCACGATGGGGGACACCAAAATGGGCTTCACACATTGTACCCATGTCGGGAATCGAACCCGGGTCTTCGGCGTGACGAGCGAACGCTTTAACCACTTGGTTACCCGACCACCCCAGTATACATAGAAGACTACAACACTGTTAAGCATGAACATTCATGATCACCAATAGATTAAAATGTATTGAAAGGTATGTAACCATAAAATATTGAACCATTAGATATGACATGAGAGAAAGAAAACAGATCTATCACTACAGCTAGTTTACACTATTGAAGGAGGTGGAGAATGAAGCAAAATGATGACCATTGTTTAAAATAGTTAAAAAGAATAAATTCACAGAGAGAGCTATGAAACTTATGGACAGCTTTCTACAAAGAGTTTGACAAAGATGACATAAGCACTGAGAAGACGTTATACTGCTGCAAATGTTTAAAAATTAAAATTAAAATGAAAAAATATATACGCATATTAATAATTGGTTACAAGAGCATTGTAAACCTTGAAAGTTACCTCTCTTCTAATCCTTGCCTGGTTACACAGAAACAACAATGTGAGAATCAAAAGATATTCCTTAAAAACATTCTGAAGAAAAAGCTCTCTCATTATGAAAACAAATAAATACTTCATTAATTAATTAGTGCATACATTTAGTCATGAGATGAGCTATTGGTGACATTATGGAACAAATTTGTCTTGCTATATTTGGAGAAATATGAACACAATTGATGCTTAAGAAATTAACACTTTGAAATAATTTGTTCCATAACATTTACATTCCGTGTTTTCTACAAGTACAAGTACACTCACAGCAAATCACACATTCAAATTTCACAAGGTTTAATCCAGGGTCATTAAAACCAACTAAGACAAGAGTATACTCTTCTGAATAATACTAAAAATAGTCCACTTTTCAGCGGTAGAAACTAACAGTTTCAGCCCACTAGTCCTTATAATGATAGCAGAACCTTTAAAAATGTCAAAATTCTACTAGTCTTTAGGATACCTTTACTATTGGGCAGTTTGGCAAGGACTATAGGACAAGTGACAATTTCTTACCCTGCTTTTCATCAACTTCATGTACACCAGGTACAGGAGCTGATCCTTCAGTTCTGGTTTAGAGTGAGTGAGTGAGTTGGGTTAACTCCGCTTTGAACATTATTCAGTTATATCACAGTGTGTCAGCTTAATGTGGGAGGGAGCCAGGTTGTAATCATTTTAATTTTTGTTCAACCGGAATAGGTATGGTGCCGGCATACCAAGAATCACGATGATAACATTCCCTTCCAATTTTACAGGACCTAGATTAAACCTTGTTTCTCCCTCCTTCCCAGGCACTTACTTCTTCCTCCTGCTGCCGCTGCAGTCTCTCGTTCTCTTCAATCTCCCGTTCCAGTTCACTCAGCTTCTCCATTGAAGCCTTGAGCGGCCCACAGAGGCGTGTGTACTCAACAATGGCGATGGTGTACTGGACCAGGGTGGCGCAGTCTTCACTGGAATACTTGGCACCGGCGATGGTGATACCTTTAGTGCCGTCAGGGGATGGTGTCCTCTTCACAGCTAAGAAGGTCTTCTCTGTGGAAAGAGTGGAAATGGTGTTGAGGTGAGGTGAGGTGAGGTGAGGTGAGGTGAGGTGAGGTGAGGTGAGGTGAGGTGAGGTGAAATGGGGTTTAACCTCACGTCCAGGATTATTGCACTTATATAGCATGCACGTGTGGGTGTGTGTGGCTGCTTGCACTAGTCGGGACTAATGCCGATTTTATAGTGCTAGCCACACCGAAATACCATGCTGCAGCTTAACATGAATACTCTACTCAGACACAGTATACTGACTCCGAGCCGACCAGTCCTTGTTTTAGCCCCTTAATGCTGAGCGCCAGACTGGGTAACAACAAGTACCATCTTTTAAAGTATTTTGGTATGACGCAGCCAGGGATCAAACCCCGGACCTTCTGTTCCCCGGGTAGACGCTCTACCACTAGACCACCGAGCCGGTCGAAACAGTGTGGAAGTGCTCAAATCAAGGCAAGTAGTCAGCGTGTACATTAATGTGGGAGGATATATTTGTTTAACAATATTCCAGCTATATGATGGCGCTCTGTAAATAATCAAGCCTGGATCAGACAATCCAGTGATTGACATAATGAGCATTGATCGACGCAATTGGGATACGATGACATGCATTAACCATGTCAGCAATCCCGTTAGTCTCCTCTTGCGACAAGCATAGTCACCTTTTACGGCTATCATGGGTTGCTAAAGACCTATTCTACCTCAGGTCTTCACTGGTCAGGAGGATATGTGGAGCAGGTGCTAGACAGACTACTTCAGTGAAACCCATGAGTTTGGGAATGTTGCTAATAAACCAGGGATAATAATAGGGCATCTAGGTTCAAAATCCACTGCAAAAGGATCCTGCCTTGGCTAAGGGATACAACTCTGCACAGTGAATCGGAGCACCCTCAGACGACTGCACCATCCATCCTTGAAGGCAAGTACCAATATGATGCATGGGCTTTGTTGTTTCAATAACCTTGAAGTGAAATATTGTCGTGGGGACACCATATGGGTCATAATTGTTCAACCAAGCCACTTCAAACCAGGATATTGTGTGACATGGGTAAACCCACTAAACACTGTGCTTCAACACCACTGTGTATCTTTTCAGGTACTTTTTGCCCACATCATTTTGACACAACTGTAGATATTTACCCCCAGCTTTTATGTCAATGCACATATTTCACTCAAACCAAATGATTTTTTTCACTCAAGTCACATTGATATTGACAATAAAATGTGTATTTGCAAAGTTTCAGAGATTCAAAAACAACTAAACAAATAGAAAAACACATTGTAAAGATTGATATGATAAAACAATAAAAGGGTTACCTGCAGCATTGTCGAGCAGAGTTCCTTCCCCTGTGACCCCTAGCTGACCTTCCTTGCTGACAGCCAGGTAACTCTCAACAGCTGAACAATGGAACAACAAGAGGAAGACTTGAGTGCATAAGCACTGTGTTCAGTATGTATGCTTTCCAACACTTTGCTATTCAATGAAAAAACTAAATGTCACAATTTTAGCAAGTGTTATTTCATGTCACAGTCAGCAATTCATTTTCAAGCATTTCCAGTTTCAAATCAGACTTCTTTTTAGTGAGTGAGTGAGTATGGTTTTAAGCCGCTTTTAGCAATATTCCAGCAATATCACGGCGGGGGACACCAGAAATGGGCTCAACACATTGTACCTATGTCGGGAATCGAACCCAGGTCTTCAGCGTGACGAGAAAACATTTTACCCACTAGGCTACCCCACTGCCCCACTTCTCTTGAGGAATATAGGATCAATTGCATATCAATAAGAAGTTCCACCTTTAAAAAAACATGTTCATTAAATATTTTGCAAATTATGATAGCCATTCATATTCCAAAACGAAGAGTAGAGTTCAAAACGGGCTAGTGCTAGCTGTGCAAGGTCTTGTCACAGCATCACTGAGAACCCTTGGGAACCAGGTGAAAATAACACTAGCTCCTCTACCACCTAAAGGACCACTGACTTGTCCGGCCCACAATGACAGTCTTACCAGTCAGCACATCTTCAGGCAGCCCATCCTCCCAGGACACATTGTGCAGCATGTCCACAAACTTGGGGGAGTCGTTCATCGTCAGCTGCATCTGCTTCCACTGTGTCTTGTCAAACCTTTCCCCATCCTTTATTTTGGCAGCTGAAACATGTATCACCAGTTGTCATATGGAACAGTGTGGAAATAGACATCATGAGAGAGTGAGTTGCTTTTTAAGCCGTTTTGAACAGTACTTTAGTTACCGTATTCGACGTAATAAGCGCCCCGCTCTAATAAGTGCCCATGGCGAAATTTGCTTATATATTGGCTAGTGAACAATCCCAATTAGCACCCTTCCGATTGATCAATGTACACAAGACTTATTTATTCGTGTATAATACGCACTCATGTGTTATATGCACCCTTAATTAAGGGCAATTAAATTCTGGAAAAATATATCTGTCGTGTATAATACGCACAGACTTTTCTTTTGAATCATTTCAGGCTGTCAGCATAAACCACGAAATTTACGATCTTTCAACTCTTTCACAAAATTATATTCTAATAAGAGCCCCCTTTTTCTAATTTTGAGAGCGCCCTGAGCGCTTATTACGTCAAATACGGTATGTCACGGTCTGTCTGCCCAAAGTGATGCAGCTCTTAGATGCTGACATTTTTGGTGCAACCCACATACAAGGGTATGGTGCTGATAAACCAAGATTCAAAATCTAAGATTCAAACCCAAGATCAATGGATTCTGTCAATGCCAACTTTTGCACATTAAATGCCTCACACGTCTTGGCCACATATTCCCCCTTGTCATCATAAAGATAATAATCAGAAATGGTAAAATGTTTGTTTGTTGTTCAAAGCCACACAGAGCAGTATTCCAGCTATATGACAGCAGCATACAAGCAATCAAGTCTGGACCAGACAATCCAATGATCAATATTGTGAACAACGATCCTTTCCATCAGGGTACGAAGACACGCTTCCAACCAAGTGACCGAACCAATCTATTGGGTTGCCCCCTATGACCAGTGTAGGTTGCTGGGGACTTAATCTAACTCGGAATCACCATGGGGTAGGTCAAATGTAAATAATTTACTGATTATGATTCTTGTAAATAGACTGCACATGAAACTGTATGAACAGTTTCCACAGCTGTCTCAGGTTAGAAATCAACACAAACACACTAGCCTGAGTTATGGGTTATAACTCATGGGTTAGAATTACAAAACGTTGGGTCTTGTATAACCCTGATGTTAAAAGTTGAAACTTTAGGAGCCCTAGATTCAAATACTATAGCAGCAAATATCAAGGATCCTTTGACAGACACCTATATTTTTAGCACTGCAAAAGGATATAAATAATATACATTCAGGCTATTGATGAAAATAAAATGGCACACTCTTAAACATGTCAACAAAATATTACATTACTTATCGATGATACACATCAAACAATTCTTAGAGGCAGGTTAACACTTAGCATCACTGTCACACGACCAGACAGACAGACAGACAGATTACACAGACTGGTGACACGGACTTCAGGAAACATGAAGCATTTTAGAGATGGATTTGGTTAGCACCACTTTGATATGTACCGAACAGTTATGTTGTACATGGTGTATCAGTTTCTTGTGAGTGTACAGAGTGATGCAAGGTGATGCAACGTGTAGACGTAACCACTGTTGGCAGACTAAGGATGCTAATCAGGGTGAATCTGGGATTCAAACCCAGGAGTAGAGGAGCCTGATTCAGTGTAGGGATGCAGCTCTGCACAAATAATGCAGAACAAGGTTGGATGATGTACGATACAGACAAACAGAGTCAGGGTCTGAGACAGACTGTCAGATACAAACAGACACACAATCAGTCAGATACAAACAGACACACAATCAGTCAGAAACAGACAGCCAGATACAAACAGACACACAATAAGTCAGATACAGACAGTCAGATACAGACAGACACAGTCGGTCAGAGTCAGTCAGAGACAGACAGACAGACAGACAGTGTAAGAGACAGAGACAGACAGAGAGTCAGAAACGGACAGACAGTGAGTCAGGCAGACAGTCGGCAACAGACAGAGTCACAAACAGAGACAGACAGAGAGTCAGAAACGGACAGACAGTGAGTCAGGCAGACAAAGTCGGCAACAGACAGAGTCAGAAACAGAGACAGACAGAGAGTCAGAAACGGACAGACAGTGAGTCAGGCAGACAGTCGGCAACAGACAGAGTCACAAACAGAGACAGACAGAGAGTCAGAAACGGACAGACAGTGAGTCAGGCAGACAAAGTCGGCAACAGACAGAGTCAGAAACAGAGACAGACAGAGAGTCAGAAACGGACAGACAGTGAGTCAGACAGACAGTCGGCAACAGACAGAGTCAGAAACAGAGACAGACAGAGAGTCAGAAACGGACAGACAGTGATCGAGTCAGGCAGACAAAGTCGGCAACAGAGCCACAAACAGAGACAGACAGGCAGACAGACAGGCAGATGTAGAAGCATACACTCACTCATCAAGTCAGATAACAATGTTCAATTCAGACAAACATGCACATATCACAGTATTTTCACAACACCAACGGGACATGTTATAAAAACAACAACAATAAACAATGCTATATATAAGACATGAAGTCGGAAGTATACACAGGTATATTAATGATCACTGCATATCAGTAAACTCAAACCTGTTGATGGCTTCTTAGGAATAGGAACTTCAGCCGCTACATATTCAGGAAAGAACACATGCTATGTTCAACCACCAAGAGTAATGTTGTTCATCCCAATTACAGACAATTATCAATTCTCAAAATTACCAGTTATTGCAATCATAACTGTCTGACAAATGACAACATCAACAAACAATACCAATTTTAAGAATACAAGTTCCACCTCCCTACGAATATATATGACATGGTCAGACAGCTGGAGGCAGTTATTGGGATGACACTGGGACCACTACCTAGCATGAATCGTGTGCAGTGGGAAATAACTCAAGCATACAACTCAAAAGAAGCTAAAGAACACCCAAGTTTTTCATATGACTATAGATAATCTGTCATGCCATGATTAACTATCTTAAAGTTCTTTTGAGTGGTGTATTTCTCTTATCAAAGAAGAGCTCGACGGGACCAAATTTCCTACTCGATACCCAACCCCCTATTACTCTACTGGGGCCCAGGGAGTACTTCAGAGGAATATAGCGGATGAAGAGCGAAGATAATCGGAACTCGGCAGGAAATATAAAGGGAGATGATTTAATGTATCAATAAGCAGTATAAACGTAAAAAATATGGAGATATAGTGCATTTTAATACAGCTATTATGAGTCTTTATATAAATCAAGCTCAACACAAAATCAAACACGTCCAAATTATTTTTTTCTTATCTACAGTCCTCTGATCGATTGACCGGTCTGGGTAACTAATTAATACCCGAGCAACAGCATTATCCTATCCAGACTCGGGTACCCGGTGTACCCGTCCCAGCCCTTGTATCAGGTGGGTCAGCCATCCCCCCACCCTCATAAATCTTAATAATAGAAGTCAATCTTAGATTGCATGTTCTGAAAAGGGAAAATCATGTACTGTAACCTTTTTCTCCCCATATTACATCTGACCAGGCATTTTAATATCAGGGCAGGCATTTATTTACTGCTCTCCGTCGATCGACCCAGTGATTTTTCAAAGGAGACATTAAGAAGATACTCACACTTCTTGATGATGAACTTGGTGCTGGAGGAGCTAGAGGACATCCTGCTGGACATGTCCTCCTTCATTGGGGACAGGTCCAGTATCCTCTGTGACGGCAGCCGCTTCCCGATCAGCATCATCACCATCTCCATCACCTGGCCCACCAGCGTTGGTGGGTTGGCGAACGCCCTCAGACGTTCAATACACTGCCGGTCAACCTTAGACTTCCAGTATACCACCTGCCACACAGATATGTTTACACTTAGCTCAGACACACAGGCAGGAACGTAAAAGCAGAATTTTCAGAAGGTTGCCCAAATGTTACATCCAGGTCAACCAGTAAAAGAGATTTTGTTAAAACATATTTTAGTCAGATGGAATAAAAAAGGACACAATTCTCCCAGTTGAGATGCCCCTTGACCTCACTATTGGCAATGGATAGTACCTGTAAACATATTCCTCTGAGCCATATAAATTAAACAAATCAAATGTGGATATTTGGAAAATAATGAGCAATATGAATGACTTTCCATCAAAAATAATTCTGTCACCATATTTCTTTTGTCTAAGATACAACAAGACACCAAATACTAATGAACAATACTGGTGGTTGACAGGGGAACATTTTTATAAACACTTATTATGCATGCTCGGTATATAATCCGGGGCGGTCGGCTAGCCTTGTGGTTAAAGCGTTCACTCGTCACGCTAAAGACCCGGGTTCGATTCCTGACATGGGTACAATGTGTGAAGCCCATTTCTGGTGTCCCCCACCATGATATTGCTGGAATATTGCTAAAAGCGGCGTAAAACCATACTCACTCACTCACTCACTGTATATAATCCAGTCAACCTAGATAAAGCTGTTGCAATAAAACCTGTTCTATTCTCCAACAGTGATAATCAATGCTACTGTTTTTGCATAAAAAACCCTTGAGATTTAACACCCATTTCCAGCATCCTAGGCCACAGTTTAGAGTATACCGTATATGTTCAGAAAACAGGTTCTCTCTACACACCACGGGTGTCATCCTGTTACAGTGCATGAAGCTAGCATCTCTTCTGACACTGACACATATACATCCTCAATAACCCAGTGTATTACATCTCATTTCTACAGTCATTTTACTGTGGATATTCTCCTAATCATAACAAAATATGAAACAAATTGTTATGACATCTTGTGTATAGTGATGCTGACCTGTTGCCGAGAGTCCTCCAGGCTGCGTCGACACTCCTCCAGGGTCTTCTGGGCCTGGCCATACTCATCCTTGGCCTGCACCTGCCTCGTCTTCAGGGTCGCCTCTCGCATCTTGTCAAACTCCACATCATAGTCATCCCACTCTTCTGCGGTACAGAATATACACATCTCTACACTCAAATCACTGTCAGACTATATTTGACTACTTCACCCTGTCTAAACAATCCTTTGCTGAAGACGATGTTGACTATTAGCAGGTAATGATTATCATTATTTCAACAAATAAAATTACAAAACAAAATCATGAGCATAACTGGAGGTGTTTTCAAGGAGTTGCAAAAAAGAAGCAGCTCCTTTACTGCCATTTCCTCAAAGCTCCACAAATCATAATATACCATGTACTTCCAGTCCCAAAACATCCAGATCTTGACCTTATGATAGATTATAATAATCTGTTTATACAGTGCCAAGTTCCAGGTAGGCTGCTCACAGGTGTTTATATGTGGAAAAAAACCAGGTGAGTCTTTAGTTCCTTGCAGAAAGTGTGGAGATTGGATGCAGATTAGATTTTCATGGGAAGACCTCAATCAAGACAGCCTCATAACATCCAACAATTTCAGGATGGTGCAAGATCTTTTTAGCTGCCAATGAACAATGTAACCATGTTTCACAATAACCTAAGCTACAAACTTTAAAAAGATAGTTCTCATGACCTTGACCTTTGATCTTCTCATCTCGTGCCAAAAGAATTCCCAACGTCTGTTTGAAATAAGTCCAATGACTGTTATCCTCTAATGTCAATAAACTTCACACCATATCCAAGTGAAAGTCAGAGACAACGACATTTACCTCAAAGGTGACCTTGACCTTTGGCATAAATGCAGTTGACGTGACCTGGTAGGATTTGTTTAGAAATATATAATTATGTTTTAATGCCTGTAGAGGTAGGCAGGACTCAGATACAACTATGTTTTACAAAAAAACAACAACTGAATGCTGACCTTGACATTGTATGAATATTAAACAAGCCCTTCTGGAGTAGAGAAAGAAAACACAGCATCACCTTGCTTGAGAAGTTCATCTTCTTCCTCTTCCTCTTCCTCAAATTCATTCAGATGAAGGTATGCATCTAAAGACTTGCTGAGACCGACCTTGGCCTTGAGCTTCTCCAGGGTCGTGGCCTTGTATGTGAGTTGGTTGAGAAGGTCAGCAGTCACCTTCTTGGCCTCCTCAAACTGGCTGGTCTTTGTCTTGATGGCCTTCTTCATCTTCTTGGCATCAGATCGGGTCTGGTCAAGTGTGGACAGCAGCTTCCTGTGACCGGAAAGAGGCCAAACCATTATCATACCATTGACAGTATAAAGGGATGAGAACAGTCACTTGCCAAGCAACTGGTTTGTTTCTCAACAATAGCATAGGAAAATTTAATGTGTTTATACATATATAAATTGGTTATTTGAAATCAAAAGAAACAATCCAAAAGGCTCTGTAGCTCACCTGCTATGACTATGCAAATGTTTCAGTATGCATGCACAAATACATTGACATCATAAGCCCACAGTCAAAGTCTGATTCAATTTAAACTATATTCAACTTGAAAATTATCTTTTGCAATGATATCTATAGTGACCACAGTTCAGCCTTTGTTTTGCTTATTTGTTTGTTGTTTCACACCACATATATTCCAGCTATATGATGGTGGTCTGTAGATAATCATGTCTGGACCAGACAATCCATTGATTAACATCATGAGCATTGATCTGAGCAATTTTGACACAATGACAGCCTGCCTGACCTTCCAATCCTGTTAGTCGCCACTTACGACAAGCATGGGTACCTGAAGATTAATTCCAGCCTTCACCTTCAATGTGTCAGCTTTTGGTGCTTCATTTACGAGATGATAGCTGAATTTGTTTTCATAAATTGTATATTTTTTTCAGTTCCTCAGACAAGAAAATATATATTCAACTTCAGCCTCTTTAAATTTCGGAACAATACCAAAGATTTCAGCTGAATCCATTACAGCTTCCTGGAGAAGACATACAAAATGTGGAAAGTAGCCAGGACAGAATAATATTTGATTAAAAATGAATAATGTGTAGCAACTATGACAATCTTGTCTGTCCCCAGTGATTCACATGCAGCTACCACACAGCAACCTCCCACAGAGATGTATCAGCTATCCCCGAGACTCACTTGAGTTTCTCCACCACCTCCGTCCTGTCTGTGGCCTTGTGGGTGTAGAGGTAGCGGAAGCAATCCATGAACCGCCGGTATGTCGTGGGGCCCAAGAACACCTCATTCTTTGCAGGGACACTTGTGTCACGATGCTGCAGTCTGATGGCAAACAATATGAAGATGGACTTTTGTTAGTGAGATATCTTTTCAGTCAATTCTTCAAGACATAAAAATGCTGCCACAAAAGGAGAAGTTGTAATTATCATTTTTCTTTTCAGGATATCGATCATGTCCAGTGAACAATTATTATTTGGATGTAAAACCTGAAGATAAGTTGTTCTTTCTGCAAAAACAAATTGGGATACAATGACATGTATCAACCAAGTCAGCAAGTCCGATCCCCCATCCCCTAAGCGACTCTTACAACAAGCATGGGTTGTTGAAGACCCATTCTAACCCGGATCTCAACTAAAAAAACACAAAGAAGCAGGCATTTGCTATCATGATAAGTATAGATACGTTTCCAGACATGTGATAAATTGTCCACAACAGCTTTAGGGTCATGAAGGTTGTGTGTTGCCTGCAGTGACCTTCAATGACTGTTCCACTCACTTGATTCTCTCGTGCAGGATGGTTTTGGAGTACGGCAGGTTGGGCACCTTGATGGTCGTCACCTTCAGCTGGTCCTTCTTCTTCTCTGTGACCTTCACAGTGTTAAGGCTGATCTCGGGACTCAGCTCCCCGGCCCACGGCATCTGCTTACAGTCTCGCAGCACAAAGCTGTGGATGTTGGCCAGGCAGGTTGTCACGTTGTCGCTGGAGAGGATGAACAAGTCATTTGCTAGAGTGTGAAGGATGTGGGTGACAACATTGTAGCTGCATCATTGTTGTAACAGCAGGAATGGGCTTCACATATTGTACGTACATAGTGTGTTTATCTTACATACCATTGATTGATTGATTGATTGATTGATTGATTGATTGATTGATTGATTGATTGATCAACACTACTTGTAACAGTATTCCAGTTATATCATGTCTTGTCAGCTTAATGTGGGAGGAAAGCCCAAAGTGATGCAGGTCTTAGACGTTTACCACTTCATTGAAACCCACGAGCACGGGTATGGTGCTGACAAACCTAGATACATAATTGGAACGAACCAGGATTCGAACCCACAGTCATAGGTTTCTTGCATGCCCAAGGGACGCAACTCTGCACAGCGAATAGTGTCCCCTTAGACGACTGGGCCACCCGTGCCCCCCCGATACAAGAAGCAGCATCAGCAGCAGTCTTACCTCAGGTCCTCGAACTCTTCAGTCAGTCTGTGTTTGGTGATGAAGTAGTTAGCATCTCCTAGCAGGGACTCCTGCGGCCAGTCACACATCCAGTTGATCTGACAGCCACTCAGCAGACCAGGGTACTGGCTGCAACACACATGGAAGTCCGAGATATTGAACAGCCCGTAAATATTCATGTCTCATAGTGCTGGGATGAGTCCAAATTTACTACCCGGGTACCCGACCCCCTATTACCTTCCTCTACCTGGGTACCAGCTATATGTCTTAAGAGAAAGGTACAAAATGTATGATTGGGACTACCTTAACCATACCCCAAGCAAAATGCCCTTAGATACACATACAGAACGATCTGGTCATGCATACGCTGAATTTGCCTGAAGCTTTATCTTTATTCAAACATATGAAAGTCAGAAGGAATGTGTGCATAGTCAGAAAGAAATGCGAACATTAGTGACTTGCAGTGTAACCATGAAGTTCCAGATAACTTTTGTCATTAAACAATATATTACGGCGTGTCAGCTTAATGTGGGAGGAAAGCCCAAAGTGATGCAGGTCTTAAACGTTTACCACTTCGGTGAAACCCACGAGCACGGGTATGGTGCTGACAAACCTAGAAACATAATCGGTGCGAATCGGGATTCGAACCCACAATCTGGTATCTGGCGTGCCTAAGGGACGCAACTCTGCACATCAAATTGCCAAATTAATGAGACAGGGCTCAACAACAAAACACATGCAAGTGTTGGTCCAGGGTTGTGCTACTCACTGTGATGCGTTCCTGATGAGAGGATGTCCTGGGGGCAGACAGATGATGATGTGGAGGTTGCTCTTCACCCTCGACACAAAGAACTTCATGGGGTCCACGGACATACTGGGGAACTCACGCTTCATGGCAGGGTGGATAGCCTGAGAGCAATACAAACCAGATGTGACTGATAGTTAAACTATTTTGGCTGGAGCCTTTATGTCTGGTTATCCAAGGACTAAAAACAGGAACTGTGTGGACCAAGGCTTTATTGCTCTTGATGAAATGAAGAGTGATAATAATCTGTACTTGGGAACAACCACTGAACATTCTAGGGGGTGGCCTGGGATTTTTTAAATATTTTTTTATAGTTTTTCAGTGACATTTTTTTTCAATGAAAGGAGCTGAAGATCTACTTTTTTCAGAACATCCAACATGTCCTCACCAGTTCACTATTTGTAACTAGAGGCCAAATTATTTTTAACACTATTTTCTGGAACATATTTATTTTCAAACAAATCAAATACCCACCGGGATATCAAAGGGTCGGTGCTACACTTAAGGGGCTAAGAAGGTGTGAGTAAAGCCTACCTGTAGTAGTCCATCCATTTCATCATTAGAGAAGAGGTGAGGGTACTCCCCACTGACCAGGAGACTGTTGATAGCGTCCAGGTACACTGGGTCAGCCAGGTCACGCGACTGCAACACATCATCACATGGCTAATAGTGGTCGAATAGTCAAAAACTTGTCAATGTTACATTAAATTGTAGATTTTATCCAGTGTGTGACCCTTTTGTTTGGGTTGTGACCATGATGATGCTGTGTTGTGTTTGGGTGAAATGTTTTTTGAAGCTGGAAACTTTTGTTCAAGCATGTTTTCACATAGGATCGAAAGAAGGAGACATGAATAGTGTGAGATAGGATAAGTTAAAAAATTTGTATAATTTTGCCAATTTCATTACCAGCCCAAGAAATAAGATATCAAAGGAGTCAGTATGTTTGTCTTGGCGATATGATTTGCATTGATAGGACATTTTCAAACATGCTAAGTTTAAGCTGGTGCCAAGTGGCTAAGTTATAACAACACTATCACACAATGGTCACAGAAGGAACTCAAGAACCGTTACACAATACCATTTTCTATGTCTATCACTGTGATGTTTTCAGATCCTGTTAAAAGATAAGAAAATCACAACTGAGCTCAACACAAGAGGCAGATCCAGAGTTTTAGAAACTTGGATTTCACTGGTTCAATACACGGAACAGGTCATGTCAGGTCTGAATAAAAAGGGTAGGGGACAGGAAAGCACCCCACTGTGGATCCACCACGGGTTCAGCACTAGTTTGTTTGTTTGTTTGTTTGTTTGTTGTTTAACGCCGCACTCAGCAATATTCAAGCTCTATGACGGCGATCTGTAAATAATCGAATCTGGACCAGACAATCCAGAGAAAGACATCATGAGCATCGATCCACGCAATTGGGATCGATGACATGCATCAACCAAGTCAGCGAGCCTGACCACCCGATCCCGTTAGTTGCCTGTTACGACAAGCATAGTCGCCTGTTACGGCAAGCATGGGTTTCTGAAGACCTGTTCTACCCGGGATCTTCACAGGTCTCAGCACTAGTATCCACTACTTACAGTAAACATCAGTGTGATGATCTTGCCCTCGGATCCACTGAGTCGGATGGCAGAGCGGAGACCATCAAAGAAGTTGCTCTGTTTGGCCGTGTCCACCTTGTGTATAGGGATGTCAGCTACATGCAGGGCCAGGCGACACAGTGTGGCCAGGTGAGAGCCCACAGCTCCGATCAGCAGCAGATTCCCACTGAGCAGATCAACACAAGGCTCAATGAGTGAAATAAAGGGTCCAAAACAACCTGCTTCATCCGGGACCCGTCCACAAAACAATCTTAGTGCAAAGAGGATCTAAACTCCCATACTTCTAATATAGGTTTACAATAGCCGCTAAGATCACTTTGTTGAACAGGGCCCTGGTTTTAAATAATGTTCAAAGTCTTTGTACATATTGTGTATGAGTAATACCAAATAAAATTTATTTGTTATCGAAGATGTTTGAGGTATTCAAAGTATTTACTTAAAATCAAAGATTTCATAACCAAGGAAATAGTGTTCACATCGGTACATGAAATGCATGTAGCATGTGCCAAACTTGTACTTATGTTCCATGTCTACTGACCCATGACGGAAGCTGATGACTCGATGCATCCTGACAACGTGGGAGATGATGAAGTCAGACAGCATGATGTTGAGTCTGACGTTGCCGAACTCCTCGTTGTAGCGGGTCAGATGGGTGTTGAGGCAACTGTGCAGGTCTCGCAGGTTCTCTATTGGTTGCAGCATTACCTGTGGTCAAAAAATAAAATAACTCCATGTCTAAAGAGGAGGCTGTATTTCAAGACAAGCTTGATCAAACAGTACTATCAGGAAAACTATCATGGGAAAACTCTGCAACATTAAGTCAGATTCTGAGGCTGTGACACCTTGCAAACAAAAACTCTGCAGTCTTGAAAGATGATGCATCTATCAGCGGTAGAAACTAACAGTCTCAGTCCACTTGTCCTTATAAATGATAACATATAGCAAAATCTTTAGAAACTGCAGATTTCTACTCGTCCTTATGATACCTTAACTATTGGGCAGTTTGGCAAGGATTGCAGAACTAGTGCAGTTTCTAATGCTGTCTCTATACTCACAGCAGAAGCCTCATCAGCACTCTGGTCTAACATTAGTCCTGAACTTGTCTCAAACTACAGCTCATTACTTATGCAAACATATCCAGGCATATCATTACAAAAGAATTGGAATCACACCATTTTCTGTCCTTCAAACAAAGTGAAAACCTGACCCAGAAAGTAGACACATTTAAGATAAGATTGATAAAAAGGTTCTATCACTGAATATGAGTTTGAAAGTAAGCAAGGGGTCCTTGTCATAACCCAACTCAAGACTTTTCAATGTAAAACATTTTGGGGTCGCTATATCTGTATACTATAGGAGCAAACATTTAGGAATACCTTAATGTTGAACACTGCTGAATACGCAAGATGGTCAGATTCTAAACTATCCAGTTTGTGTTGTGTCTTAATCTTAGGGTCTTCAGCAGACGTACCTTAATCTGCTTTGTCCCAAGAGATGTGACCGGTCTCTGATACATCCGGGCATCAACTGGGAACGTCACAAAGTGTTCATGAAGTGGTCCTTCCAGCTTAGGCCAAGTCTGCAAACAGAACACAGCGTGGTAACATTCAATACATTCTGCACACCATGGCACTATTGTCACTCTATCCAGTACAATACTTTCCTGATCAACAACAGTCATGTTCTCACTACTCTCCTACCTCCTGAATAGACTTCTCCAGTGTGTCATCGAACCAGTTCTTGTCGGCTGTGCGACTGATGCGGTCCTTCATGATGCGCTGGATCTCGTGTCTCCATAGCGACACCACCATGCTCTCATCAGCCCTGCTCTCATCCGGCAGCCGCTTCAGACACTGAAGTGACAACATTGGTAAGTGATATCCACAAACAAATAATTCATATATACAAATTGAATAGAGGCTAATATCTGAAACTAGTCCAGTCTAACACAGCCATCATGCAATTTGTAGAAGAGGAGAATCAGATTAGTCTCTTCAACATGTCAGGTCAATAATAAAACCACTGGATTACTTAAATTAGCTTTCTCAACTTCATACTCCTATGTAATGAAACAATAAACAGTGACTTCAGCTAGACTGGTCAAATATCTGTCTGGCTTTATTTTTAGTTATGACAGCCCTATCTAAATACAGTACTGGAAATCATAGACATGGTTGGGATGGGAAGGAGAGGAGGGAGTAGCGGATATGGGAAGGAGGGGAGGAAGGGGAGAAAGGGTAGGGGAAAAGAGGATAAGGAAGAGGCAGTTATGGGAAGGAGGGGAGAAAGGGTAGGGGAAAAGAGGATAAGGAAGAGGCAGTTATGGGAAGGAGGGGAGGAAGGGTAGGGGAAAAGAGGATAAGGAAGAGGCAGTTATGGGAAGGAGGGGAGGAAGGGTAGGGGAAAAGAGGATAAGGAAGAGGCAGTTATGGGAAGGAGGGGAGAAAGGGTAGGGGAAAAGAGGATAAGGAAGAGGCAGTTATGGGAAGGAGGGGAGGAAGGGTAGGGGAAAAGAGGATAAGGAAGAGGCAGTTATGGGAAGGAGGGGAGGAAGGGTAGGGGAAAAGAGGATAAGGAAGAGGCAGTTATGGGAAGGAGGGGAGAAAGGGTAGGGGAAAAGAGGATAAGGAAGAGGCAGTTATGGGAAGGAGGGGAGGAAGGGGAGAAAGGGTAGGGGAAAAGAGGATAAGGAAGAGGCAGTTATGGGAAGGAGGGGAGGAAGGGTAGGGGAAAAGAGGATAAGGAAGAGGCAGTTATGGGAAGGAGGGGAGGAAGGGTAGGGGAAAAGAGGATAAGGAAGAGGCAGTTATGGGAAGGAGGGGAGGAAGGGTAGGGGAAAAGAGGATAAGGAAGAGGCAGTTATGGGAAGGAGGGGAGAAAGGGTAGGGGAAAAGAGGATAAGGAAGAGGCAGTTATGGGAAGGAGGGGAGGAAGGGTAGGGGAAAAGAGGATAAGGAAGAGGCAGTTATGGGAAGGAGGGGAGGAAGGGTAGGGGAAAAGAGGATAAGGAAGAGGCAGTTATGGGAAGGAGGGGAGAAAGGGTAGGGGAAAAGAGGATAAGGAAGAGGCAGTTATGGGAAGGAGGGGAGGAAGGGGAGAAAGGGTAGGGGAAAAGAGGATAAGGAAGAGGCAGTTATGGGAAGGAGGGGAGGAAGGGGAGAAAGGGTAGGGGAAAAGAGGATAAGGAAGAGGCAGTTATGGGAAGGAGGGGAGGAAGGGGAGAAAGGGTAGGGGAAAAGAGGATAAGGAAGAGGCAGTTATGGGAAGGAGGGGAGGAAGGGTAGGGGAAAAGAGGATAAGGAAGAGGCAGTTATGGGAAGGAGGGGAGGAAGGGTAGGGGAAAAGAGGATAAGGAAGAGGCAGTTATGGGAAGGAGGGGAGGAAGGGTAGGGGAAAAGAGGATAAGGAAGAGGCAGTTATGGGAAGGAGGGGAGAAAGGGTAGGGGAAAAGAGGATAAGGAAGAGGCAGTTATGGGAAGGAGGGGAGGAAGGGTAGGGGAAAAGAGGATAAGGAAGAGGCAGTTATGGGAAGGAGGGGAGGAAGGGTAGGGGAAAAGAGGATAAGGAAGAGGCAGTTATGGGAAGGAGGGGAGAAAGGGTAGGGGAAAAGAGGATAAGGAAGAGGCAGTTATGGGAAGGAGGGGAGGAAGGGTAGGGGAAAAGAGGATAAGGAAGAGGCAGTTATGGGAAGGAGGGGAGGAAGGGTAGGGGAAAAGAGGATAAGGAAGAGGCAGTTATGGGAAGGAGGGGAGAAAGGGTAGGGGAAAAGAGGATAAGGAAGAGGCAGTTATGGGAAGGAGGGGAGGAAGGGTAGGGGGAAAGAGGATAAGGAAGAGGCAGTTATGGGAAGGAGGGGAGGAAGGGTAGGGGGAAAGAGGAAAAGGAAGAGGCAGTTATAGGAAGGAGGGCAGGAAGGGAAGGAAGGGTAGGGGGGGGGGGGGAAGAGGAAAAGGAAGCAGTAGTTATGGGAAGGAGGGGAGGAAGGGTAGGGTGAAAGAGGAAAAGGAAGAGGCAGTTATGGGAAGGAGGGGAGGAAGGGGAGGAAGGGTAGGGGGAAAGAGGGAAAGGAAGAGGCAGTTATGGGAAGGAGGGGAGGAAGGGGAGGAAGGGAGGAAGGGGAGGGGAAAGAGGAAAAGGAAGAGGCAGTTATAGGAAGGAGGGGAGGAAGGGAAGGAAGGGTAGGGGGGGGGGAGAGGAAAAGGAAGAGGCAGTTATGGGAAGGAGGGGAGGAAGGGGAGGAAGGGTAGGGGAAAGAGGAAAAGGAAGAGGCAGTTATGGGAAGGAGGGGAGGAAGGGGAGGAAGGGTAGGGGGAAAGAGGAAAAGGAAGAGGCAGTTATGGGAAGGAGGGGAGGAAGGGTAGGGGGAAAGAGGAAAAGGAAGAGGCAGTTATGGGAAGGAAGGGAGGAAGGGGAGGAAGGGTAGGGGGAAAGAGGAAAAGGAAGAGGCAGTTATGGGAAGGAGGGGAGGAAGGGGGGGAAGGGTAGGGGGAAAGAGGAAAAGGAAGAGGCAGTTATGGGAAGGAGGGGAGGAAGGGTAGGGGGAAAGAGGAAAAGGAAGAGGCAGTTATGGAAAGGAGGGGAGGAAGGGTAGGGGGAAAGAGGAAAAGGAAGAGGCAGTTATGGGAAGGAGGGGAGGAAGGATAGGGGGAAAATGGGAGGTAGGTGTGAGAATGAGAAGGAGTTAGGTATGGGGAGTAGGGAGAAGGGAAGAGGAAAAGGAAGAGGCAGATATGGAAAGGAGGGAAAGGTGGATATGGGATGGAGGGAGAGGCAGAAATGGAAAAGAGGGAGAGGCGGAAATGGAAATGAGGGAGAAGCGGATGTGGAAATGAGGGGGAGGCGGATATGGGTAGGAGGGTGAGGAAGGGTAGAGGGAATGTGGGTTGTAGGTGCGAGGAAGAGTGAGAGTCAGGTATTGGAAAAGAAGGGAAGAGGTAGAGGCGGATATGGGAAGGAGGGAGAGGAAGGGTAGGGGGTATGTGTTACAGGTATGGGGAGGAGGGAGAAGAAGGGAAGAGGCAGGTATGTGAATTAATCATATAAAGGGAGGCCAGTGTTTGGAGAAGGGATTGGATTAAATGTTTTGGCCTATGCTAGTGTGATTTTGTTCAAAAGTAGGTCATCTGATTATTCAAGGTCTACAATATTCCATGTTGACAACATGTTGATGTGATATCTATGTGAACTGTGTGTAATAACCAGAAGGTGTAGCACAGCTTACTATTGCAGAGTGACATTTACCTGGAAGCACTTAGTGAGGTCCTTGAGGGTAAAGAGGTAGTGGTATCTGCCAGGCATTGGTGTAGGTCGCAACACACTTTGCAGTGAGGTCAGGAGGTCACATGAAGCATGGACAAGGCTGCTGTGAAGGTCAATTTCAAGGCCAGGGGCATCTTGATGAGTCATATTGGCCTGTAGAACACAAATGCATAAATATCCACAAAAGATGAAGTAGATGTTACAAACATTCAAAACTTGCTTCTATGCAAGGGTTTTAGACACAAGCAGTTGCATTTCATTTCTACTGGGGCGCTACATTTTTAATAAAGACAGAACACCTACCTCCAATATGCCATTGACAACAGTCTTGAGGCTTTCCTCCATTGGTGCAGGAAGGTTAAACACAGCAAAGTGTCTCTGTAAGGGCAAGGAAAATATTATATCATGGTTTTGTCAAAATATTGAAGATCTAAATGTAAAATACCAATTTGTCACTTCTGTTTAAACAAGCTATATGAGTGACGTGCTGTTTGGACATTGCATTAATAGTTGTGAGTGAGTGAGTGAGTGAGTATGGTTTTACGCCATTTTTAGCAATATTCCAGCAATATCATGGCGGGGGACACCAGAAATGGGCTCCACACATTGTACCCATGTCGGGAATCGAACCTGGGTCTCGGGCGTGACAAGCGAACGCTTTACCCACTAGGCTACCCGACTTAATAGTTGTGAAGTTGCTAACTGTAACATGAAATGACAGTGAGTGAACATTATCTAATGCCGCAGTCAGCAATGTCCTAGCGTGGAAAATAATTAGGACTGGGCCAGGCAAACCATGCATTGACTGAAACTGAGAAAGCAGGTGTAATGATCAACACTGTTTCCTCAGCATCAATTAGTGATTAAAATACAAGCATACCACCATGGCCAATTTTTAAGCGCCCTCGTCTGTCTGAAGAAGTGTCCATTTCAAATTAGTAACTGAAGCATCAACAAATTTACTATGACGTATATGTGAAAACATGTCTAATCCTGGAAATCTTGTTTGAATGTGAAGCTGTCTGTTACCAGCAGTCTCTCTGAGATGGCCCTGTTGCCAACCCCGGGGTAGTCGCTGAGAGCCATGGCGGAGGTGACAGTCAGCCCCTCCACTGTCTTCCACTCAAAGGGTTTCTGTAGTGTGCACAAGATGCGCTGGTCTAGCAGCTGTCGGAGGAGCTGGCACAGAGAAAACATCACAGTGGAAGCAACATTCAGGAACTACCACACTAATTTCAATCTTTACAGATGTTCAAATTCTGAATCAGAAAAATCCATATATTTTATCACAATTTTAAATCACACTATCAGTAAATGGTTGAGACATGCAAGTGAGTGAGTATTCTTTTACACCACAGATCGCAGTTTTCCAGCTGTATCAAGGTACCCTGCGAGCCTGATCAACCCTGGACTAGGCAAATCAGTGGTTGATAGCATGAGCAATGATCCACACAAATCAGGGCGCGATGACACAATCAGTTAGCCATTGTTGATCTCAAGCCTAATTAGTGGGCTCTTAAGACAAGCATACCTTCAAGGAACCCATACACACCCATGCTTTCACCAAGGATCATTATTAAAGCAAATCTGCATGGTTTCTAACCGAGCTATGTCCAGCAGATCCTGGTCCCTAATGGACACAACTATATCAGTACGTCATCTGTGGCCATAAGTGGATATGGATTGTCAGCATGCTGTATCAGTGTATCAATACATCCCCAACTCAACTCTCACCTCATTACACCTCTGTACCCCATGTTCATCTGGCAGAGGTAAGTTGACGTCATCGATGAACACCTTCAGCTTCTTGTTCTCCTTGGCTCCATAGACAAATCCTACAAACACAGAAACACTGATTCTTTGCAATTTTTGTAAACGGGAAAAACAAACCTTAATGCACATGTTCTTTGGGTGTGAAATTGTAAAACATGTCTGGAATAACCTTGCAAAATGGATCAAAGACAATACTGGAATAGAACTAGAATTTTCAAAATTGACAATTTTACTAGTATATCCACAAAAACGAAATGATGTTTTAAATTATATTACAACTGTAACAAAGAAAATCATATTCAAATCAAACATTTATGGCTCCATACCAAATTTCCAACACATCAAACAAGAAATAACCAACTCATATTACATCGACAGAAATATATCATATTCACAATGTAAATACACACAGTTCATGAATGTCACCATCTATTTGTGTAAATCCACAAACTTACACAATCCAACGAAGATGTTTTGCCATCCTGACACTGGAATAGTTTCGTTTGTTATTATCCATAGATAGATATACTTTGTAACTTGTATGTATTTAAGATTACATGTGAACTAAATTCTGTAAACTTATTTGTGTACTCCAAAAAGAAATAAAATAATAATAATAAAAAAGATACACTGTTATCACATTAATTTTCATTGAGGTTAACAGTAAAGAATGGAAACTATTTTCCAAATGAAAGACATCACTGAAGACATTCAATCATCTTGTGATCTGCCAGTTGCTGACCTTGTCTGTGGTAGATGTTGGCCTCCACAAACTGCTGCAGCTGTTTGGCCGTAGATGCACCTGAGAACACGAGTCTCTTGCAGATGGACAGCTGTGCATCTGAAATACATAGTGTAGATGTGTAGTTGTCAGGGTAATAGTTTCAAACTTTTCAAGAGTTATCTCCCTTTGAGGCTGAGATCTTAATTGGGGATAGATTTAGGAGAAAGTTTTTAATATGATCAACAATTATTCATCCACATCATGATGAGTGAAGCAATGAGGGACACCTTCTTTCATAGTCAGTAATATCACAATCATACCAAATGGAACTGCTCTGCAAATAATCAGAAATTTAATAAACCAGTATAGTGGGTAGTGACACTACAAATCTTGATGTCTTGATACACTCAAAAAGAGAACCATGTGACAGCAGAATAAACTTCAAATGAAAATAAGTCCACCCCCAACCCCCCCCCCCCCACCCCACCCACCCAACCCCCACCCCTAACCCTCCACCCCCACCCCTCCTACCTGGTACAAAGAATGCTTATAACCAACCTTGAACATCTATAAATGAGTTGATGAGAGTTGTCTTCCCTGATCCATGAGGCCCCACTAGGAGGACATTCTGACCGGATGCTGCTGCGAACTCCATCAGGATGCGTGTGCGCATCTACAAGTGCAAGTTCATAATAAATGTCAAACTGTCTTACATTTAAATCATATCATTCCATTTCATACACACATTTATTCCAATCATCATTAACGATACCACATCTACATCAGAACATACAGTGTAGCAGTGTGGCTGAACTCACCGTATCGACAGTGTCGACAAACATCTCCCCCAGCATATCCTGGTTGTCTGCATATGAAGACTCAGGAACTCTGAAATGTCAATGGTAGAGCATCTTACCATCTCAGAAAAACATCAATAAACTTCAAACAAAATATATGAACCAAACCATGAAAACCCGTATGAAATGAACATACAAAACACAAGAAATACAGTATTTGGATATAAAGTAATATCAGTTACAGAACACACATACCGTATTTGACATAGTAAGCGCGATCTCAAAATTAGAAATAGGGGGCTCTTATTAGAATATTATTATGGTGAAAAACAACAGGGTTAAAAGATCGTAAATTTCGTGGTTTATGCTGACAGCCTGAAATGTTTATATACGACAGATGTATTTTTCCAGAATCTAATTTCCCACAAATAAGGATGCATATAACACACGTATTATACACGAATAAATAGGTCTTGTGTACATTGATCAATCAGAAGGGGTGCTAATTGGGATTGTTCACTAGCCAATATATTAGCAAATATCGCCGTGGGCGCTTATTAGAGCGGGGCGCTTATTACGTCGAATACGGTATCCAAAGACAAAAAAGTGGTATAACACTGACTCAGTGGTATTCTACTCACCTGGAATGCCATGGGTCCCACTCTCCTGACTCATCCACGTAGTAGTCGAACACACAGATGTCCCGGTCATCATCAGGCAGGCTGAACAAGGAAATTATATTAAAAATGCAGGGGAAACCAATATGGCAAAAGGCACATCTACACACATGGTGAATGTATGTACCAAGTTTTCTAAAGTTATCTCTTATGGTTTCTGATATCTGCTCCCGAAATGAAATGTGACAGATGGACGGAGCCTGTTTCTATATCAGCCAACTTCGGGGGATAATTAAGATATGTATTCATGCAATTAAAGATAGTACAAACTCCTTGTTAAAATGTTTTTGGCCAGATACATAAATGTAACATACGCTGTGGAGAGAGTCTTGAGAAGGTCACTGAAGGCCTTGCGGTCATGCTGGTCAAGCAGACCGCCGTACGTCCAGATGAGACAAAACAGATAGAGTCGCTCAATGTGTAGTTCTCCCCCGATCTCGATGTTATCTGCCAACATCGCTGACAGCAGGGCCAGGCACGTCTTGAACATTCCAACTTCACACAGTCGCACTTGAGGTCTAAATCAAGAAATAGATAGGCATAAACTTTCAAAGTCTCTAAAAATGTACATAAACATTAAATCAGAAGGTGGAATTGTACATTATTCTGTTAACAAAGAAGCACTTTGCTGTGCCTGTATTTGAAACATGTAATTGTTGACAAGTATTGGATGTGAAACACGACACAGGAGTGATATGATAAGAAATTTGATATGTATAATGACACCTTCTTCACAATATTTCATTAATATCATCATAAGATATGTTTGTTTGTGGTTTAAAGCCACGCTCAGCAATATTCCAGCTATATGACAGCGGTCTGTAAATAATCGAGTCTGGACCAGGCAATCCAGTGATTGACATCATGAACATCGATCCACGCAATTAGGATACGATGACATACATCAACCAAGTCAGTGAGCCTGACCACCCGATCCCATTCATCGCCTCTTACGACAAGTATAGTCACCTTTTACAGTAAGCATGGGTTGCTGAAGACCTATTCTACCCCGGATCGTCACGGGTCTCAGACGACACGAATACATGATCAGAGTGAATAATAGACTCCAAACAACAGGCAGTGTCAGTCAGTGGACTTACTTGGCTTCATGTAGGACAAACTGGGAGATGGGGTCGAGAGACTTCTGGAAGGCTCGTTGCAGCACCTGGCATCACAATAAATGTCATTGATAAAGTTTCAACATCTCATGGTCTGATAACTTAGATCTTGTTACATTTGGAGATGAAATTATTGCAAAGTATTCAAATTCTCACTGTAATATTTCTCCTGTGCATCAGTGAGTAAGTGAATGTTGCCGAACACTACATCAGCAATTTTACAGCTATTTGTGTGAACTCTTTATATCATAGAAACCTGTACAAATGTGTTGATTAGAAGTGTGTAAGTGAGTGAGAGATGAGAGGCTGAACACTGACAGTATTAAGTATCATGCAACCGCAATCATTTGTCGACAGAAAGCCCAAAGTCGTGCAGATTGTAAATATTTATCACTTCGCCCATACCAAAAAGCACAGGCTAAATACCCACATACACAGGATCAAAATTTGGGTGAAAATGGGCTCTATACTCTAAACCAGTGTATTCTTTCCCTTAAGGTAGGTAACTCTCCCTAGTGAGGTGTGACAACTGGATGACGTGAAAAGGGGTTCAACATCGCCTTCAAGATTATTGCACATAAACAGCGACATACCACTCTGGAATAATGCCAGTTTTATAGTGCTAGCCTAGTGAAATACCATGTCACTGTTTTAACATGGACATCTCACAAGACACAGTACACTGACTCCGAGCCAACCAGGCCTTGTGTTATCCCCTTAACTCCGAGCGCCAAGCAGGGAAACAACAACTACCATCTTTTAACATCTTTTGGTCGGAACTGGCCAGGGATCAAACCTTCCGCTCTCTGGGCAGACGCTCTATCCACTAGACCACAGAGGCGGTCAAGACAACTGGACCCTGATATCATCTTTAGTAGTAAGTTAGCAATTGTTTTACAAGGGGTCACACTATGAGTTCAAAGCACAACATGAGCCAGTGCTGGGTGATAGGACTAATGGTCACCTACCAGTTATCGCCATTTATTTCATGTTATTCTGTGTCAAAAGATGAATGTACCAATAACTTTTATTTTTGTGAAACTATGAGCAAATGTGCTTATTTCTGTCTGCGGAATAAGATTCAGGTGATTTTTGTTATAACGCTCGGGAATCAAAACAGTGGAAATTGAACTTTCCCATCGACTTACTGTACCAGTTATCGCCATCATCTTAACAGCATGTGCCACATGATCATATGCACTGCTTCAGTAATACAAATTACATTTTTCAGTATCTCGGGAATCACACTCAATGTTTTTGTTCATCAAAATGAATAAGAAATGCTATTATCAAATTGTTGTCTGCAAACTGACCAAAATCAATATTCCCCAAATACACATGCTTATCCTTAACACCATGTACAATGAACTTCGCGATATATATATACAGTTTATGCATTTTTGGAAATATAGCTCAAATAGGTTTCAAAATTGTAATTTGTAATGACAGACATTGAAAGCAATGACCGAACTGAAAGTGCATCACCTTGTTGTTTGATTTATTTGTTTTGCGTGAATTAGTCACATAAAACCACCCGCATGTCTTTTCTAAAGTTGTATTTGAGCAAGGTTATAATGGTGTTTTTTTTTTAAATATCTCCTCAATAGTTCATTATTTTGGGGTAAATATTTCTTTGTTCAAATGAAAACGAGAAAAAGTCAAATGAGATGCCATCACATGCACGCTATAATGGAGAGTTGGCGATAACTGGTCCTCGGCGATACTGGTCGCTAGCCAGTAGTGCTAAAACACTGACATACAACATTACAACACCATGTGCTATATCCAGTGCATGGGGCACACCTTTATGATGTGTAGGGTAAGTTCATCTACCTGTTAACTAAAATGTAATGGCAGTGAAAAACACATTCCAAATAAAATTTGCAAAACCCCAGTTCTACAAAAACAGCTAGGCTTTTTCACACAGTTATATATTAATAACTATCACACACAATTAAATAGCTGCAAATGCACACATTTTGGAACTCAACTACATATGTATAAGACGTTAGGTTATTATGTACTGCCAATCCAGCTGAAACGCTCTTGCCATGAAACAATGCGGTCATGTACGAAGCTACAATATTATCACTCTGGCCGTCACATTACATCTAGAAAACAGGCAGCCACTACGGTGCTACATCAGCTCATGTCTACCTCAGCACTCAATTGTTCATCATTGTATCAGCATCTTAGATAAACCAGTCTCAGCTACACTGAATTTGAAAAGTTTTCTTTTCTCTTTTTCATTAAATACTAAAACATCATAAAAATACAATTTCAAATGTCTTCATAAATAGCCATATGCATTGATAAATTGTTTCTATTAGAACAAACTAAAAGATAAAATCTTTACAACTTCTAGACATTTCTATAGGCAGTGGTCTACTGTGTTTACACTACATTTTGATAAGCTGTCCAGTTACCAATACAATAACACTCAATATGTTTCAAAATAGTCAAATCACAATACAAACTTGCCATAGAAAATCAGAGAATAGAATTAGGAATACTTCTATTAAATCAGTTGTGTTTTCGTAATGTTTCAGTATATTACAAGAATATTACCAAAAACATAACTCCAAATCAATGTCATCCTGCTTCAAACAATTATAGGCAGTTTAGCGAGAAAGATAATCTGGTATTTCATACCCCTTTCAACAGCATCTCAGTTTTATCACAGCTACAAATCGGCTACCGAGCATCAAACAGTGTGAGCATGACCATCACAGTATGGTTCCACCTTTTTACACACCATGATAAGCTAGTTGCAGTAGATTTGCTCTGATTGTCAACCAGAGTGGTCTCCCCTGATGGTCACCAATACAAGCTCCTTCCCAGCACGTGACACCTTTGTTACACTCTCAGTAACATCGCTGCCACCAGTGTGGGCATGGTCAATACACGAATCTTGAAATTTGCCCTCTAACCCCAAATGTAGTAACGTTTATACTTTTGTTTATGTCTTTGGGAATGCCATAATAATTCATTTTGAAAAGATTTACGACTGGCCATATTTTCCAGATGAATTAACCTTCTTGTTTGCATAATCAGAATGGTTCGTGATTGCAGACAAACGGAATATCACTTGACATTCCTGTTACATTCTTACTAAACCAGTTTCATGATAGTTGGAATGGAAAGGAAATTCAAATTAACAAACAAAGAAAATAATTAAGCTGGGGTAGGAGTTTTTGGCATCACAGCAGTCACCACTTGTTTGTAAACATAACGGTCATTCAGGTGCGAGTACAACTCCATGCATGGTTGTGGTCACCTATCACAGTGGTGAGTTTTGACTGGTGGCAGCAATAGTGTAGAGAGTGCTCACGGTGAGGAGCTTGTCACTAACAGTAAGTGAGTGAGTGAGTGAGTGAGTGAGTGAGTTTGGTTTAACGCTGCTTTTAACAGTATTCCAGTTATATCGCGGCATGTCAGCTTAATGTGGGAGGAAAGCCCGAAGTGATGCAGGTCTCAGACGTTTACCACTTCGGTGAAACCCACAAGCACGGGTATGGTGCTGACAAACCTAGAAACATAATCGGGGCGAACCAGAATTCGAACCCACAATCATAGGTTTCTGGTGTGCCCAAGGGACGCAACTCTGCACAGCGAATCGCGGCACCTTAAACGACTGGGCCACCCGTGCCCCCTGTCACTAACAGCAGGTCTAGTCATACCAATTGTCAACCAGAGTGGTCTCCCCTGATGGTCACCAATAGTGGGTCTAGAAATACCAAGCAGCCATTACAAAATAGTATCCTCCACAGCATAATGCATGAGAACAAAAAAGAAGGAAACATTTCAAATTCAGTGTAGTCTAGCAATTTCTCCCTTTCCATAAGTGCAATACGAGGTAAACACGCGCTGACTCTGACGGGCCACTATGTGTGTAGGAGCTACATCAGACATGGTTACCCCTGCGGGTGTTTTGTCAGTCGGCTCAACATCCTCATCTATCTGTATAAACAAGCCAAACCCTACAGTCAATGCTGTGTAGCAGACTTGTGCATCACATGTAAACATTGGCTAAAACAATCAACCAAACAATCAACATTTTGGTTCAACATAAATTAATTCAATAAAATAAAACATCTTATTGAGAAATATAAGGAACAGTCACTCAAATAATAGAAACTGGAAACCTGAACTTAATTAAATTTAAGATAAATGTCTTAATTTTACGCTCACCTTATTCTGTAAAGAGCAAACATGAGAAATATGTGAATTGAATGTGATGAATAGACATATAAGCAAATAAATTCAAATAGACTTGATTTAATTTTCAGCAAAGTTTATACTTAAGATGTCTGTTCTCAATGTCTTGGCATTTCAGTCATAAATGTAACAAGTCAGCTTTCTGATGGAGGCCTGTTGCTAGTGTTGAAGCTTATATGTGCTGAGTGAAAATAGCTGGTGAAGGAGTGCTTCCTTGTCGGTAGTGTGACACATGTGACTATGTGTGATGCCATGTGACATATATGACAATGTGTGGTGCCATGTGAAATATGTGACAATGTGTGATGCCATGTGACAATGTGTGATGTCATGTGACATATGTGACAATGTGTGATGTCATGTGACATATGTGACAATGTGTAGTGCCATGTGCCATATTTGACAATGTGTGGTGCCATGTGACATATGTGACAATGTGTGGTGCCACGTGACATATGTGACAATGCAGCAAGTCAAAGACACAGATGGTGCCATGTGTACAGCTACATACATACCATTAAGTTCCTGATGTATGATGCAGATTATAAGGAAGGAATGCCATATATATGGGTAGAATTTGGATACCAGTTAATACTGTAACTGTATTGGTAGATTTTAGGTAGCAGTAAATATCATAACTATATTGGTAGACTTTAAATAGTATTCAATACTGTAACTAAACTGAAATACTTCAATAGTACATCAATACTGTGGCTATCCTGGTAGACTTTACATACTATTTAATGCTGTAACTAAACGGAAATACTTCAATAGTACATCAATACTGTAGCTATCCTGGTAGACTTTACATACTATTTAATGCTGTAACTAAATGGAAATACTTCAATAGTACATCAATACTGTAGCTATCCTGGTAGACCTTGCACACTATTGAATACTGTAACTAAACTGAAAGTAAATACTGTAACTTTACTGGTAGACTTGGATAGAAAGAAAAAAACCACAACAGTGGACTTCAGTAGTAACTGACTTCATCACACTACAGGAAGAGCTTGATGATGAAATCTCAACTCTAATGATACAGATAAACTTCAAATGCCTTATAATGTCTAACCAACCCCATGGTTTTCATTTCAGTGTCTCCTGACAACAATCAGACTTGTTTCATGCTGGTAAATGATCCACAATAAATACGGTATACATACCCTTATGGCAGAGTTATACATGTTGAAGTTCATTCACATGATTAGTGGAATGAAATTAGTTTGGTAGATTGAAAACCCAAACATGCCTGTTAATATTTCATGTAGCTGTTTCTGTCACAATGTTACTTAATTCATACAGTCAGTAAAACAGTGAATGATGAGACAGCGTTTCCGACCCGCCGAATAATGTTCTGCTGAAGATGAACGACATCAACTTACATGAACCTCCTGCTGGGTCCTGCTCTCCAGCCATGCCTTGGCGATGGGCTTCCAGCCAACAACATCCCGGTCCAGATACAAGATGCCCTACACAGGTGAGAACAGCATGTAACACATCTCAACACTGCGGCTCTTGCAGTTGCATATTTTATAAGGGACCCAATCAGAGCAATTTTTTTCACTAATAATACTGAATTCAGTCAGTAATATTCCATCATTGTTAAACATAGTGTCTAGGACAGGTAAACCAGTTGTAATCACCATTGTCAATGAACGTTATCAGGATTGATGACACACAACCATAAATTGTAACCACACAATCCTCATCATAGTTGACTCTTTAACAAATAGCATGGATGCTGTGAGACATTCTCAATCCTGGAATGGTCACAGATGCTGAACCATAGGTTAAAGCAAATACTGTATTTGACCATATAAGCATTCCGTTAAAATAAGCGGCCACGGCGATATTTGCTAATATTTTGGCTAGTGAACAATCCCAATCAGCACCCCTTACGATTGATCAATGTACACAAGACTTATATAATTCATGTATAATACAAGCTCGTGTGTTACATGCACCCTTAATTATGGGCAATTAAATTCTGGAAAAATATATCTGTCATATATAAACATTTCAGGCTGTCAGCATAAACCATGAAATTTATCTTTCATCTCTGTTGTTTTCACCAAAATAATATTCTAATAAGAGCCCCCTATTTCTAATTTTGAGAGCGCCCTGGACGCTTATCACATCGAATATGGTACAGTGCTATGCAAACAGTGTTTAAATAATAGCCATAACCATAACTGTTCATTCACACCAACTGTCTGCGGAATGTGAATCATATAATGTAAACAATCATGACCGTAATATGAAAATACATACAAGGTGGTGATCTCTACTCTTATTTATACAAAAATAAATTGAGAACTTCTACTCACAGATCTGGCAACGGTGGCTGGAGAGGCAATGTTGAGGTCATCTGTCTCAAACAGAAGGATGACATTTTCAGACAGGAACAACTTGTCTCCATTCTTCAGATGCAGCACCTGTGAAGACAAAGCCGACAAAAACTGAAGTGTCATCAGGCAACACAACTTTACAACAAATAACAAATTCCCAAATTGGAATTAAAAACATTTCCCAATTTGATCCAAACTCATGGGTGTTTTTCTACCCTGAAATGGCTGCATCCAACATCAGAAGGTACTGACCCTGTCGCCGGAGAGGATGCTGTTAAAGTTGTCGGCCCAGCCAGAGTTGAGTGGTCCATCCAGACAGAGCCATGTGGTACTGATGTTCTGGAGTCAATCATACACAGAACATCAATATAATCATCTTATGCAATATTGGAAAAATTGTCACAATTACTCTTGTTTTTTCACATGTCTTATATTTGAATGTTAACCTCGGTCTGAATTAAAAAATAAAAAATAAATAAAAAATAAAATACAAACAGCAGAAACATTAACATGATTAATAAAGACTTTAAGTTAACTATTCAAATTAAACAATTATCATTACCCTGAGAAAAACAAACAAGAAATTCTCAAGCAATTGATGAGGCAGGCACCCACATTGTTTTGAGCGGGATAAGGGGTGCCGCTCAGGTGACCAAACTAACACAAGAAACTACAAGTTCCATGCCGGCTATTTACAACTTGCCCAGTTGTAACTGCCAGTGACTCCTCTCAATCTCTTACTCGTGTACCAAAACAATTATTTACAAAATACAAAAGTGCCTCCTACCCTATTGGCCTTCCTGCAGGCTGTGGTGAAGATTCCATCCACCCAGTCATGGTTCTGGTTGAGGGAGCCGAACATGATAGAGCCGTCATCCACCACCAGAGGGTTGATACGCAGCAGCTTGTGTATGGTGTCTCCAGGAGCAGAACTCTTGCTGGTGTGGGAGCTCCGAGACATGCCTCGCGGTGTCACACACAAAGCATCCACTAGGGTCTGGATGCAGGTGGACTTGCCACTGCCTGGGGGACCTGCTACGATGATACCTGGAAACACAAGGAGGGGGACATCATGTGACATGTGTCCTCACTCTCACATCCTGCGGTCATAGGTTTCCCCCAAAAAACATAGGGTCAATGGTCAAAATAAAACTAAAATTACAATCTCAAGAAACTTTATATCAAAAGTGGTCACTTAACTTATTTAATCTCTGCGCTAAGAAAAATACAATACATGACAGTTTTTACAGCTATAAAGCAGTAAGAAATGATAACAATTATTACACAACTATCGTCTTTCATACCATCTCATATTGACCTTGACGATGCTCATAACACTATTGATGTTTTTTAGAGAGAAAAACAAACAGAGGTGGACAAGGATTTCTAGAAAGGGGGCTGCCAATTACACTCAAATCCTGAAGCGATTTGGCTCAGGGTGCTGTTACCATGTAAGGTTTTGGTAAAAATGGGGGTGAACACACCCTCCATCCCTCCTCTGGACCTTCCTCATAATCTTAAATATATTCCACATTTGAGAAATTAGGTTGAGCGGATCCATAACCAAGAAAAATAAGAGACAAACATCTAATACAACAACTAATTGAAACTATTACCTGGGTAGGCCTGTGAGAGGCTGTAGAGCTGGCTGCACTTGTTGATCCAGGGTTTGTGTGCAATGAGGCCAGCATCCATTGCCTTGTTGTCCAGAGCAGACTCTATGTCAATCCCACGAGACCTGGCCGAGCCAATGGTCTGACCGAGAGGAGCATCGGGGAGACCCGCGAAACAGTCCTTCACAATCGTTTTAAACAATGCCATGTTCTGGAACACAGAGGATACAATCTCACTGTCAACTATTATAATCGCCATTGTATAAAAAACGGAGACAATAAAGCTCACAAATGGAAGAGATAACATGAAAATGTACAGTGTATTGAAGTCTTGTTTTATTGTATTGTTGGCTGTAAACTGTAAACTATAATTGGTTGGCTATGAATTCACCTTTCAGCTCAGACGTAATCAGGCTGACACATCATGGTTGGTATTTATCAGGGGTCGAGACTCTTCATGGGAATAAGCATTATGTATTTTATTCAGGATTAAAGGGGTAGTTTCAAATGAGGCTGATGATGTTCTGATTGTCTAAAACAATCCATAGATGGTCAGAACAGACAACTATAAGCATGACCTTCAAGCTCGAAAAAATAAAATATATTTGTCACATCTAAATAGTATTAATCATATAAGAAACAAACTGAAGTATTAACGAATAATAATCAATGATTGATCACAACCAATCATCTTACATCTCAATCAATCTCCTTTACCAAGTTAATGAGTAAACTTTTTCAAAAACATTTTATGGAGAGTTTGTAACTTCAAAAAGTTGCTACACATCAAGCTGTGCCAAAAACATTTGAGTCCATTGGCCAGAACCTGTCACTTGACATCATTTTCAGTAGATCACAGTGTCAATGTATGGTCATTCATAAGCAAAATATACTAGAGCGATAGAAGTGACAGAGGGTCAGACAATACCTCTGCGGTGAGCCTGGGTCCGATGATCTCCTCCAGGGTCTGACACACCATGCTGTGCTCCTGTTTCCCGGCCGACGTCAAGGGGTTGGGCGTTCCCCCCTTCCTTGGGCCCAGCCCACCAGCCATCTTAGCCGTACTTGGGGACACTGAAATAACACAGGCTGTGTTAGGACTGGATCAATCTACTACAGACCACTTGAGTCACATAAGGGACGTGCACAAGCTTATTCCATAGTAACAGTTTCTATGTTATTGAGATAACATTTTTGTCACTAAAATAACAGGGGGTTTGTGGGGCTTGCCTCCCACTCAAAGGCTTGAATTCGTAATTAAATTAAATGTTTAATTACCAAAGTAGATACAAAATACAATGTATTCGCTGAAATGTGGCTCCAACGGATGTCACTGATGAGGATCTCGCATGCAATGATGGAACTTCTATTTTCAAGTACCTCTTCGATGTTGATGTCCAATTTTCTACATTTATGCATCGCTTTGACATTCAATTTCAAGGTTTAATCATTTTAAACCATACAAATGCAAGCGGGTCATTTTTTATGCTTATTTTGAGCTTTATCGCCCTATTTTTCAAATGGTGATGCTGTCACGTGCATTATTATTAGAAGCATCAGACAAACATGGCAGATAGGTGTCTGGTATAAAGCATGAGTACCGTTAAATGTTTTATTACCCCTTATCCTTTCATGTGTATGGGATGTTCGCTGTTTAAAGTGCACTTTGCAAAATACCAACTAGATGAAGATGGCCTGTAAGAAATCAACTCTGGGCCAGACAAACCAGTAATTAACATAACGTAGGGGTATGATGACACACAATCAACCAAGTCACCGAGCCTGACCACCTGATCCATCAGTCACCTCATACCACAAGTACAGGCTGCTGGGGACCTTGGACTCCCCCCAGGGTGATCATGTGACTTGCATCACACCGAGCCTGGCCACCTGATCCATCAGTCACCTCATACCACAAGTACAGGCTGCTGGGGACCTTGGACTCCCCCCGGGGTGATCATGTGACTTGCATCACACCGAGCCTGACCACCTGATCAGTCAGTCACCTCATACCACAAGTACAGGCTGCTGGGGACCTTGGAAACCCCCCGGGGTGATCATGTGACTTGCATCACACCGAGCCTGACCACCTGATCCATCAGTCACCTCATACCACAAGTTCAGGCTGCTGGGGACCTTGGAATCCCCCTGGGGTGATCATGTGACTTGCATCACACCGAGCCTGGCCACCTGATCCATCAGTCACCTCATACCACAAGTACAGGCTGCTGGGGACCTTGGAATCCCCCCGGGGTGATCATGTGACTTGCATCACACCGAGCCTGGCCACCTGATCCATCAGTCACCTCATACCACAAGTACAGGCTGCTGGGGACCTTGGAAACCCCCCCTGGGGTGATCATGTGACTTGCATCACACCGAGCCTGACCACCTGATCCATCAGTCACCTCATACCACAAGTACAGGCTGCTGGGGACCTTGGAATCCCCCCAGGGTGATCATGTGACTTGCATCACACCGAGCCTGACCACCTGATCCATCAGTCACCTCATACCACAAGTACAGGCTGCTGGGGACCTTGGAAACCCCCCCTGGGGTGATCATGTGACTTGCATCACACCGAGCCTGACCACCTGATCCATCAGTCACCTCATACCACAAGTACAGGCTGCTGGGGACCTTGGAATCCCCCCGGGGTGATCATGTGACTTGCATCACACCGAGCCTGACCACCTGATCCATCAGTCACCTCATACCACAAGTACAGGCTGCTGGGGACCTTGGAATCCCCCCGGGGTGATCATGTGACTTGCATCACACCGAGCCTGGCCACCTGATCCATCAGTCACCTCATACCACAAGTACAGGCTGGGGACCTTGGAAAACCCCCCTGGGGTGATCATGTGACTTGCATCACACCGAGCCTGACCACCTGATCCATCAGTCACCTCATACCACAAGTACAGGCTGCTGGGGACCTTACACCCCCCCTGGGGTGATCATGTGACTTGCATCACACCGAGCCTGACCACCTGATCCATTAAGTCACCTCATACCACAAGTACAGGCTGCTGGGGACCTTGGACTCCCCCCGGGGTGATCATGTGACTTGCATCACTTCTGGCTCACTGCGATGTAACACAAGCTTCCATAAACCCATCTAGCTCACTTACCATTCGTGTTTGCAGCTGGCATCAAGAGAGGTCTGATTGAGGTCGCCTCTGATGCCTGACTCTCTGACCTCGAGGTCTCATCCTTCTTGTCCAGTCTGTCTGCCGTCTTCTCCTCCCGGATGAACTTGCGCTTCTGCATGGCCCGCTTCAACACACCCACGAGTGCCGAGATGGTGAAGTGGTGGTGGAACTGACTGGGTCTGCACAAAACAAGGATACATACAGATGATGAGAAAATCAGTCAATCTTTAGTGTCATGCAACCAACTTAGCTAGTGCTGGTGCAGTGATAGCTATGCTTGACAGGATCATGATATCAGTAAATATAGTGACAGGTGACCATATCACTCAGTTAGAAGAGATATTCGTTTACCTTCATCATCAATAAACATCTACCAAGATAGAAGGTCAGTGGTTTAAACCCCTGCCCACGTCATACCAAAAGATGTTAAAAGGAAATCTTCTTGTTGTAACCCTGCCTGGCACTCAGCATTAAGGGGGCTAAAACAAGAGCTGGCCAGCTCAGAGTCAGTATACTGTGTCTCAGTGGGTTATCGATGTTAAACTGTGGTATGGTATCTCAGTTGGGTAGCACCATAATACAGATGAAAGTCCTGACTAGTACTAGCAGCCACACACACAATCATGTTCATGCACATCACTCCAGTGAAACAACCTTGAGGTGAGGCGAAATGGGGTTTTAACTTCGCGTCCAAGTTTATGCAATAATATAGCAACGTGCATGCATGTGTGTGTGTGTGTGTGCTAATGCCGATTTTATAGTGCTAGCCCACTGAGTTATGCCACAGTTTTAACATGAACACCCCACTCAGACACCGTATACTGACTCCGAGCCAACCAGTCCTTGTTTTAGCCCATTGATGCCGAGCGCCAGACAGGGTAACAACAGAAGCAATCTTGAACATGACGTCAAACCCCATTTCCCCTCACTTCATCAACAGATGCCAATAACAAGCTTTAGCTGCCAATATATGATTAAACCCCATTTCCCCTCACTTCCTCAACAGATACCAATAACAAGCTTTAGCTGCCAACATATGATTAAACAATACAACATCCCATGGTCAGTACAATGCTGAATACACACATAAATGTATGTAATATAAATGCTTATCTGGTAAGATACACACTACACATCTTCCACTTACAGCTGATCTTTGACAAGCTCTGTGAGAACCTTGAGTCTGGAAGCCAGGATTCCTGGTCCCCGGAATCCCATAGCAGAACACTTAGCCTTCAGGATCTGGCCTGAGTCAGGTTTGATGAGCGCGACAGTACGGAAGGAAGCGCGTACATCGTGAGGTATAGAGTTGGCCGGAGACTGAGAGCCAGGGTTGACAGTCATGAACACACCCACAGTCCTCCTCACAGGAATCTGGCAAGGAAGGAGGAATGAATAATAAAAAAAGTCCTTTTTAAACTTATGGGAACATCACCATCTAATAATCTGTAAATTTTCCGTCCTCTTAAAATATTACAACACCAACAGTGTCAAAGAGACTATTTTTGAAAGCTACGAAAAATAGCATGATTATATTGCCATTACCAGAATATTGATATGAAGCTAGAGTACATAATATTAGAGGTATATTCTGATAAGGTCTCACAAAGAGGGGTACATTTTGATGGTACCCTGGTTCCAAACTACCCTATCAGCATGTGTTTGTGTAGGTCTTCTAATGACAAGAAGTGTTACCCATGGTTATATTAACAAGTGTCTTATTTTCTTATGTACATATTTTAATATCACATACTTTCTTATGTACATATTTTAGTGCTAATCGGCTGTGCTATATGAATTTCCCCTGGGATAATAAAGTCTTATCGTATCTTATCTTACCCCACTGATCACATCACAATCTTCCCACTTCTGATGTAGTTTCAGGTGTAAGTACTGAGGCTACTCACCTCTTGTCCGTCCAGCAGTGAAGTGAAGGGGAGTCTGGCCTTGAGGGCCTGCAGTACACACTGGACATGGTCCAGCAGCACGGCCATGGCTTCACGGTTCAGACTCTGGGCTTCATCGAAACATCCCCAGCAACCATCCTGTATCAGCCACAAGAGAAGGTTAGGGGGATTTCCATACATCAGTGTGACAAAACATGGCAAGGCTAGCAACAACCTCTCCAACAAATTAGAACGAGTGAGTTTAACACTGCTTTACAATGTTACTGTTTGCATCATGATATGGCATGCCTGCCCTGTTCATCAAAGTGATTGTAGCGCTATGACTATCATAAGCCTATTTTAAAGTATGGGAGTTATGATCCCCTTAGCGCTAAGTTCGCTTTGTGGAATAGGGTGCTGGATAATGTGAGTGGAAGGACCAAAGTGATGTAGGACATAGACATTTACAACTGTGCTGAAATCCAATAGCATGGGTTTGGTGCTGACAACCAAGTGTCATAATTGGGGGAAACTGTGGATGAGGGTGAGGGTAAGTGTGAGGGTGAGGGTAAGTGTGAGGGTGAGGGTCGGTGTGAGTGTGAGTGTGAGGGTCGGTGTGAGGGTGAGGGTAAGTGTGAGGGTGAGGGTCGGTGTGAGGGTGAGGGTCAGTGTGAGGGTGAGGGTGAGGGTGAGGGTGAGGGTGAGGGTGAGGGACCCTTCACAGAAACAAGGATTTGATCAATATATCTCAAATGCAGTTACTCTATCATGGCATGTTATTTGCTAGATAAATCCCGGGTGGAAAAAGTGAATAGGATTCAACAATGAAATTTCAAAGTGTTGTTGCAACACTGGTTTCAGAAACTTCTTACCATGGCTATTCCTTGTGTAATCTTTCCAATACTGTTAGGGTCGAAGTGTGTTGAGCAGTGGAACAGTCCCAGGAAGGTGCCCAGGATGTTAGCCAGGCCCTGAATACAGACAAAATATGCATGAAACAATGTACCAGCAAAGGAATGAATCACTAGATACTGTCTTTAACACCTCACTCAGCAATATTTCAGCTATACGATGGCGACCTATAAATAATCAAGTGATTGATATTGCAAACAATGATCCATTTTGTCATGGAACGAAGATACAATATGAACCATCTCTAAGTCGCCCTCTTACAACCAGGTTAAGAAGCAGAGTATCGTTAGAACTCATTAATTTTAAGAACTCGTTAAAATAATCTTAGCTGACTCAACTTCTGATCACTGAGGAACTGTATTACCATATTCAACGTAATAAGCGCCCCGCTCTAATAAGCGCCCACAGCGGTATTTGCTAATATATTGGCTAGTGAACAATCCCAATTAGCACCCCTTCTGATTGATCAATGTTCACAAGACTTATTTATTCGCGTACAATACGCACTCGTGTGTTATATGCACCCTTTATTATGGGCAATAAAATTCTAGAAAAATATATCTGTCGTACATAAACATTTCAGGCTGTCAGCATAAACCACATAATTTATCTTTTGACTCTGTTTTTTATTCACCAAAATAATATTCTAATAAGAGCCCCCTATTTCTAATTTTGAGAGCGCCCTGGGCGCTTATTACGTCGAATACGGTAATACACATACACCAACAAGGGTAAGACAGTTGTGAACGCTCTACCTTCACTGTCTCCGTCTTGCCCACACCAACTGGTCCTGTTATACATGTTCCCTGGCTCTGGTTCAGGGCCTGGGACATGGTCAAGAAGCAGCGTTCTGTCACAGGGGTCAAGGCCACACCCACATTGGTTCCATGGAATTCATTGCCATACTGATAGGAGTTGTCCAGGATCCAAATCAGGGGCTCCAGCTTCTCCTCTGTCATAGAAAGTTTATATTTTAACAACAGTTAATGTACCTTCCAAACATTTCTAGAATCAAACATCACATAACAAACTGGTATCTGCAGGGAGCATTGAGGCACGGTAAATACAAGACACAATCTGTTTGTTTGTTGAACACCTCACTCATCAATATTCAGCAACATGATGGCAGTCTGTAAATAATCAAGTCTGGACTAGACAACCCTGTGATTGATATTGTGAACAGGGTACGATGACACACCATCAACAAAGTCACAGAGCATGACCACCATAATTTGGGTCGCCCTTAGGACCTGCATAGGTTGCTAGTGACCAGTTCTAACCCAGAATCCCCAAGGGTGTCAGTTTTGGGAGAGAGTGACTTAACTAGTCTCAACTCTAACATACCAATCGGTTGCATGTAGCATCGTATACTTCTCCTCCACTCAAAGTCAGTCGGCTCACGCAGCTTTCTAGAACACATGTTCTCCAAGATGTCCCGCAGGAAGAGAGATTGCTGCAAAGAAAGCATGCTGTGTCAATACCTCAGTACACATCCCCTGCATCCCTCTTGTCATCTCGGACCTCCATGGTCCGAGGCATACAAATATGCACCTTAGGCTAAAAAAAATAATACTCTTGGTTCTCAGGCACCGCCCGCATCATCATAAAGTCTGTGGCACATTATGTTTTCATTTCCATTTTCAAAAATATTTAGAAAAATCCCAATACTTTAAAACAATGCGATGCAGTTACTTCCCTTTACATGCACACTGTTTTACTGCGCATCTCATGTTAAGGTAATGGCGGCAATAGGAGTTTGAATGCTTGTTTATGTAGGGAGGCCCTTTCCCAAGTTGATGGTACACAACTGTCTATTTCATTACATACAATTCTGAACAAGCAAACAACAAAGACAAAACCACACACGCCCGCACTATATTTTCAAAAGTCATTGCCTGAGAACCAATTCTTTTATTTTTTTAAGCCTTAAGTTCTTCTCCTAAAAAGTAATTGTCATTTCCTGATACAGTTGAATGAGTCGGTGAATGCTTTACACAACTAACTGGTAGAACACATGTGGTTACCATGTTGGAGTAGTGGACACACCTCATCAGCTTGGTCAAAGCTCGGGATTGGTCATCCATTCCATTATCTTGGTGTTCTGTTAAAGGTTATGTTGCCAAATGTACCTGACATTCCACATTCTTAACCTATAGATACCCTTACATTTATTCAAAAGTCTCCAGAAAGATTGAATGCTGCTTTTAGCAATATTTCAGCAATATCATGGCAGGGGACAGCAGAAATGTGCTTCACACATTGTACTCCAGTGGGGAATTGAACCCAGTTTTTCGATGTGATAAGCGAAGGTTTTAACCACTAGACTACCCCACTCAGCACTCCTCCCCGGCAAAATGTTACACGCCTCTGTCGACGTATTTTTATGTCAGTTGCCTCTCATGGGAAACATCTGGTACCATATACTGACTAGAATCCTAATGATGATGTAGTTAGTGGCAGATTATCCAGGCAACATATCTATCAAGTCTCCCATAACATTGCACAAAACATGGACACTACTTACTGCAATCATACTCTCCAGACGTCCTTTATGCACAGGTAACATGGGGTCATCGATGGTCCTCCAGGCTCCGCGGACAAGGACAGAGGACAGTTTGCCTGTGGTGGCCACATACTTCCTCAGTGTCCCCTGCAGTGCCTTGCGGTCATACTTGACCTCCGCTATACCCTGCTCACACTCGCGGGTCCAGTGATACAACATGCCCATGCGACACACTTGGGACGGGTACTGAAGGAAAACACCAATAGGGATCATGCAACGTATTAGGGGTGTACAATATATCCAGTATACAGGTATGTTTGTGACATCATGAACAATGGAATTGCATCTTCAATTATTTTCAACACAAGTTGTTCATATCTTGTCACATTGTTATGTCCCTCTTTGCAAACAATGAAAGTATAGGAACAATTAGAGGAACTAGTCAATCAGTATTAGGCAAAAAATATAAAGCTCAGTGAGAATAACTGAAAATAATTACACCACTATCCATGCCCCAGTGGGTAACATGCCTTTATGACTGCTTACCTTGGAAGCAAACTCATCAAGAACGACGCTGTTGTTGCAGTCCTGGATGACACTGGTGTTCATTTCATGTAGAGTCTTCCCCACCGAGTCCCGCAGCTTGCCCAGCCACACCTCCACACCATCACTCAGTGTCACCTGTATACAGGAGATTACATCATACACTGAATATTCTGTAAATACTATTGTCTTCCCCACCGAGTCCCGCCACACCTCCACACCATCACTCAGTGTCACCTGTATACAGGAGATTACATCATACACTGAATATTCTGTAAATACGAGAGTCTTCCCCACCAAGTCCCGCTGCTTGCACAGCCACACCTCCACACCATCACTCAGTGTCACCTGTATACAGGAGATTACATCATACACTGAATATTCTGTAAATACTATTGTCTTCCCCACCAAGTCCCGCCACACCTCCACACCATCACTCAGTGTCACCTGTATACAGGAGATTACATCATACACTGAATATTCTGTAAATACTATTGTCTTCCCCACCAAGTCCCGCCACACCTCCACACCATCACTCAGTGTCACCTGTATACAGGAGATTACATCATACACTGAATATTCTGTAAATACGAGAGTCTTCCCCACCAAGTCCCACAGCTTGCCCAGCCACACCTCCACACCATCACTCAGTGTCACCTGTATACAGGAGATTACATCATACACTGAATATTCTGTAAATACTATTGTCTTCCCCACCAAGTCCCGCCACACCTCCACACCATCACTCAGTGTCACCTGTATACAGGAGATTACATCATACACTGAATATTCTGTAAATACGAGAGTCTTCCCCACCAAGTCCCACAGCTTGCCCAGCCACACCTCCACACCATCACTCAGTGTCACCTGTATACAGGAGATTACATCATACACTGAATATTCTGTAAATACTAGTGTCTTCCCCACAGAGTCCCACAGTTTGCCCAGCCACACCTCCACACCATCACTCAGAGTCACCTGTATACAGGATTACATCATACACTGAATATTCTGTAATTACTAGAGTCTTCCCCACCAAGTCCCGCCGAGTCCCTTGTGCGACATACGCTGGTAGTCGGAAAGCGCACGTTAAATCCCCAACCTCAGTCAGTCAGTCCCGCCACAACTCCACACCATCACTCAGTGTCACCTCTATACAGGATGATATTACATCAAAGATTGAATATTACCTTATCAGTGAGAGTGAGAGTCTCCCCATCGGCACTCTGCACAGCCACAGCATCCATGACGATGACGTCATCCACCAGACCTTCAGAAGGCAACATCGTTGGCACATGCTGGGACAAGCTGGGGTTCAAACTCTGCATAACAGAGGGGCATGATTATATCCACTGGCCTAACTACAAAGTAAGAGTACATCACTTCAAACACTGGTACAGATCTATGTTATAATTTTCTTATTCAGATCTAGCTATTAACTTTTAGGTGACTCAAAATTTACAAAAGTAGAAACATATTCACATTGTGACATTAATGTTAGCTTTTAATGATTAAGAAATACAATCTACTGACATTTTATTCTTAAAGAACAGGATTGTTTCGATTTTTCATGCAAGGAAAATGTTTCTAATAATTATCAATTCCCGGACTATATACTTTTCATGACAATGCATTCATAATTTCTACAATTAAGAACAAGTCAGAAATTAAAAAAAGAAGTGAAATGAACTAAACACTCCGAACTAAAGTTGCATATGGAGACTAAAACTGGTTTGTTAATAAGTAGCCATGCTGCTCTATCTGCTGGAACAAGAAGTGAAATTTGGGTTAGTCCGATTGCACTTCATTTTCAAGTCAAATCAAATTCTGCTGCATCTTGTTCAAAGAAACAAAATTAAAATCCAGAATACATATCAAGTCAAAATGTTTTAAATTTCACTTTCATACTTAAAGTATCAAAACATCAGTTAACTTTCTGAAACATGCACTGAATATGACTTGACTGTTTATGAATAGCAACCAAAACATACTAAACAATGTTGTGTCACATCCTAACATCAAGTTTCTTCAAGGACTAAACTCAAATGAAATGCATCAATTATGCATCTGACTTGGTTGGAAGTGTCTTGTACCAATACTTCAGGACACCCTGATGTTCATGAGAAGGCTTCCAAATAAAGCCTAGCTACCGTATTTCCTCTATTAGACGCCCGGGCTTCTATTTATTTTGGACAAGCCTTTGACCCGGCGTCAATTAGAGGCCAAGCGTCTATTGGAGGCTCGGCTTCTATTAATACCCCCATTTCACTATGACCATGAATGTCCCGAATCGTCGTAATTTAGGTCCCAAAAAGGGATCATTAATTGTATCAATAGATTGACCCGGCATCTATTAAGAGGCCCGGCTTCTATTTTTTGCACTGAACAATTGACCCGGCTTCTATTAGAGGCCGGCGTCTATAAGAGGCCCGGTGTCTAATAGAGGAAATACGGTATTTCCACACCGGACTAGTTTCCCCAACACTGAATATCTTTGTTTAGGGCTGTAGTTACAGTCTGTGTCATGATACAACACAAATCTTGATCGCAAGGTCATGTTCCGACACATGAAAAGTAAAAGAACCTTATCACATTCATAGAAACATAGTCCATCCTCATATAGAAGGAATAGAGAGATCCAAGTCTTTGAGAGGCATGTTGAAGTCAGAAGAACATGAAGACGTGGAACTTTAATCGATAAAGAAATGATCCATAAAAATTTCAAGTCTTCATAGAGAGGTCTATTCATGCATTGAGAAACTTTGTGTTAATTAAAACAGTTCCTTCAGAACTCTTTAAATAACGTCAGAAAATAGTATTTTGTGATTCATTTTCATACCATCTCCATCTCCTATGGATTGTTGTATCATCTTGTATCAGTACATTACCTCAAGATAGGTTTCTCATAAACTTCACAAAGTATCACAATGCCATCATAAGCTTCATAAATCTCACAATATTGTATGCATATTCAATTATCTTTACATATGTATGAATTATCTTATCATTTGTTAATCAGTTACAGAACATAAACAAATGATATATACACCAGTCAAAAGGAGTTAAAGAACACCCAATTCTTTCATAATACTACAGTTAATCTATCAATCCATGACAGAACTCTAGTAATATGAAAGAAAAATAATTTACAATGAGCCAAATCCATGCCCTTAAGCATGCTCAAAGTGCTGCATTATTACCCACACCAATGAATCAGTGTACACTCAATTTTCGTTCTCAGCTCCCTGGGGAGTATACAACCCAAGCTGCAGTGAGATGCCAGAAGGTTCACAGCCACATTACCATCCTACCTCATTCTACCGGGTACCCATCCACTGATGGGTGAACAGAGGCACATTTAGAACAAAGTCACTTCCCTAAGGAGACACCATATATGTTACATGTGCTTCAGTCCGGGGCAGGACCAAAGCCCTAGAAACTCTCAGGAGCCAAGCTGCTGAACGTGGTCACCCATCCAACAACTCTCCGTGACCAACGTTGCTCAACTTCCCTGATTGTCACCCATGCACTGTACACAGTGCCACCATGAGGCAATCAGGTGTTCTCTAACTTCTCTTGCGTAGTATATTTTGAAGTAATTCTTTGTTTGTGTTTGAATATGCATACAAATTATAAAGCTTATAGCTATGCACCAGACACCCTTCAAACCCTGACAGTCCAATGTCTGAAGGCCTCCCCCAGGGAAGAGTCTTAACGTGGAAGCCTGATGTGACACACCATCACACAACATGGGCATGCAGTGACTGAGCTTACAAAACTGGATCTGGAAGTACGATTATATGACTCCCGAGATCTCTGGCGGCAGCCCGACGGTCTCCCTCCTGAGGGGACCTGGGCTACCTTCTTCCTGTCATGGCGTGACGGCCTCTCGTTGACCCTGCCCTTGCTCGGGACCTGTCCCTTGTCCTGACAAAAACCCATATTTCAAGCTAGATCTACTTCACACAAATAAGTACTATCTACTCTCAGTAATGGTGCAAAGATCAAAACAGTGTATTACAAAAGTGTTTCAAAACGTTTTTATACTAAATAATTAGTCACTTCTGTACTAGGCATCATGCTCTATGCTTGGTTGGGAATAGAAGCAAATTCACAAAGATCTGCTTCCTGTCAGGGTTTCAATGTGCAATTCTCAAAGATTTGCTGAAAGAAATGAATTTGTAAAAAACATTTTCTACAAAGGTTTGTCCACTCTCCTAATGTCTACTTTACTAAATAAAACTAATAATCATCACTTCTAAGAAATGAAGACTAACGAGTCATTAAAAGCAATACCAAGATATTTGTTAACAGTAAAAGGACATAATTAGATGAAACATGTAAAAGGTATTATCCGGGCAAGCATAAAGTGTTCAATTACTTAAATTAGCAAACATATTTGAAATTCTTACACCATCTTCTTCTTCCTAAGTAGAAAACAAAATGTTCAAAATGTACAAAAAATAATAAGCAAATACATCTGTTCTTTTGTAATCTAAAATCAATATGAAGTAAAGATGCTTTGTAAACCAATGGCTTAATATGATCAGAACTTCCAGGCCCTCTGTCTTTGCCCCCGCTCGCAGTTTTACATTTTAAACCCAAATTTTGGAGACGTGTTTTATCGTATACATCCACATATCAAAATCCAACTTTGCACTGCACCTCTTCTATTAGTATGGAAACTGTTCCCTATATTTGAAAAGAATCCATGACATGTTTTTTTAAGTTATAGGTTGCACAAATGTTTAGGTAAAATAATTCAAAGTAAAAAAAATGAAAGATAGCTGTTTTACAGAAAATCCAAATATTGAAATCAACTTCCCACTACAACTCTCCTATTGGTATAGAAAGTGTTCACCAAGTGTGAAAAGAATCTATGCAGTAGTTTTTTAAGTTATAGGTTGCACACAAGAAATGTCTTCAGAAGGACGGATGGATGGAATTCCTTGGTAAAACTATATACCCCCATCCATTACTTTATTGACTGCTAAAACATGTGACACATTCAACCAGCACACTATGGTAAGGAACATTGTTTCAATTTTTTAAATGAGGAGTCTGATATATTCAGGGTGGCAAGTGTTGCCTTTTTGAAATCTAGCCAATCATATTGTTTGATACGCAAAGGGTCTTTTTTGGATAGTTTATCCTGTATATATCTCCCTTCTTGAAACTGTCCACAAAGAAAAAACAACAACAAAAATATCAAAATATTCAAGCTCCTCTGCCGATAAATAAAACTACAACATGCTTCAAAAGACTTTTCTTAAAAAGAAAACATACTTCACAAACTTAACCAAGCACACATATACACAGACATCAACAATGAATTCAAATTCATTCCACTTTCAGTCCAAGGATAAACTATTGACCATGCACATCGATGCAACGTTCGAAAATTCATATTTCAAACAACTGTGCAGTGACGAATAAATCCAATCCATGCAAAAGGGAGACAACTCTTGTGCAGAGTGCATGAACAGTGTCTGATTGAAAAGCACTCCACTACTTACACGACGTTTGTGTTTATTTACACTCATATATGAGATTGAATCGTCACTCCCCTAGTGAGTGAGAGCAAGGTGTTAATTACATTTATAAACTGGAGACAACTTACATAAATGGTAAAGACATAAGAAATATACATGTGTATTCAAACTAATCTAATACGTGAAACAAGTAAAGTGAAAGATTTATGAAGGGAGGTTCCACCACCAGATCGTACATGACGTTAAAAGCTGATACCCAGTAATGAAACAGATATACTGCAGTGCCATTCTTTTTAATAATATATGAAAACTCCTGAAACTCCTCCGAAAATGATAAAGCAAGTACTTATGACTCATCATTTTACAGATATTAATCCATATGTAATGACACATCATAAACAAATTGTTCAGGGGGTAAATGTGTTTTCATAAATAGAAACTTAGTTCTCATTAACTGACAATTCAAGCGTCTGAGACAAAAGTTTCTGTTTATCCAGAAATTTCTCCAGTTTGGGTATTCCACCTTTAACTTAAGTACAAAATACACAACACTGAGGTGAAATCTTTTTGAAAGAAAATAATACAGGTCTAATGAATGCACATGCTAATTAACATGACCAAATATTTATTCCTTTTGGTTGTTTGTTCGTTGTTTAATGCCGTACTCAGCAATATTCCAGCTATATGACGGCAGTCAGTAAATAATCGAGTCCAGACCAGACAATCCAATGATTGACATCATGAGCTTTGATCCACTCAATTTGGATATGATGACATGCATCAACCAAGTCAGCAAGCCTGACCCCCCAATCCTGTTAGACGCCTCTTACAACAAGCACAGTCGCCTTTTACGGCAAGCATGGGTTGCTGAAGACCTATTCTACCCCGGATCTTCACAGGTCCAATTAATTCCTGGATGAGTAATCACTGAGTGCAACATTAGCAATCAGGGTCCAGGGTTCACTCTAGGAATTTCTGATATGGGCCCTTTATGTAAAAATTTCAAATATTCCAGAGGTATATCAGACAGCTCAATGTTAAAATACCCCATTGTACTTTAAAAGCACAAGGCCCCACCCTTGAATTATCCCTGAATGTCAATGAGGGATTTTATCATTTGTGTCCTGATAAATGGATTGTTTGAAGACAACTGGATCATTAAAAATTCCCTTCAAGTTAGATGATTACATTGTCTAAACAAAGTGACTCAAGCGACCGAGAAATGTCACACAGGATTGAATGCCTGAAGGATTCTAGTTATTTGAATCAAATATTTTATCGTAATTGATAATTTATTTCTGAGTCCCTGTTAAGATAAGACCAGACATCAAGGGTAGTGCCTGACCAATGTGAAATCAAACAATACACAGAAAGAACACGGACAGAGACCTACAATCAAATTTTTCTGCAAATAACTTATCTTCAGTATACAAACTGGGGGTCCACAGGAGGGTACGGGGGAAACCATCCCACCGTTTATCAGACATCTTACGTGTCAACCTAGCTTGTGTTTTAGTTTACTTTGTGGCCTGTGCACACCACCTCTTTTTCACAATCCTAGATGACACCTCTTTTCTCCTTCTTCAAAAGATATCAGATTCTTACCTTTATATGCTAATCAGAATGACTCTGCAGTACATCCTTGCAGTGTTTGAAATTATTTAAGAATACAAGTACAGTTCTTTTGTATGTATAGAGAAGCGACTTACATTTTGTGACTGTAAAACAGTTTGAGTGAAATACTCATTCTTTCGAGTTCAGAGAAATAATTACCATGAAACTGGCCTACTTTTCTGTTAAGTTGTGTCTTAACTTATGGCTCTTATTAATTTCAAACACTGATATGAATGTGCGACCCCACCACCAACTGAACACAGGGGTACTCACATAGATCTGAGTGAGACGTTTGTCAATCTTGGGTGGGGTGTTGGACCTGTGTGGGGACGTGGTGGAGCGGGAGCGGTCATGAGGGGTCCTTCTCCCCGTGGTGCCACCCCCTCCGCTGTATGTCTCCTCCCCATCTTCCTCTACCACATCTTCCTGCCCCTTCTCCAGCCGGACATCATGAATCTGACTGAAGATCGATCTGCAACACAGATGAAAACGTAGGTCATAGGTCATGTCTCGGACAATAAATCAAGCACAGCCTACAGTGACAGTCCCACAACAACATTTCCTCAACCTTGACCTTGATGAGCAACTCCACTTGGCCTTTCCTTGCTATCCTTTCAAATAGACATTGCACAAGGTGATATTTAGTGAGTGACTGAAACTTTTATGCCACAGTCAGCAATATTCCAGCTAGCTCTCACTGTAAATAATCCAGACAGAGGCAGGAACTGGCAGCATGATTTGTTTGTTTGTTTGTTCGTTGTATAACGCCGCACTCATCAATATTCCAGCTATATGACGGCGGTCTGTAAAGAATCGAGTTTGGACTAGACATTCCAGATATTGACATCAAGAGCATCAATCCACGCAGTTGGGATACGATGACATGCATCAACCAAGACAGCGAGTCTGACCACGCGATCCAATTAGTCAGTTCCTAGACAAGCTTGGGTTGCTGACCTGGAATCTTCACAGCATGAGCAATCATCTACCTCCTCATGAGTACGATCACACATGATCAGCTTCAAAATTCAATCACTCACTATTCCACAACAGAGTGACACACATATGATACAAAGTTTCCATTTATCCAAAAAGGATTCCACATATCAATCAATACTCTCTGACTGTGACTTCAATAACATGAAACAAATATAGGACAGAAAGTGACTTACTTGAGATGAGGTCTGACAGAGTCCAAGTCATTCGGTCGGCTCAACATTGCCAGCAGGATGGGGTCTGACACGAAGTAGAAGCGAGGGAATGTCCTGCGTTTGTTGTCCAGGTAACCAACAAGAGACTTGAAGCAGATCTCCAGCTCCTCGTGGATGTGACGCAGCACAACAGCTTTAGGCACCTCTCCACCATAACAACACTGGAACAAAACACGGATCAAACACATAAGGGCAGGTACAAGCTGAACTGTAAAGAGATTGACAATGACATTAATGCAGGAATCTGTATCCAATGCTCGTTTTCAGGACTAGTTGACAGGAGGAAAGTTTGGCACATCACCTGCAGGACATTCCTGGTGTCGAAAGCTCTCTTCATCATCTTGGTCCAGCCCTTGTCGATTCGGGCAAATCTTTTGGCCTCCTGAGGCAGCTCCTGTCAATGGGGAGATGTCCATGCAGTATTAAATCATGATGATACAATCATCTAGGGATACCTAACCACACAGCCAACAACTAAAATACTCTCTGATTTAGCTACAACATTTACAATTAATAATTTTACACTCAACTCAACCTTGCATCTATCAACAAATCCAAAAGTAACCCTACCAGCTATGGATTTACAGAACCCAACCTCATTAAACCACCACTTACCCTGACGGCTATGGCATTACTGAAGACTGCCTCCAGGTACTGCCACAAGTCCTGCACCTCCAGCCACAACTCCAGCACCTGGGCCACCTCCTTCAGCTTCTCAGCCCAGGATGCAGCCTCATCCCGCAGCGGGCCGATATACCTGGAGGTCAACATGCTGGCCAGCAGGGCCTGAGCATCCTCCAGCTGCTCCAGCAGACGCTCCGTGAAGGCCTTGTCCAGGTACATGGGGCCACGCTTCTTGTAGTGCTCGAAGTTGAGTACCTGCTCGGTCCACTCTTCCTCCGTCATCCTCATCTTGATCTCCAGTTCCAGTTCCCGACAGGCTCCTCGACAGATCTCCTCGATCTCTGTCTTGTGTCTGGAGTCACACAGTGTCCAAGTCATTACTATTACATAAGCTAACTGTGCTATTAAAGGAGCAAATTCTCATTGAGTGCTATATGTTTGCTTCAAGGTTGGCTATTCATGACAATCATTCCATTCATTTTACTGTTTGCAAAGCTGGTATCAGCATTATGATATATTCCAGTATTGTCCCAAATGATTAAAGATAAGGACATCCTTTGTTCACGACACTGTTAGTACAATAGGTTGGCTTAGGCGATATCGATTAATATAACCACATTTTTCTTCAAAACTAATTCTCTCTGGAAATTTATCCCTGATTCCTCAAAACTTGTAAGATTTTGTGTTAACAGGCAAGACAGCCACATTGTCCATGTTGTACACAGGATGACCCTCACTCACTTGATAAGTCCGATATCAAGCAGGTGGGTCAGCTTGAAGACATTGGCCTCCAGCTGGAAGGTGCTTCCTGTCACCTGCATCACCTGCAGCCAGTGGCGGTTCCGGATTTCCTGGAGATCATCATCATCATCTTCATCATCATCATCACAAATAATACATCTCTAGTTTTGGCAAATCTATCATACCACAGTATTTTTGTGGGTTTAATTTTTCCTTTCTTGCAACACAAAAACTGCAAGGTGAATTGATTTAATGCTATTTCAAACTTCAGCATCTCTGAAGCAAATTATTCACTTTACATTTTCATCTATTTCCAGAAAATGTTCCTTTTTAACATTATTGTATGGTCACAAAAAGAAACAGTTTAAGCTCACAATGACTGTGGTATGACAGAGCTGAAAGACGCTAGCTCCTGGCATTGGAGGTGTTCTACAAAATCATAGATTGTTTGTAAAATAAAACCATTAGTGTAAAAAGTGTTAATTGTCATTGTTAGTGTTAATAAATGTTAAAAAATGTTACGGTAACACAAAAATATGTACAAGTTTAGGTTACTACAAAACATGTTTGTTAATTTTATTTCATGAATATTACTAATGAAAATGATAGCATGCCAAGAAAAGATAAAATTTCAAACTGAATTTTAGTATTTATGAAATAAACGATGACAACTCAAGAGGGAAACATAACATGCATATCCATTATACATTAAAGCTGACAGCCGTGAAATATACATGGTCACCACTGATTACATTGGAAGGGATGGAGGATGTGTTAATCAGGGAGTTAGTATTGATTGAACACCCTTTTTGTAAGCTACCTTTACACATCTTCCACAGATCCCAGAGCTGTCTAACATAGATCAAAGAGCAACCTTCCACATATCCCAGAGCTGTCTAACATGGATAAGGTCCTAACAGTTCCACACCCCAGAGGAAGATGAGTCTGGGACAGACTGTGATGGGCTGTGGTGAACGAGGTCCTAACAGTTCCACCTCCCTGAAGAAGATGAGTCTGGGACAAAGTGTGATGGGCTGTGGAGGTGAACAAGGTCGTAACAGTTCCACCCCCCTGAAGAAGATGAGTCTGGGACAGACTGATGGGCTGTGGTGGTGAACGAGGTCCTAACAGTTCCACCCCCCTGAGGAAGATGAGTCTGGGACAGACTGATGGGCTGTGGTGGTGAACAAGGTCGTAACAGTTCCACCCCCCTGAGGAAGATGAGTCTGGGACAGGCTGATGGGCTGTGGTGGTGAACGAGGTCCTAACAGTTCCACCCCCCTGAGGAAGATGAGTCTGGGAAAGACTGTGATGGGCAGGGTGGTGAACAAAGTCTTAACAGTTCCACCCCCCTGAGGAAGATGAGTCTGGGACAGACTGTGATGGGCTTTGGTGAACAAGGTCCTAACAGTTCCACCCCCCTGAGGAAGATGAGTCAGGAAGATACTGTGATGGGCTGTGGTGGTGAACAAGGTCCTAACAGTTCCACCCCCCTGAGGAAGATGAGTCTGGGACAGACTGTCATGGGCTGTGGTGGTGAACGAGGTCCTAACAGTTCCACCCCCCTGAGGAAGATGAGTCAGGAAGATACTGTGATGGGCTGTGGTGGTGAACAAGGTCCTAACATTTCCATCATCCCCCTGGAGAAGATGAGTCTGGGACAGACTGTGATGGGCAGGGTGGTGAACAAGTCTTAACAGTTCCATCCCCCTGAGGAAGATGAGTCAGGGACAGACTGTGATGGGCAGGGTGGTGAACAAAGTCTTAACATTTCCATCACCCCCCTGGAGAAGATGAGTCTGGGACAGACTGTGATGGGCAGGGTGGTGAACAAAGTCTTAACAGTTCCATCCCCCTGAAGAGGATGAGTCTGGGACAGACTGTCATGGGCTGTGGTGAACAAGGTCCTAACAGTTCCATCCCCCTAAAGAAGATGAGTCTGGGACAGACTGTCATGGGCTGTGGTGAACAAGGTCCTAACAGTTCCATCCCCTGATGAAGATGAGTCTGGGACAGACTGTGATGGGCTGTGGTGAACAAGGTCCTAACAGTTCCACCCCCCTGAAGAAGATGAGTCGGGGAAAGACTGTGATGGGCTGTGGTGAACAAGGTCCTAACAGTTCCATCCCCCAGAAGAAGATGAGTCAGGGACAGACTGTGATGGGCTGTGGTGAACAAGGTCCTAACAGTTCCACCCCCCTGAGGAAGATGAGTCAGGGACAGACTGTGATAGGCTGTGGTGAACAAAGTCTTAACAGTTCCATCCCCCTGAAGAAGATGAGTCTGGGACAGACTGTCATGGGCTGTGGTGAACAAGGTCCTAACAGTTCCATCCCCCTGAAGAAGATGAGTCAGGGACAGACTTGGATGGGCAGGGGTGAACAAAGTCTTAACAGTTCCATCCCCCTGAAGAAGATGAGTCTGGGACAGACTGTGATGGGCTTTGGTGTACTGATGACTACGGCTGTGAGACTAGGTGACATTATTCAGCTATCATCTGAAGTGTGAACTGTGTTAATCTATCTACTTGCACCTATAGCATATCTCATTTTCTTGACATATTCTTAATCGTCCATGAAATATTAAACAAAACTACATGAGAGTTGAACCCAATGTTTCTTCAATTCTGAACATATGCATGTTAGAAGGGATACAAAACACAACCCAAGAACATGTAAAGATGGGGATTGCACATTAAAAATGTTAACTGACAGACATCTTGTTACAACAGACATACATGACGCAACACATTGAGGTAACATAGCATGCATATGTCAATATTTCCAGAGACAGTCAATTCAAAACACCAAGACAAAGTTCATTCTTAAAGTGTCAATGTTTTCTTAATATCCCATAGATGAAGACATGCAAAGTGACTATGTGGCACGAGGTGTAGCTGTAGCTGAAAGAAGTGCCATGCGGTCAGGACCAACAAGGACTGACCAGCATGCAGGACGAGGAGCTAGGACAACATACTCTACCAAAATATTCATACTCACTGGCAAGCCATACTTATTTTGTGCCTGCATTGTCACGAGCATAACAGGGTTAATATCATACAATCTTCCATTTGATTTCTGCGGGAATACATTACTTTCAACTGAACTATGTTCGTTTTTTGTATTTTGTTTAACCCTGCACTTAGTACTATTCGAGCTTTTTTACAGCCGTCAATCCAGACAATCCAGCAAATGACCCACACAATTGAGATACAAAGACACACTATCAACCAAGTCACCAAGTCTGACCACCTGATCCATTTCATAGCCTCTTACAACCAGCAATCCCATGAAGATCCAGGTACAAAATAGGTCTTCAGCAACCAATGCTTGCCGTAAGAGGCGACTAAACTTGTCGTAAGATCGACTAACGGGATTGGGTGGTCAGGCTCGCTGACTTGGTTGATGCATGTCATCGTGTCCCAATTGCCTAGCTCGATGCTCATGATGTCAATCACTGGATTGTCTGGCCCAGACTCAATTATTCACAGACCGCCGTCATATAGCTGGAATATTGCTGAGTGCGGCGTTAAACAACAAACAAAACTTACCCAGAATCCACACGGGTGGAATCTAGTCTCTTCCCTGTCTACCACATGTTCAACATTCTATTATAAAACTAGGATCTACCATGTCTACCACATATCAAAATTGAATGTGGCGATGTCTATGTCTTACTACAAGTAGTCAGGCATCATGAAATACTATGTTTGATTAGCTCCTGAAATGTAATAGTGCTGGTTAAACATATTGTAATTAAAAAACAACTTTTATTATATAATGCAAACATTTCCACCATTCATTGGCCAAGTGGTCACATGTCATTTGACAGAAACGAATACAAACTCTAAATCAGGTCTGATAGTTTACTGTACTGACTTGAGTTACTAAAAATAGAATAGGAATTACGGTACCCGGAAGTGGTTTTCCCGAAACCTAAGCCAATCAGCTGTCTCTGTTAGTTTCAACTTTTGTCTCTTTATCATATAATAGAACAATTATTGATTGACCTTATGATATGGTTCAATACATGAGGTCGAAGTTGTTTTTTTCAGGTCCATAAAAACAGGCATTGACCTCAAATAAAGACCATAATTGTATAATACAATTACAGGCAAATACAAAACTAACACTGGTACATATGAGAGCACTTAACAGGTTGTACAAAATAATAATATTTTCTTCATGTTTGTTTTGTTTCTTTGTTGTTTACAGCCACACTCAGCAATATTCCAGCTATATGATGGCAGCCCCTAAATAATGGTCTTCGGACCAGACAAACCACAGATTGATATTATGAGGTGAGGTGAAATTGGGTTTAACGTCGCGTCCAAGATTATTGCACTTATATAGCAATGAGCATGCACGTGTGTGTGTGTGGCTGCTTGTACTAGTCCGGACTGATGCCGATTTATAGTGCTAGCTCACTGAGATACCATGCCGCAGTTTAACATGAATACCCCACTCAGACACAGTATACTGACTCCGAGCCGACCAGTCCTTGTTTTAGCCCCTTAATGCCGAGCGCCAGACAGGGTAACAACAAGTACCATCTTTTAACGTCTTTTGGTATGACGCGGCCGGGGATCAAACCCCGACCTTCCGCTCTCCAGGCGGACGCTCTACCACTAGACCACGGAGGTGGTGATTGATATTATGAGCAAAGTTTCATACCATCAGGCTACATCAACATGCAACCAACCAAGTTACCAAGCTTGGATAAAAGCCAACAGGTTATGCCAATATTGGCAAGATCAATAAATCAATCAGAAGTAACTAGTATTTCAATCCCTGGTATGTCTGCTTATACTTTGTGTACTTGAAACTGAAAAACGTTATCAGCATAAAAAATAGATTTATGTAGTATAAAGAGTGGTAATTGGCATATCACCCATACTCATTAACGGATGAGCAATGATTAACAATCCTAAGACTCTGCTGAATGAACTCACCTTTGATGCGAGGTTGTGCAGCAGAGGGAAGACCTCGAGGTATGTCTGGAGCTGTGTCTTGAGGTCATTGTACGCATCCCAGTCCTTCAGCTTGCTGGGTAGGGCAAGACACTCGTCCCAGTACAGCTCCACCTAAACAGAAGGAAAGGTCCCTCGGTTACATATGAGGCTAATCATAGTTTGAAGACTACTACTAGTGATTCGATGAAAGTCCTTTTTTAAGTGACTCATAATACTGTAACTAAAGCACAGAAACTTGAGACATCTGTCTTTGCCTAATGTGCTGCTTTATCCAGAGATCATGATGTGCATCTGTGAAAGAACTGCATGTTTTGTGGTATTTCTCTTTAACAGAATATCAGGGGCTCCATCCCATGATGATTGACATCAAAAGAAAAATGTTCATCAGCGTTAAAATTTGCACTAGTCCTGTAGTCCTTGCCAAACTGCCCAATAGTTAAGGTATCATAAGGACTAGTAGAAAATGTATTTTTTAGAGTAAAAATATCATTTATACTTATCCTGACTCATACTTATTGCTTATCTCTCTCTCTTCCGAATAGGTAGTGGAAACGTCCTGTGCTGTTCCCAAAGAACAGAGAAAAACAGCTCACCCAAACGCACCCTCACTCTGCGCATGCGCACCGGAACCATGTGACCAAGCCCAGTAACTCATCACTCTCTCTTGTTTCCTACTTAATGGTCGAAACACATCAGTGGAAAGAGGGGAAGGTCGGGAGGGTACTCATTCGTATGAGTCAGGATAAGTATAAATGATATTTTTACTCTAAAAAATACATATTTTATCTTATCCTGACTCATACTTATTGCTTGAATCTCACAGTAGGTGGTGGGTTTCACCTGTATGTGTGATAAACGTCGATCTGTTCTATAAACCCCATAGGAACATTGTTAATCTTCAGTGTAAATTCTTAATTGGGGACCACCTTCCTTTTTTGTGAGCAGCAAAATGGAAGTAAATCATATAGATTTGTGGATTTATAAGGTTTCTAAGATAAATCTTGTTCACCTTAAACGATTAGGGTGTTAAGAGAAGAGCAATAATCTTAACACAATCATTTCTCACTCATGTGCTGAATTACATAGTAAAACAGGGGGCATGGACTCTCAGTCGTTGGTTATGTAACAGTAACCTGACGTCAACAAGTCTACGTGATATTGGGTGAGTGTGATCTTCTAATGTCGTCTGGTAGGATTCGTGAGTTGTTGTGCCACAACTAATGGTCCGAATTGGTGAATACCAGCTAAGTCTTCTGTAGCAAGGTCTCTAAGGTAGTGATTGGCGAAAACTGTATCTGATTTCCAGAAACAGCCTTCCATAATAGTTGTTATGGAGCAGTTGCCGTGAAGTGCCAAAGTTGAGGCTAAGGCTCTTACTTCGTGCGGGTTGGAGGCTGAAGGGGGGTCCAATCCCGCTGCTCTGTATGCTCTGAGAATAACAGCTCTCATCCAAAATGAGATAGTTGTTCTGGATACCTCTGTGTGTGTATTCCTTAATAAAGGAATAAATAGTCTCTTAAAACCTTGTCTTCTAGGTTTAGACTTTTGTAGGTATAATCTTAAGGCTCTGACTGGGCATAGTGATAAATCCTCTGTATCCTCTGCACCAAGGACGGAGGAAAGAGCCGGAATGTGGAATTGCCTGTCTGGTTGGCCTGGTAACTGGTTCTTTGCAATAAAGTCCCATCTTAAGCCAAGGTGCGCTGATGAGTTGTTACCACTGTCAAATGTGATACGATTGAAGTCTATCGCATGGATTTCAGACATTCTGGCTGCCGTAGCTAATGCCAGAAGAAATAGGGTTTTCTGCGTCAGGTGTTCAAAGTCGGCCTGTTGGAGCGGTTCGTATGCATCACTGGTTAGGTGTTGTAGCACTATATTTAGGTCCCATGCCGGGGCTCTAAATCTTTTCTGTTGGTCCTCAAGTCTGAAGGATCTGAGTAGGGCTATCAGCTCGGGAACTTTAGTAAGTTTTATCCCGTTAGCCATTGTCAGTACAGAACTGATAGCGGCCAAATAAGTGCCCAGTGTCGAACCTTTAAGATTCCTTGTACTTCGTAAGTGACATAGGTAATCTGCTACTTGTGGTATAGTAGCTTTGGCTGCAGAAAAACCCTTGGATGTTGCAAACTGGTCAAAACTTTTCCATTTATCATCATAGAGATTCCTCGTTGATCTACGAAGTGCTAAGGAGACTGCCTTAGCTGCTCTTATGGAATATCCTCTTTTAACGAGACTGCTCTTGATATGCTCCATACGTGAAGTTCGTAAAGATCTGGTCTTGGATGGACCTGATTGGAGTGTGGATGTAGCAGTAGATTTGGCCAGTTTGGAAGTTTTAACATTGGATTCCCTGCTAGTTCGACGAGATCTGGAAACCACGTTCTCGCCGGCCAGTAAGGCGCTACCAAAAGCAGTTGTAGGCTGCTCGTGTGTAGGATCTTTTGTAATATCTGTGGTATCACGGCTGGTGGAGGAAACGCGTATGCATTTAGTCCTTCCCATGATATTGACAGAGCATCGACTGACCAAGCTAGTGGGTCTGGCACTGGTGATACAAACGTTGTTATCTGATTGTTGAATCTGGTTGCAAATAGGTCTATCAGTGGGCAACCTTTCTCTTTTATTGCCAGTTGGAATGCTTCTGGGTGTAGCTTCCATTCTGTCGGTGATGGTTTGGCTGGCCTGGATAAGGCGTCTGCTAAGACATTTGCCACTCCTGGTATATGTCTTGCCTTTATTGTTAAGTTCAGATTGTCTACTAGCTCGTAAAGTTGAAATGTCAACTTCAGGAGGGTCTCCGATTTTGTCGTGCCTTGAAGGTTTATATTGTATGCCACAGTTGAATTGTCTGTTCTGATCATCAGACGTTGGTTTCTTAACTGTGGGGCCCAGTGAAATATTGCACGGATTACTGCCTCGTATTCCAGATAATTGATGTGGTAGAGCTTTTCTGCTTCTAACCATATGTCTGCTGTTACTTCTCCATTGAAGTGAGCTCCCCAACCTTGAAGTGAGGCGTCCACGAATAAGTGGTTGTTGAAATCCGGCTCGTTTAAACAAGTTCCTGCGCAAACGTTCGATTTCATTGTCCACCATAAGAGGTGTTTCCTCAAAGTTTGTGGTAGTTGCAGTTTTAAATCCTGATACTCTAGGTATGGATTTATAAATCTCTGAATAGGGCGTAAGTGTAGTCTGCCTCGGACCGTCAACGCTTGGGCTGACGTGAGTAAGCCTAGTATCACTTGCCATTCGTTGACTGAGATTTTCTTGTAAATTGCTGTTGGCAAGCAAGTCTTGATTTTTATCCACCGATCTTCTGGTACCATTATTAGGTTCTGATTGGTTAGAAATCTGATCCCCAGAAATTTGAGGTCCTGAGATGGTTGTAGATCGGACTTCTGAAAATTTATTAACCAACCCAGTTGCGTTAATAATTTCAGGGTGAAATTCAGTTGTAGTCTGAGTACCTCTGTTGATTGATGGGCTTGTATCCCGTCGTCTAGGTAAAAAGCACAACGAATTCCCTTGTTGTGAAGAAATGTCACAATTGGTTTGGTCACTCGTGTAAATAGCCACGGGGCCGTGGAAATTCCAAAGGGCAGGACCGCCCACTGGTAATGTTGTCCTTTGAAGAGGAAACGTAAATATTTCCTGAAAGTCTGTTTTATGGGAATGTGTAGGTAAGCATCCTGTAGATCGATGCTTGCGAGAAAGTCGTGCTGTCTTATCATCTGCTTTAGTTGTGGTAAATGAATCATTCTGAACTTCTCCGGTTGTGGGAGGTATTTCTTGTTGAATTTCCTCATGTTGTAAATCAAACGAAACTTTCCGTTTGAATTCTTTTTGGGAACCAGAAAGATCGGTGAGTAGAAACCCGGCGTTAGTAATTCTGGTTGAATTTTCTCGACTGCGCCCTTGTTGAGAAGTGAATTGATTGCTTCGGTCAACTTCGGCAAAAGTTCTTTCCGATAACGTATTACCGGTGGCTTGCGAGATAACGGGGGTTTCTCGACTAAAGTCGGAGCGTAGCCTTTTCTTAGAATGTTGGAAACAAATTCGTCTCCTAGAATGTCCCAATTCATCCAAAATCTTGCCAATCTTCCGCCTACTGGGGAATGCTGTACACGAACGGCTGGGGGGGGAAGTTCCCAGTCGTTCATCAGCCCATCTTCACCGGTAATTGCGGGATCCCCTCGATCCGCGGCCGCGGCCGCGACCGGCATCACGTGACGTGTCATGTGACGTGTCATGTGACTTGCGAAAGGCAGATGATTTCCCGCCTCTGTAGTTATACAAGCGTTTCTCTTTAGCTTTTTGAATGCCCGTGAAACGGCTTTTGAAATGGGTTTTCTGCATGGATTGACGATACATAGAATTCATAGTCTGAACTGACTTGATCAGCATATGATCTTTGGAGTCTTGAAGCACTTCTTTGTTGATTTTCCGTATGTTACCATTAAAAATGGTTGGGGCCTCCCAGGGTTGTCTTAATAATTCTTTGGTATAGGTATCTGACCAATTAGAATTATTTATAAGACCTTGTCGTCGTAGTAGTGTTAACCCTGCCGACACTGAGCTCATATGATCAGAAATAATTTCTTGATTTTTCTTTTGATTGACGAGCGCTGAAAGTAACATTCTTTCACGGTCGTTCTGAGGCTCCTTTAATTCATAGCTCATAGCTTCATTCATAGCGCGTGACATCGCTAGTCCAAAGAATGCATGTCTTGTAGTCGTATCAAGTTGTGCAATTTTCTTATCCTCAATGCGATAGGCTTTACTTTTGGAGTCTGACATAAGTGAGTAATCCTCATCAATCTCCGGTGAGCGAAGAAATTGCGACATGGCGTGCATGGGGAATTTCTTAAAATTAAAGCTCGGTGTTGGAAGTCCTTGTGATTTCGTGGCTTTCGCAAAAGAAACATTAAGTTTCTCTGCAATGTTGGAGATTGGTTTTATCGGTGGGATGGTTAGTGTGTCTATATCGTCCCCTTTGATACAGTATGTATCAGTGGGAGAAGAATTTCTTGACGGTGATGATATCGGTAGTCTATCTGTAATCCACGCCAATAATTCATGATCCTCATAAATTGAAGGGTAATTCTCCCCCGATGTGTCGTCATCTTGAGGGGGCTCGAACACATCCTCCTCTCCCAGAAGATAGGAGGCGTTAGGATTCGGAGCCGTAAATGAAGGCTGCGACATCTGCGAGCTATTGTGTGAAGAGGTAGTCGACTGCGTGCCAGGTTGTTTACACATTTGTTGTTGCATAGCCATTACAACTTGCTGAGTGATATTTGCTATCATATCTGTGTTAATAGCAGGCGTTGGCAAAGTACCTTGTGTAAAAAAGGTAGGCTGCGTGAAGGTAGTTGGCAGTGTAAACCTTGAAGGCTGCGCGAAGGCAGGAGCCTGCGCGAACGCTGGCGTCTGTGTATACTCTTGTTGATTAATAGCCTGCGCGAAGGTAGGGGATTGCGTAATTGTTGTGTTGGGCTGCGCGAAGGCCGGTATCTGCGCGAAGGTCTGGGGCTGATTGAGGTTTATATCGGCTGTATTTGTAGCCTGATTGGATGACACTGCGGGCTGCGCGAACCTCTGGGGTTGTGCGGACGTAATTGTCTGCGCGCAGGCTTTCTTCTGGCTAGAAGAAACGGCTGATTTTCTTGAAATCCCCTTCGTGACTACGGACGAAGTCTGTGGTTTTGTTGAGGTAATAACCTCTGCAAAAACATGCTCTCTCCTAGGGGAAGACGGCTTCAAAGTAGACGATGCAGCACTCTTTTTCTTAGCTAATTGTTGCAGATTGATCGCCTGACTGAAACTTTCAGTAGGTTTATTCCTAGACCCTCCAGACTTCTTACTGGTAGACGAGGAAGTAAGATGGGGGGTGACTGCATCATCTTCAGCGGGAGTTATTTGAATAATATCAAATTCGAATTCCTCTGACGAAGGGCAGGGCGTAGATTCTCGCCTCTTCTTACTTCTTGCCGTCTCCCCGGATGACAACGAGCGTGATGACTCACGTCGTTTTCGATCCATCTTTTTCCTCTGCACTGCACAAAGATAATTGCTAAATTCTTCCTTCCCCAAGGGGGCGCAGAATTTGCATCTATTCTCTGCAGTGCAGTTCTGTACTGTGCAGCTGGTACAGGTAGGATGAGGGTCCGAATCTGAAACACGTAATTTACATCGGTTACATGTTTTCATAACTCGAACGGGGCTGTCTTTAAGTCCAAATAACGAAAAATTCTAATGCCAAATATATAAAATAATCGTTAGATATGATGTATATAATACCACAGAAGATAATCCAAGCAAAAAATTTTGTTAAAAGGGTTAATTTTTAAGGAAAGCTTGGATTACGATGCACAGCAAAAAATTTCCAGCTGCCAAGATGGCGCGAAAAAGAGAGAGTGATGAGTTACTGGGCTTGGTCACATGGTTCCGGTGCGCATGCGCAGAGTGAGGGTGCGTTTGGGTGAGCTGTTTTTCTCTGTTCTTTGGGAACAGCACAGGACGTTTCCACTACCTATTCGGAAGAGAGAGAGATAAGCAATAAGTATGAGTCAGGATAAGATAAAATTTTGCCATTTTTAAGGGGTTTTGGTATATATTATCATTATAAGGACTAGTGGACTATAAATGTAAGTTTCTACCACTGTTCATGCTATTAGAAACTTTATCACATCATATTTAATATCACAGCAGGGATAGCAAAGAGAGTTGCAAACATAACTTGATCATGCATATATACTGCCTCTACCATGTGTCTACAGCCAAATCGTCTGGGCCTAGTTCCACAAAGCGATCTTAGCGCTATGATAGTCGTAAGCCTATGTTAAAGTATGGGAGATATGATCATCTTAGCGCTAAGATCACTTTAAGTAACGGGAGCCTGGTCTACAAAAAACTGCTTCTCACCTCATGGGAAGCTGCTTCCAGATCTGCCTCTGCCCAGAGTGTGTCCTGGAACTTGTTGTCGAAGCGGATGAACTTCTGGAAGAGTCCATACAGCTGACTCAGCAAATCCAGTTCCTGTAGACACAGAAAAGGCCATCATATTCCAGCATGCACAAGGACCTTAGTGTATGCACTTACAGTTCCCTGTGAGGACAGTGCCGTAGATCCTTCTCATTTCATCATTCATGTTCGCTACTCAGTTCCATGTCTTAAGCACATGTTCTACAGGGGTCATGCTATGACAATATCATAGTCACATCGTAACTTGACCATGGCCCTCAACGCATTTATGCATAAACTGACATATTACTTCTGTTTCCTGGAGTGTTTACATGATTCTGAAAGTCAGTGATCTGAACAGCAGGTTAAAGAGCAAGCCAAAGCAAACTCCATGAATGTGAAAGTCAGGGTTTACATCATTTCGAGAATACAGTCCCATTAGAAACGTATGAACATCAAATGTCTCGTCCAATGGAACAGCAGTATATTGTGTAAACCACACATTGAAACAACATCCCCACCAAGGTGATTGAGCATATGAACAAGGGATGCAAGACAAGTGCCTACCTCTCCGGTGCGGTCCAGCTCGGGGAACGGTTTACAAGCAATTCCAAACAGCTTGGACACGGAGTCAAGAGTCCTGCGTTTAGCATCATACTGAGTGTATCTGTGCTGGAAGTCCTGGAGACGAGACACGGCCTCTGAGGGAGGGATCCCCGGCACTGCAGGACCCTGTGCGTCAAATGCATTGCGGAACTGGATCACTTCCACGACGAAGGTCTGGAGGAAAACATACAATGTCATGAAGACAAATAGCTGTTTGGAAGAACAGGTTTAGTTTAGGAAAATAGTACTTGGAATCTTTATTCTACTTCATCCTAACAAACACAACATATATCAAAATTCATATCAACTGCAAGAGAACAAAAAGAAACTGAACATTGAAGAAATATTTTACACTTAAACTGCATTAAAGTAAATGCTCCAACAATATTATAATCACCAAGGAAGTACTTGAAATGAAAAGAATATTTTGACACTTTCATATCTGACTTATTCAATATTATGTCTATGTATTATTATTATTGACTCAAACACTATGTATACACTACAGAAAGTGACGAGAGTTACCTACCTTGACCTGCTTGTCCAGCTCCTGCTCGAAGGCTCCACCTCTCTCTTTGAGCAGGACTTCTCGCACCTCATCTGCCAAATCCACCATCTCCTGCCACTTGATCCTGAGCTGATCAACCTCCTCAACCTCACCCCTCGGCAACCTCAGCTCAAACTCCCTGATATGGTATCATATACATGTGTTCAGTTAAAAACAAAGACAATTTGCTTGACATAACAATGACCATGATTACTGATTGTCACAAAATGTTGCCATCACAGTAACAATTCTAATGAACACATGGTGCTTCAACAAAGTAGCATTATATACACAAATATACAGTGAGTGACCCTGCTCAAAACAGTATTTCAGTTATATCATGTTCTGTAGTTTAAAATGGGAGGAGGGGCGGTCGGGTAGCCTAGTGGTTAAAGCGTTCGCTCATCACGCCAAAGACCCGGGTTCGATTCCCGACATGGGTATAATGTGTGAAGCCCATTTCTGATGTCCTCCGCCGTGATATTGGAATATTGCTAAAAGCTGCGTAAAACCATACTCACTCACTCGCTCACTAAAATGGGAGGACATCTCAAAATGACACAGGCAGGGTTCACTTATGTTCTGACAAAGGCCCCTTATGTGCAAATTTCAAATATTCCAGAGGAAATCCATTACAGCACAATGTTAAAATGCCCCATTGTATTTGAAAATGTGGGCCTTTTTTCACATTTAGGGGCTAAAAGCACCACCCTAGAATTATCCCTGCACAGGTCATTTGGTGAAACCCACGATTATGATGCTGACAGACAAAAAATCACCACCAGGGCCAATCTGGTGACAAACAAACAATCAGGGGAACTCGGCACAACTCAGGGCCCATGCCCCAAGAGAAAGATTAAAAAAAGGACGGTGTAAAGATTTACCCATGTGGCCAAGCCTTAATTTCATCAGTCCCTTAATCACATCTCTGTGTAGCCTCACTACATTAGACACAGCCCAATCTGCCTGAAGTGTTTGCCCAGTAAGTGTAAGAGCCTACCTTAGTTTGGCATACATGGTCTCTATGGGAAGGTAGATGCCATCAATCTTGTTCTCCATGTCACGCAGCTCCTCCAGGAGAACGAGGGCACTGTTGAGCTGGTCCAGACTCTGCACATGATTCTCCAGTCTGCCCTTCACGTTCAGGCGGTAACTCACAGCTGCATCCAGCTTTTTCTGAATCACAAATACCCTCACTTAGCGCAACCAGGAATCTCCAAAACATGTTATGGATCCTTTCATGATCATCACGATTCATCACAAGTATGCAAAATGTCAATAGAAAAAAATCAGACAGTGTGAAAAATATCTGCTGGTCAAATGAAGAATGTTCATTTTGAAATGATTACAGCTGTATTCACAAAACAAAGTTTATTACTTTTTGGATTTCGAGAATCTGAGTCTCAGTGAGGATGCTATTTTCACAAATGACACTCAGTTCTTCAAGTAATATATATCTCTCCCACTGGTTATGCAAGCTCTTCGACACCCTCTCTGTTTGTTGTATATTTTCAAATGCATACTGCAAGGAGTTTCATAATTTGCTGATTTTAGTTTGTTGTTTAAAGCATTACTGAGCAATATTTCAGCTGTATGAGTGAGTGAGTGAGTTGGGTTTAACGCCGCTTTTAACAGTAAACCAGTTATATCACGGCGTGTCAGCTTAATGTGGGAGGAAAGCCCGAAGTGATGCAGGTCTTAGACGTTTACCACTTCGGTGAAACCCACGAGCACGGGTATGATGCTGACAAACCTAGAAACATAATCGGGGCGAACCGGGATTCGAACCCACAATCATAGGTTTCTGGTGTGCCCAAGGGACGCAACTCTGCACAGTGAATCGCGGCGCCTTAGACGACTGGGCCACCCGTGCCCCCTTCAGCTGTATGACTGTGTGACTGATGTTATGACTGACATCCGACACCGTAGGGTTACAATGACACGCTTTCAACCAAGACACCGAGTCAGAACATCAGATCCACCCTCATATCACCAGCATAGGTTGCTTGGCCCTATTCTACACCGGAATCCAAACAGGCTATTTTATTCCTGATAGAATTGTTGACAAAATGTGACAGAAATTACAAGTGTCTTTAGTCATGCATACCTTGGCCTCTTCATGCAACACAGAAGCAAACTTTGTCTTCCAAGCCATGGCAAACCCATGTAACGCATCCTTGATGGGATCTGTATGTAGACAGATTGGCCCTATAGGCAGACTGTTGGGGATCCCCAGGACCTTCTTCTCAACGTACAGGAACCTCTCCACCTCCCTCTTGATGGCCAACATGCCGGGGTCGGCCGAGATGAACTCGTTGAAGTTGCCATGCATGTCGTCTTTCCACAGGAAGTTGTAATAGCTGAAGTGGAACAGGTGTTTGTTGATCTGGGTCTGCATCTCTGGAAGAAAAGATCAGATTATGATGAGCATTCCATACAGTAAACTAGGGTTATAACAAACTCAAAGGGACCACTAATTTTAGTTCGTAATAACCGTAGTTCGTTAAAAGCATATAAACAGATATATACAACAAATAGCCGGGACTAAAAAATAAGTTAGTTACATCGGTCAGTTCGTTATATGCATGTTTGTTATAAACGTAGTTTATTGTAACTACATTTTCTTAGGTGTCATAGAAGAACATTTGAGTCTATAGCCTTGAGTTGTCCTACATGTCTTTGACAGATTTTCTTAGAACCAATTACTATTATTAGCTTAGCTTTAAATGTACATGACTGAAATCAGTAGAATTAGACTTGAACAAAACTGGTGGCTCTCTTCTGCAGATCTTTAAGGAGATATACTACCCACCATCGATGACGTTGGAGAGCTGAGCCTGCAGGTCCTGGATGATCTCATCCCTCATCACCATGTTGTAGAAGGACTCCTCCGATGTCGTACACAGCCACGCGATGTCTGAAAACACAGGGCATCAGTTATGTCCAGACCCCAATACAGTTCCAATGTTACTTCACAAAACACCTTCAGTCTTCTATTGATGTCTTACAAGGACATAATGAAGGTGAGGTGAAATGGGGTTTAACGTCGCGTCAAAGATTATTGCACTTATATAGCGACGTGCATGTACGTGTGTGTGTGTGTGTGTGGCTGCTTGTACTAGTCCGGACTGATGTCAATTTATAGTGCTAGCTCACTGAGATACCATGCCACAGTTTAACATGAATATCCCACTCAGACACAGTATACTGACTCCGAGCCGACCAGTCCTTGTTTTAGTCCCTTAATGCCGAGCGCCAGACAGGGTAACAGCAAGTACCATCTTTTAACGTCTATTGGATCGAACCCCTGACCTTCGGCTCTCCAGGCGGACGCTCTACCACTAGACCACGGAGGCGGTCGACATAATCAAGAAGAGAGGCATTTACAGAGGTCTACTTTTAACGACAGTACTGTCTTGATTTCCATCTAAATGTACAATTAATACATGCCTGTTATTAACTACTGTCTATTTAATGTGGTCATTTCACCAATTTCCCTCCTAGAAAGTAGTGTGTTAACAAAACTAAAAATATAACAGGCTAATCAAAGGTAAAACACAACTACCTGGTTGTCTGGAATGTCACTCAAAGAACACCCTAAGTGCAACCACTCTGTGTGACCCCTATGTTTTGTTTCATGTTGTTTAACGCCATATTCAGCAACATTCAAGCTATATGACAGCGGTCTGTAGATAAACGAGTCTGGACCAGATAATCCAGAGATTGACATCATGAACATTGATCCACACAATTGGGATACGATGACGTGAATCAACCAAGTCAGCGAGCCTGACCACCCGATCCTGTTAGTCCAGAACACAGCTCCACTGACCACTGTTAGCGTCTGTGATGGCCGATGACACGTCCTGGATGGCCTTCTGCACCACGTCCAGTGTGGGCTCCACGATGATGTTGGGGATACTGAACTTGATCAGAACCTGGAACCTGCAATACATCACCATGACAGTAGTCTCTTTACTTCAAAACATTCATTACACATAATTAAACTGATGCACAAAAACCACACATAGCAATTCTATTGTGAATAAAGTCGAAACAGACTTTTGAACATAGCTTCACTGATGACTCAGCAATATTCCAGCTATATGACAGTCTGTAAATAATCTAGTCTGGACCAGACAATCCAGTGATTGACACAATGAGCATCAACCAAGTCAGCGAGCCTGACCACCCGATCCCGTTAGTCGCCTCTAACAACAACCATTGTTGCTTTTTACAGTAAGCATGGGTTGCTGAAGACCTATTCTACCCCAGATCTTCATGGGTCAGGTACAACATAAAGGTTTTGCTTGTAAGCATATAACATAAAAACATACATAATTTAGGATAAGAGTGGATGTGTTTGTTGTTTAATGCTGCACTCAGCAATATTCCAGTGGCCTGCAATCAATACCAGACGACCAAGTGACCAATACTGTTGGCAACAATCCACACCGTGGGTGTAAGAAGACACACAATCAGCCAAGTCACCAAGCTTGACCACCTGATATGGTTGCCTCTTACGACAAGCGTATGTTGCTGGGGCCAATACCAACCCAATATCCACATGGGGAAACACATACCTACATATCACATGTGAAAGCAACATCTTCATAGGAATGAATCAACCAAACAAGTGGACCATTTGGGTTGTGGACCTCTTTAATCTGTAGTCCTTATAAATATATAGGGTCAGTGGGGAAGCCTAGTAGTTAAAGTGTTTGTTCATCATAACAAATACTGTAAATCATGAAATTAAGGCATCTCCAAAAGAATGTGACCTCTGGCCCATAGCCAAAAATGCGACTCGGTATGAACACAACAGCCCCCCTCCTTAGAAGCATCAGTGGAATTATATAAAGCAATGTCTTATTGTTGATATAAATGCGATGTTTAACAATGCGAGCAAAGATCACTCGAATTTTTTGCATTTAATTAACTCTCACATTAATTTCAAGATTCACAGAAGCCGGGTTTGATTGGATACAATGTGTGAGGCCGATTTCTGGTGTCCCCCGCCGTGATATTGCTGGGATATTGCTAAAAGTGGCGTAAAACCATACTCACTATAAATCTGTATATAGAGAGAGGAAAACCTTCACATATTAGTCTACTAGTCCAAGGGATGCCTTAGCCATTATGAATTATGGTTGGGAGGATAGGACTCATGCCAGTTGACAATGCTGTTTATGCTTGTAAAATGTAAGGGAAAGTTGGACCAACACAAGAGAAATCTTACTGTAGATGTGTGATGTCACTGGCTGATTCTCCACTCCAGGACATATTAGACAGCATGGACATAGTGGTGATCGGCCGGTCAGAGGCAGCAGACAGTGCTCGGCTCCTGGGTGTGTGATGACCGCTGTGCAGCCTGGGGGAGGGACTCCGTCCCCCATCACTGGAGTACTGCGACATGGGGGACAGGGCCCGCACTACTTCTCCAGTGCAGCCTGACGCCTCGGCCAACATGGCCAGAGATTTACTTGTGGCTGTGAGGACAGACCTGAACACCTTGTCTCTGTAGTAACCTGGAGGAAGAGAGTGTGTTCAGGAACAATCATCACAAAAGTTTGTCTACTGAAGTAGCTATGGTTATTTAGTGAGTCTTCCAATAAGAAAAACAGATACTATCACCATTATTATACTCCCAATGTTCTTAATTTGTTTTAGCCAAAAGCATAGTTCTACATAACTTGTTGGTGTGCTAAACGAGAGACATAGTTCTTCACGTTTCGGTACAGATACTGACACCGTTATCACATCACTTGCTTTATAATGGTGATAGTATCTACACCGATAGGCTGCATTCATTGGGGTACAATGGCACACCATCAGCCAGGCCACTGACATTGTGAACACCAAATACTCATATTAGTCAGTACTCATGACAAGCATGGGAAACTGGCGACCTAATTTGCTGTAAGTTCTATGACTGGAACCTCCTACCTATAAGTTCTATGACTGGAGCCTCCTAACTATAAGTTCTGTGACTGGAGCCTCCTACCTATAAGTTGTGTGACTGGAGCCTCCTACCTATAAGTTCTGTGACTGGAGCCTCCTACCTATAAGTTCTATGACTGGAGCCTCCTACCAATAAATTCTTTGACTGGAGCCTCCTACCTATAAGTTCTGTGACTGGAGCCTCCTACCTATAAGTTCTATGACTGGAGCCTCCTACCTATAAGTTCTCTGACTGGAGCCTCCTACCAATAAGTTCTATGACTGGAGCCTCCTACCTATAAGTTCTATTACTGGAGCCTCCTACCTATAAGTTCTCTGACTGGAGCCTCCTACCTATAAGTTCTCTGACTGGAGCCTCCTACCTATAAGTTCTATGACTGGAGCCTCCTACCTATAAGTTCTATGACTGGAGCCTCCTACCAATAAATTCTATGACTGGAGCCTCCTACCTATAAGTTCTGTGACTGGAGCCTCCTAACTATAAGTTCTGTGACTGGAGCCTCCTACCTATAAGTTCTGTGACTGGAGCCTCCTACCTATAAGTTCTGTGACTGGAGCCTCCTACCTATAAGTTCTATGACTGGAGCCTCCTACCTATAAGTTCTGTGACTGGAGCCTCCTAACTATAAGTTCTGTGACTGGAGCCTCCTAACTATAAGTTCTATGACTGGAGCCTCCTACCTATAAGTTCTCTGACTGGAGCCTCCTACCTATAAGTTCTATGACTGGAGCCTCCTACCTATAAGTTCTATGACTGGAGCCTCCTAACTATAAGTTCTCTGACTGGAGCCTCCTACCTATAAGTTCTATGACTGGAGCCTCCTACCTATAAGTTCTATGACTAGAGCCTCCTCCTCCAAGGCCTTCTGTTTCTCTCTCTGCACCTCACCATCGTCCACCATCAAGGTCAGCTTCCTTTCCTTGACCGACTTGTGGTCAGACTGCACACAGAACAGATGCATCATGTACTCAGCTTGGTCAAGCACTGAATCAAACAGCTTGCAACTGATGCTCTCACAGAGGACACAATCAGTGTGACAGCACAAAAGTACTATTTTTATCATGCTCATTCATGTCACACAAAATAAAACATAGCAGTTATCAATTCCAGAGATCGATAGTTATTTTGAAAGTGAACATGAATTCAAATGTATCATTTTACATGAAGGATTAATATTTTTTGTTCATCATTCTTTGTCAGATCAGAAAGTACATAAACGTTTCAGAAAATTCAATTCCAGTTACCTAATTCTTTCAACAAATATTCATACATATGAAGTTGATTCCAATATGGAAATCCATATGTCATATTTGACATGTTTCATTTTTGAAATTGTAGTGAAATATTTAAATAAGGTTAGTGAGTGAATGTGTGAGTGAGCGAGTTGTGTTTAACACCGCTTTGAACAGTGTTCCAGTTATATCACGGCATGTCAGTTTAATGTGTGAGGAAAGACCGACATGTTGCAAGTCTCAGACGTTTACCACTTTAGTGAAACCAGATATGGCGCTGAGAAACCTGAAAACATAATTGGGGAGAACCCGGCATTCGAACCCACAATCATAGGTTTCTGGCGTGCCCAAGGGACACAACTCTGCATAGTAAATTGAAGCACCTTAGACAACTGGGCAACCCGTGCCACCATTTACTCAAGGACCACATGTGTACACCACTTGTTTGTTAATCACTCAACAAAACATGTAAGGACAAAAAATACAGGTTAATAATTAAAAACAAAATAGTTTGGGACCCATTAATGAGACTCATGACAATACAAGTAACAGTTAATCACCAGTGACAGTCAACAAATGATGAAGACAGATAGACACAGACCATTTCATGAATCCTTGAGAGACATGTTGATCTGGAGTGAGAGAGTGAGTATGTTTTTACGCCGCTTTTAGCAATATTCCAGCAATATCACGGCGGGGGACACCAGAAATGGGCTTCACACATTGTACCCATGTCGGGAATCGAACCCTGGTTTTCGGTTTGACGAGTGAACGCTTTAACCACTAGGCTACCCGACCGCCCCTGTTGATCTGGAGATTTAAACATTAATGGTCAAGGTAGGATAAAGACCTTTTTTGTTCTACTGTAAATGTTACACCTTAATTTCAGAAAAACTTAAGTATTGCAATAATGCAAATCGTATTGTGACTCAAGTATGACATTTTATATTAATGTGTGAGGCATGTACATTGTGACATCTCTATTTAATTTACATAATCATACAGTTGTATACTCTCCAGTGAGCTGAGAATGAAAATCATGTGCACACTTCTCCTTTGAACAGAGCTAATAATACAGCTCTTGATAATGCTTTAGGGGTGGACTTTGGGGATCATAAATATGCACATTACTATTATGATAAATGATTATCAACATGCCTCTCAATAACTGAACACGAACATCACACACACAAACTGCTTTGTTAGTAAAACCGTGAACACACAAACGCTTCCTACAGTCTTATGCAAGTTCTTGTCGACTGCCTTAGCTCTCAATGTCCGAAGTTTGGACTGGATGGCCACCTTGGCCAGGGCAAGGGTTCTCATATTTAAACTATATTCCTGAAAGAATAAACACTTTGGGTTCCAATGGCTGTTTCATTACATTCGATATTGTACTTAACTTCATACCAATAACTGGGTAATTATCATATCTGGCATTTTGAAACTATAATATTTTTCTTTAATCTTAATTGGTCACAATACCCCAATATTTCAAAGATAAACGAAAACATAAGCCAAAAGTACAACAAATACCTACATGCAGCATACTACAAATAGTATTTGCTTGAAAGAAACTAATATTAATGTGCCTCAGTAATGTACTTTTAAAACCAAAAGAACATTCTCTCTCAGGTTGACAAAGGTCTCCCATTCCAACTGTAAACAATTAGATGCAAGAGATCAAATAATATTTTTCAACATTATTCTACAGGCTAGAACCTAGTTCCCTACAAACGCCCTAGGCTTCAAATGGGTATTAAATACTGAACAAAAAAAGATAAGGATCAAAAATATTTTGGGGATAATTTTTTTAAGTGAAGACTGAGCGCTCAATTTTTATAAAAATATACTGAAAAATATCCTTAACTTTTTGGTACAGTATATATGTCAAAAGCATAATTCTTCACATCCACCACCAGTACAACATGCTCAGTACATCATCCATCCATGACATCACAAAACTTTCAAGCCAAACACTTTCATACATTCACCATATCCAAGAATATGAAAAGTGTGACCATAAAACAGTAATGAACTGAAAACGAACCTCTACCAAACATGATATTATGACCTTTGACCCCAACATTAACATATGTCTCCATCACCAATGCACTTTGCTGACCTTCACCTTGCGTGTGGTGAGAAGGTTGGCTACATTCTGCAGGCCCTCCAACACAGTGGACACGTAGCACTGGAGCTGCTGGGACCTCTCATCAATACTGTCTAGCATGGCACTGCGGAACTCTTCCGGTGGCTGAAATATACAGAATGAATAGGGCTGAAACATACAGAATGAATAGGGCTGAAACATACAGAATGAATAGGGCTGAAACATACAGAGTGAATAGGGCTGAAACATACAGAATGAATAGGGCTGAAACATACAGAATGAATAGGGCTGAAACATACAGAATGAAAAGGGCTGAACATTCAGAAGATACAGGGCTGCAACATACTGAACAAATTGGGCTGAACATGCAGAATGAATAGGGCTGAAAGATACTGGACAAATAGGGCTAAACATATAGAATGAATCGGGCTGAAACATACTGAACAAATAGGGCTGAACATACAGAATGAATCGGGCTGAAACATACAGAACAAAAAAGGCTTAAACAATACATGTTGTAACTTGAAACCCTTTTACCCTGAACCCCCTTCATCCAGATCCCTGCTTCCCGGACGGTCATATTGATACTGGACCACTCATGACGCACAGATACTTGGGGGAACTACCAAAGCTCTGGCACACGAGATTTCTACGCTATTCATTAATATTAGTAGTATCTTTCAAAGTTCATGTTTCAGAACCTTAACATAGACTTGCAAGTCAGTGATCCTATTGTCCCTGGAAAGAGCAAGAAAATACAAGCTAACCCTCCCCTACTGAGTCAGCTCATGTCTGCCGTGAGAGTATTTCATTGGAATTATCTGAAAGTAGAAATGGGAACTGACCCATGTCCTTGAGAAGGCCATGTCCACGTCAAACAGGTAGAAGTCATTGATGGTGCTGATGATGCCGGTGACCTTTGTGTCCATCAAGTCATTGACCTTCTCACCCAAGGTCTTCAGTTTCAGGGTCGCAGCATGGATCTGGTGCAGGAACGCATCTGGAACAGATCAGAGCATGTTTGAATAGAGACAGAACTGTTGTCAAACTGAATCATGGACGCCAGTGTCTTAAATGTGTCACTGTTCTGTACTCTCAATACATCCTATTCCACAACCAGTAGGTTATAAACATCATCCATTTGTTGGGCACTGGTTGCCCTTTTCCATACTTGGTATATTTATTTGCATCAATCATAATCCATCAAAGGGTCAGTCCACAAGAACGTAGCAATTGCTGCATAAGCTGTGTTATGCCAAAATACACATCACCAACACCAATGGAACGTACAACACTAGAGTGAGTGAGTGAGTATGGTTTTACGCTGCCTTTAGCAATATTCGAGCAATATCACAGCGGGGGACACCAGAAATGGGCTTCACACATTGTACCCATGTCGGGAATCGAACCCGGGTTTTCGGCGTGACGAGCGAACGCTTTAACCACTAGACTACCCGATCGACACTACAACACTAGAGAAACAGTTGCCCTGTGCCTTGTTCCACAAAGTGATCTTAATGCTACATCTATCTTAACTCACATACTCTAAAAACAAAACTTATGACAGTCGTAGGCTTAAGATCGCATTGTGGAACAGGGCCTTGAACCTAAATGATAAATCACGTGCGGACGCTCTACCACTAGACCACGGAGGCGGTTTCAGTCCACAAGAACGTAGGTATTGCCACATAAGGTGTGTGGATCATAAGACGGCTGTGTGGAACAGGGCCATTAACTAGGGCTGGGACGAGTCCAAATATACTACCCGGGTACCCGACCCCCTATGACCTGAACCTACTGGGGTACCCACTGCAAATCTCAAGAGAAGAAATTGTCTGATTGGTAATTGTTTTACCGCAGCCCTGGCTAAAACTTTTTAGATACATGTATCAAACAATCAGATCATGCGTTCACTGAAGTTGACTGAAGCTTTATCTTTACTCAGACATATACAAGTCAAAAGGAATGTGTGCATCGTCAGAAAGAAATGCGAACATTAGCTACTTGTAGTGTAACCACTGAGCTATAGTGAGTTTTTGTCATTAAACAATATATCACGTAACTAACCACGGGTCTGGCTAGTCCTGTGGGTACCCGGGTCTTACTCAGGACCCACCTGACCCAAGTACCCGAGTTCCCCGTCCCAGCCCTACCATGAACCTACAGGAACTCTTCAACATGTAGTCTCCTCACCGATGTTCATGCTGTTCCACGCAAGGGTGCTGAGTCCTGGCTGCAGCTGCTGCTTCACATGCTCCATGTGTGGCACAAACAGCTGGCGGAGGGAGTCGGGGATGGAGCTGCACACAGCTCGGTAGTCGGCCAGCACCAGCTCCAGGTGACTCTTGTAGCTCTTGAACCTGCCCTCCTGCTGCATGATGCTGTGGGCTGACTCCGGGATCTGGATGCCCAGCCGAGTCAGCCACTTGGCCTCATGGATCAGCTCCAGAACTCTGCAACAAGCAGTGTCACATCAACAACAACATTTGCCACTAGTCCGAAGCCCAAGTCAGGTAACACTCTGTTCAGTCTAAGCTCAGCTATAAAAAGTTTGAATGATAACACTAAATTCAACAAATAATGATGGGTGATTGTTTCATCAAGACATGTACAATAATATTGACAAAGTTCAAACCAAGAGGGTTTCAAAATAGTACTCACTTTTCATCTGCATTGACAACAATTTCTCCATTGATGGGGTGATGTACAAACAGAGTGGCCCGTAGACCAGCCCGGGCCTGGTCAATCTGGTTCTTCCACTGGGTGAACCACAGACTCTCAAATGTGACCAGGGCAGTGGCCAGTCGGTTGTAGATCCTCACAATGCGCCCAAAGTCTGATAGCTGAGACACCGACTTGTTGTCTCGGAACACCTTCATGGGGTCCTCTATCCGCTTAAGCAGCTGCCGTGACCAGTAGATGGCGCCAGCAGATGGCGGAGCGTTGCGGACAGTCTGGGGGTGGTTCTGGACAAGAAGTATTTATAGTCTTATATTGAGTTGAATGGTCTTTAGGACAAAACAGCAGGACTTAATAAAACAAGGGGCTTCATAAGAAGGATCTGACCACTTGAGTCACTGAATGAGTCATTGGGTGAGTGATTGTTTAATGACTCAGTCAGCAAATATTTCGGTCAAATCATTGTACCTGTAAATATTTAAGTTTATCAAAGTCTATCAAACCAGTAATATATCCTAAAACAAGAGTTATCCGATCATGACAAATCCTCCTGGCCCCAACAATAGTTAAAGGCACACGGAAGGGTCACTATTGAGAGCCTTCATTCATATCACAGCATGTTAGCTTAATATTAGTCGAGAGAGTCCAAAGACGTTTAGGATCACAGGGCCTGTCCTACAAAATGATATAATCAGCAGTGTTGGTCAAAGGATAATATCCAGTATTCAGTGTTTGAAATGAAATAAATTACTGGCTGCCATCAGGACCCACAGACTTTAGAAGCTGCAGGCCCTGTCTCAACTATTCAGACCCTCATTTACAAATTAGGCAGCTGCTTATTGAGAAACATAAATCCTACGGGCAGGCGCTTATTTCAAACACTGACATATTTACTTCAGATTCATGTTGAAAATCATTAAGGTATTTTAACATAGACCACATGAAACAAAAAATTCACTTGTTAAGAAACATGCCTTGTTGTTTTCATATATCTTGTGTACTTCCTCCAGATCTGTCTCATACCAGTTGAAGATCTCAACAAACTTCTCCGCGATCACCCCTCGGACTCCAGATCGGCTCTGAACTGGCCAGAATCTGTGGCAGACAAACAGTTCACTGGGTCACACACAATACAGGCTTACACAGGCATGCCAGTTATCAATACACCAGTCTGTGACCTTAGCCGCTAGTCAGAAGCCAGAGTCTTGTAAAACTTCTTTTGGTCTAGTAAGTATTGCTAATAAAAGTTCATACATTAACACTAAGATCTACTGAAATTGATGTCAAGTGAGAGGTTCGGGCTTGTAGACCCGTAAGTTCTTGGAACAGACTGCATACACTGACAAACACCATGAAGACATGCATATTTTTCCTTGATGTTCAAAACAAATACAAAAATTGTTTGCCAGGAAAGTAAAGAGGAAAGGGAGAAAGGCCATGACCACAAGACATTTGAAAGGGATAGTAAGCCATGTTTAAAGCTGCCTTTAAACTCTTCAGTTACATCACAGTGCATCAGACAATGATGGCACTGAGTCGAAAGTCGTGCATGTCACATGCATTACAAGTGTGGGAATTGTGCAGGCAGACCATGAGAGTTCATCTGGCTTTCAAACACCTCACACTTAAAAATTGAAGCAACCACTGGGCTACCTAGACCAACAGAGGATTTTGTTGTACTTGATATCATTTATGTTTGTTCAGAGTTTAATGTCACACTCGGCACTATTCCAGCAACATGACGACACCTTGTAAATTATTGTGCCTTGACCAGATAAACTGAACAGACCAGTGTCTGATGATATTATGAACAATGATCCCCACCATGAGGTACCATGACATGCAAAGAACCACATCACCAAGTACGACCAGTAGGGCTGGGACGGATACCTCGGGTACTCGGGTACCATGGCATACAAACAACCAGATCATCAAGCATGACCAGTAGGGCTTGGATGGATACCTTGGGTACTCGGGTACCATGACATGCAAACAACCAGATCATCAAGCATGACCAGTAGGGCTGGGACGGATACCTTGGGTACTCGGGTACCATGACATGCAAACAACCAGATCACCAAGCATGACCACTAGGGTTAAGACGGATACCTCGGGTACTCCGGTACCATGACATGCAAACAACCACATCACCAAGCATGACCACTATGGTTAAGACGGATACTTCGGGTACTCGGGTACCATGACATGCAAACAACCACATCACCAAGCAAGACCAGTAGGGCTGGGACGGATACCTTGGGTACTCGGGTACCATGCATGCAAACAACCAGATCACCAATTGGGCCGGGACGGATAACTCGGGTACCTCGGTACCATGACATGCAAACAACCACATCACCAAGCATGACCAGTAGGGCAGGGAGGGGTAACTCAGGTACTCAGGTCAGGTGGGTCCTGAGTAGGACCCAGGTACCCACACGACTACCCAGACCCGTGGTTAGTCACGTGATATATTGTTTAATGAGATTATCAGTAAAATTCCACGCTTACACTACAAGTCGCTTATGTTCGCATTTCTTTCTGAGTATGCAAGAATTTATTCAGAATTTTACATGTTCGAGTAAGGATAACAGGTCCATCATCTCCAGTGTATGCATGATCAGCTTGTTTAATACATGTATTTAAATAGTTTTTTGCCAGGGCTGTTGTAAAATAGTTCCCATTCAGACATTTTGTACCCAACTCTTGAGACCTATAGTGGGTGCCCAGGTAGTACATTCTGACTCATCCGAACCCTAATGACCAACCAGCCTTAGAAAAGCATACGTTACAAGAGGGTTACTTCTAAGCCAGAACCCTATGGGGTCCCTGATATGTCAATCAATACTGGTGTATGTATTGCAGGGGTAGAAACTAACATATTTAGTCCACTAGTCCTTATAATGATAACATATAGCAAAACTCTTAAAAATGGCAAATTTCTACTAGTCCTTATGATACCTTAACTATTGGGCAGTTTGGCAAGGACTAGTGCTGATTTCTAACGCTGTATTGTGGAGGCCCACCTTGTGATGACATCCAGCCCCTGCTGTGTCTTCATCTTCCTCATGAACACAGCATGAAGGTATGCTGCCAAGAAGCTCTCCAGGTCCTTGACAATGTCCTGGAACCTGGAGTAGTGGTCCTCAAACTTGTCCTTGTCCTGCAGAACACATATACAATCAGCTAATGCAAATTACTTTCAAATATCAAGTTTAAACACCTTTTTATGTATGGTAAGATTTACTTTGAAGTGAAAGTCAGACCATTGTAAGTGAGGTGAGATTATTGCACTTATATAGCGACGTGCATGCACGTGTGTGTGTGTATGGCTGCTTGTACTAGACCAGACTGATGCAGATTTATAGTGCTAGCTCACGGAGATACCATGCCGCAGTTTAACATGAATACCCCACTCAGACACAGTATACTGACTCCGAGCCCACCAGTCCTTGTTTTAGCCCCTTAATGCCGAGCGCCAGACAGGGTAACAACAAGTACCATCTTTTAACGTCTTTTGGTATGACGCGGCCCGGGGATCGAACTCCGGACCTTCCGCTCTCCAGGCGGACGCTCTACCTCTAGACCACCGTCACCATTGTAAGTGAAGAAGTTGTTGAAACTGACCTTGGACTCCACATCTAACATGGTCTTTGTGGTGACATTTTCACTCATGGCTGTCCTCATCTTCTCCAGGTTCTCCTCTACAATGTAAGCTATACTTGGTCCTTCGTCCTCCTCATCCTCTGGGTAGTATTGTCCTGAAATACAGGAGAAGTTAAACACTGGACATAGAGAAGGGAAATCTTTTCCTCGGATACAATACATCTCCATGTAAAGATCAAACCCTCCACAGGAGGTCACGTGAAATTTGACTGCCCAATCTAAATGAAGGATGCAATCAGACGTCAGCTCTCTAAAATGACATGGATTCATTTTTTAACGACCTCAATTCGGAAATGTTGATCTTTACAAAGGAAAACTATTTTGGATGTAGATGCCCTGGTACTCAGAAGTATGAAATATACCCCACCGTTAGAAATTGGCACTAGTCCTATACTATAGTCTGTGCCAAACTGCCCAATAATTATGGTACCATAAGGACAAGTAAAAATGTTTTCCCTTTTTAAGGGTTTGGCTATATGTTATCATTAGGACTCATGGACTAAAACTGTTAGTTTCTATTGCTGTATCCACAACAACATACATGTCATAGCATCACATTTATTATTTCCATTCAGTAGTAGCCATTCATATTCATTTTCCAGACACAGTTATGCTGCGCTGAATGCAGAGCTCACTCAAACCAAGAATTCTTAAGCCTCAACGCTGGCTGGCTATGTTCACCTGATGAAACCTACTATAGAGGGTTTGTCAGACTTTCAAGCACAGAGGTGTTGTATCTGAGCACAGACTTAACTCTTCAGGCCCTCATTTAAAACAAATGCAGGTCATTGTGACAAATAAATCTGCACATAAAACTACTGTAAGCCATAAGTACCCATACAAATTTGAAACTACAGGCCTGACACAAGATCTCCCCACCACATGCCTTCAGCAGTCGCTTATTCCACTCACTGACTGGTATCATGTTTGTTGGTGTTGAGTGAGTGAGAGTGAGTTGGGTTTAACGCCGCTTTTAACAGTATTCCAGTTATATCGCGGCGTGTCAGCTTAATGTGGGAGGAAAGCCTACAGTGATGCAGGTTTCAGACATTTACCACTTCGGTGAAACCCACGAGAACGGGTATGGTGCTGACAAACCTAGAAACATAATTGGGGCGAACCAGAATTCGAACCCACAATCGTACGTTTCTGGCGTGCCCAAGGGACGCAACTCTGCACAGCGAATCGCGGCGCCTTAGACGACTGGGCCACCGTGCCCCCTGTTTGTTGTTGAATGCCACACACTTAGCAATACTCCAGCTATATGATGATGGCAATAATCAAGCCTGAACCAGAAAACCAAGTGAACGATATTGTGAGCAACGATCCATGCAGTTAGGGTACGATGACACACAATCAACCAAGTCACTGAGCCTGATCACCCGATCCATTTGGTCACCTGTTACGACCAGTCTAAGTTGCTGTGGACCAGTTCCAACCTGGAATCCCCATGAGGTAAACCTGGCATCCGAACCTGATGGTTATAGATGGCTACTTACTGAGCACAGTGAGTTCATCTCCTGAAAGCCCCAGCCTAGTATTGACCACATCAAATATCTCATCTGCCACATGTCCAGTAGTCCCCTTCTCCTCCTCTTTCTCCTTCACATCCACCTCCTCCTCCTCCTCATCAACTTCCTCATCCTCTGCAATGATGCCCAGATGACCACGGTCGGGTGACGGGACTTGAATGGTCAGTTTGGCAGCTGCATCATCGGGATCCACTGCTGCACATAGGAGAAAACAAAATATTGATGGTCTGACAAAACTCAAATAAGATCTCTGAATGATAATCCCACTAGGCATGATCATAAACTCAAACCTAAAACCTCAGTCTAGATTTTCAAATATTTTCTGCCATAAAACTCTGTTGCTCACCTGTATACTTTCATGTTTGCAAAATTAAGTTTATATGAGCTAGAAACTAAAAAAATCCAAAAGAGACAGACATGAGTTGAGGGTCATGAAATGATAAACAGGATGTCTTGGGTGTCTTCATTGGATTTTTTTAGTTTTTAGCTCATAGAAATCTAATTTTGCAAACATGAAAATATTCAGGTGAGCGACAGTTTTATGGCAGAAAATATTGGAAACAATGAAGGATATGAATAACTTTGTTTTATAATCCTTTGTCTATACTGATCAATTTGACTGTAGCTATCAGTTGTGTTACTATTTATTTGGCACAAAACCCATCCAAAAACGTATGTGAGTGACAAATGCTTCCCTGCAATCATCATAATGTCACCATTATCCACACTGCTTAAATTACCCAAAAAATTGCTGAAGATCTTTGTGACCCTCAAAACCTTAGGAAGTAATATTGCAATGTCAAAATATCCACAAATAAGTAGCCATCCACAGTTTCATAGAGCAATATACATTGTAATTTGTATCATTCTCATAGTGCCAAAACTGACCTTGAAGTGTACTGAGTGCCAGTTCTTGTCGAACTTTCTTGTACTTGAATCTTTCATCCTCAACTTCCTCCTCCATCACCAGGTCTTCCTTCCTCGGGCGGGGCACACCAGTCACTGTCTTCATCATCCTGAACCGAACACCAGGGTTAGACATAACCACTTGACTTTTAGTACCTGACTAGTGAAAACCAAGAGGGACTGGTTCCCTTATCCCAAAATCTAGCTATTTTACAGTCTACCAGCTTGAATTTGGCACAACATAATTTTTAGTACATTTAGTGTTATCACATGAAATACAGCACATGCTGTCAAGTCAATGTGAAAGCTTCTGCCTCAGTCAATCTCTAGTCTAGGATGTCATCACGTATCTCGGTATTGATGTTGAGATATTGGTAACCTGTTAATGTCAATACTGTATCAATACCAATTAATGAACATCGATACTAAATTAATATTCACATAAACATTTCCATTTGTTAAGACTACCATGGTTCCAGGATAGAATAGGTCTGAAGCAGCAACCAAAGAATGCCGTAAAAGGCGACTCTGCTTGTCATAAGAGGCGACTAACGGGATCGGGTGGTCAGGCTCGCTGACAAGGTTGATGCATGTCATCGTATCCCAATTGCGTGGATCGATGCTCATGATGTCAATCACTGGATTGTCTGGTCCAGACACGATTATTTACAGACCACCGTCATATAGCTGGAATATTGCTGAGTGTGGCATTAAACAACAAACAAACAAAACAAAACTTTGTTCAGGAGGACCCTGTAATAAACTACTCAAACAAGTTAAAGAACACCCACAATTGGAAATCTGTCTGTTGTAATACCCATTGGCCCACTATAGTCGTATGAAAAGAATCAGGTGTCAGGAGTCAAAGGTGTTAAAATCCAAGTCCAACCAAACAGAAATTCTGCAACATAACTGTCCTTACTTTGTGAACTGTGACATGGTATTGACGACGTCAACAAACTGCCTGATCCTGCTGCAGAAGTTGTCCATGTGGCACATGATGGCATCCTCATCCGCAAGGGGCACGCCATGACTGAGGTGGTCGCTCAGCAGAGAGACAGTTCTCTTGGAGGGGGAGTAGCTCGGACCACCACCCAGTCGAGACAGACCACTTGTGGCAGATGGTTTGGTTCTGAATACAGAAGTCAAAGGATTAATTTTCCTCTGCTTTGATTATACAGTTAACAGAAAGTGATATCAAGATGGGATATGAGCCAGAACTCGCTGATACACTCACAGGATATTCACTGGCCAGATTAACACACTATGAAATACTATCAGTTGCTATGATGGCCCCTATCTTAAAACAACTTGAATGAAGGATATACCTGTATTTCCAAGACTAACACTAACCAAGGGTTTGAACTTAACACTAGCCTGCTAGCCTGGGGCTAGTACAAATTCCTGCAGACTAGTGCAAATTTTCAAATTGTTTTAACATTACAAGGGCATTATCACTGACCACTATCTTATTAAAGCATCTCCTAAACACACTTGCTGCACTTGTTCCAAACACAATAATTATGCTACTGGCCCCTCATTTCTGATCTCAGCAATAAATGATTACGACATTATTGCTATGTCAATTGTCCACAATCTTTGTCCAGCACCTTTGAAGACCAAAGAATGGGTCAAATGCCAAATTCACCAGGACTTCAGCCTATTATTTATCTCTCAAGACAAGCCTTGTCCGAAAAGTGTCATGCTTACCTGGCCACAAGACTTGTGACTTGAGCGAAACTACTGACAGATGAGAAGTGAGAGAGGTTGTTGGTAGTTCCGAGTGAGTCGCGCAGTGAGCGGAAAGCCTCTCTATAAAAACTCTGCAGCATCAAGCAGGCACGGAGACGTCCAAACAGGCTGCTGTCCTGCACACCGATGTCCTTCAGCTCTTTGCTCTTGCCACGGGGACCCTACAGAATAAGCAGATTTAGATCATATTTATGTATCCCCATATCAGGAGGCTGAAGTGCTTGAAACAAATCTAGACAACACAGCCTTGACACTGAGATGCTTCCCTTAATGTCTGTGATATATATCATTAATTTGACATAAAGATAGATTATAGATAGTAATAGATAAAATTTCAAGGTTAGTCTGGACAAAAAACATTAAAATAAAAAGGGCATATCCCAAATTGCCTGCTAATTTTTCCTCAGCAACATGAGTCAGATAGCCCGTTTTTTTATGAAAATGCTTCAACTGATGGTGACCCCACCACCACCATCAGCAACATGAGTGAGTGAGTGAGTGAGTGGTTCAGTGGGTGGGTGGGCGAGCAAGTATGGTTTTACGTTGCTGTTAGCAATATTCCAGCAATATTCAGCAGGGGACTCCAGAAATGGGCTTCACACATTGTACCCATGTCGGGAATGGAATCGAACCATGTCGGGTCTTCAGCATGTCGAGCTAACGCTTTAACCACCAGGCTACCCGACCGCCCCTCAGCAACATGAGAGAGTGAGCTAGGTTTTTATGATAATGCTTGAACTACCCCACCATCCCCATCAGCAGCTTGAACTCACCCTGAGTTTGGACTCCACCTGACTACGGAGAAGCCTCTGCTGGGGGTCTGTAGTGGGCAGTGTGTCTCTCTGCTGGACCTCATCTGTCACTCGACGCCACAGGTCATCAGTATCGTCCAGCATGTTGATGGTGCAGCCCTTGATGTGTTCCTTACAGGCCAGGACAAGCTGGTTTGTCACCTGAAAAATAATACAATACAACATACTGATCAGAACAATAAAAAACAACAGACATTGCTATTAAGCTCTTTTCCTATTTCTGCTAATAATGTACTAATATTTCTTTATGAGGCCAAACAAACTTAATTATTTTTTTCATACAGACTATTTTAAGTAGATGAAGCAAGTTGTTAAGACAGTAGCACTTGCATTTACACGAGGAAACGTGTGTTGTTGATGTGATAAATTCAGTGAGTAATGTCTCTATTGTTATGTATAAATGGGAAAATTATTATTAATTTTGCAATGTCATTAATTATAAATTAAGGAATGAATGAATAAACAACATAACAATATAAATATTTCGTTTTTAATGATTTTATTACAAGGTACACACGGTTATTATCTATCGTGAGGACGTCCGATTTTCGATCACAAATCACTTAATTTAATTTAATCCGACATACTCGTTAATCCGACACAATCATGTGCAACCAACGATGTCGGATTAACGAGACTTGACTGTATTTCGACTTGTGCAACCTGTCCAGTTAAATCAACATTTTTCACTTTGTTTGTTCTCTACGGCTCACTCCAGCAAATACTTCAGTTCCATAATTCCAGCCTAGTTCGGCAAGGGTGGGAACGGGACTTTTTTAGTCTGTTGACTCTCTTGCCTCGGGAAGATGGTTTTCAATAGGATCCAATTAACATGGTATGTGTTTGGAGTCAGATAGGATCATGTAAATAAATGAACATCCAAACTTTGATCATGCAACAATTACCTTTGTGAGAATGACACCAAGAAAGCCTGTCCTCCCATAGTATCTGGAGATGGAGTCCATCTGCTTGATGCCATTGGTCAGCCCTGGTATGGCAGAGTTCATTATGGAATGGGGGGTGGCTTCAGTGTACAGCTGATCAAAGTAGCGGCGCAAGGAGTCGAGGTATTTTACTTTGTCCTTGGTGTCATTCATTGCGTCTGTGATACTGCAAGGGATAAAGCCATGTGTAACATCAAGATTAACAGGTCAGGTGAAATGGGGTTTAAGATTATTGCACTTATATAGTGACTTGCATGCACATGTGCGTGTGGCTGCTTGTACTAGTCTGGACTGATGCCGATTTATAGTGCTAGCTCACTGAGATACCATGCCGCAGTTTAACATGAATACCCGACTCAGGCTGACTCCGAGCCGACCATTTTTTGTTCTAGACCCTTAATGCCAAGTGCCAGACAGGGTAACAACAAGTACCATCTTTTAACGTCTTTTGGTATGACGCGGCCAGGGATCGAACCCCAGACCTTACGCTCTCCGGGTGGACGCTCTACCATTAGACCACGGAGGCGGTCACATCATAAGAAGAAACATTCATGCAAAGGTTGAACTTAAAACATAACTGGAACTGGTTGTTTGGGAAACACTACTGAAACGTTGTCTTACCTTGCATCCACTGTTTTCCACTTCTTGAGAAGCCTTGACTTGGCGGTGATGAGAACCCCAATAACAGCCTTACATTCCTTGCTCTTGAGCTGTTCCGTCACACTGGTCAACAGACGCTGTCGACGCTTCCAGCGCTCGAGTTCAGACATAGGGCCGGCATTGGGGTCCAGGAACCTGAGGCAAGAGACACACAAATTGGATTCATTCTGATCATTCAAAATCTCAGTTACAAAGATACTGAAAATCTCTCAAAATACATGTATCAATTTACAGTGTTTGAAATTTAGCATGACAGTCAAGGGGTCTTTGTCCTAATGTCAAAAGGGGAAGATTTACGTTCCTGTATTCAAAAATGAGGACTAAAGGAAAACCTGACCTTTTTTAGTTGATTATGATAATGCAAAAACTCAGGAGACTTTCTCAGGAAAAGTTTACACTTTCTTGACAACAAATACAGAACCAAATGTGTAAAAACGGGCTTGCAATGCTCTATTCAATTGAATTTCAACATAAAGAATTTAGAAAATGACATTTGACACAGCTAAATGATATGATGATCCATATTATTACTAATATTAGAATAGGTCCAGATAATCCAATCATGAGAGTTTAGTGAGTGAGTGAGTGAGTGAGTTGGGTTTAACGCCACTTTTAACAGTATACCAGTTATATTGCGGCGTGTCAGCTTAATGTGGGAGGATAGCCCGAAGTGATGCAGGTCTCAGACGTTTACCACTTCGGTGTAACCCACGAGCACGGGTATGGTGCTGACAAACCTAGAAACATAATCAGGGCGAACTGGGATTCAAACCCACAATCATAGGTTTCTGGCGTGCCCAAGGGATGCAACTCTGCACAACGAATCGCGACGCCTTAGACAACTGGGCCACCCATGCCCCGGTTTAGTTAGTACTTTGATATCTTTTTTCAAACTGTCAAAAGAATCTATTTGTAGCCAATATTCCTGCTGAGAATACATATACAGTAAAAAACCTCATATCTTGGCCTAGCATAAGCCCATGATGAGGTGCTAAATATTCTATCTGGGAAATATTTTCCTGTGTCAACATGATGAAACAGAATTGTTGGATATGAACATACAAGTAGTGCAATTCTTGAGAACAAACCTTTCATCAGATGTGTCAGTCAGTATCGCCTCGATGGTCGTCATCCATTCCGTGACCAGTTCCTCATACTGACCAATTATGATGGGGTCAAGCGCAGCGGCTCTCTGTTGTTTGAAGTCATTAAGTACAACATTCTCTGGTTGTTTCAACATCTGCAAAAGAAAAGGAGATTTATATTGAATTATTATGAACAGAAACAAATAAATATTTTACATACAAAAGTAATTTTGTAACATGTGTAACATTGTGTAAGTTAGAAGTGAGTGAATGAGTTAATATTTAAAGTCACATCAGCAATATTTCAGCCATATAGTGACGTGTAGGTTAGAAGGACACTTATAGCACAATATGGTATGTGGCAGGGATTTATCTAGGATTTCAAATGCCCTTAGCAGGCAAGTCTATATTTTGTTGAGAATTTGGATCTTAAATAAAATCTTATTTTCTAGAAATCAGAGTGTTTTTAACATTGCATTCAGTTAGTTAATTTATAAGAGATCATAATGGCATACGCTTACTAACCTATTCAAAATGTCATACGCAAAACGTTTCTTGTTATTTATGACACATCAAATAGGATTTATCAAAACTGATTTTCTTCAGCAAGATTGGTAAAGAAAGTATCTGCCATTAGCAACTCAACATGTTCAAGGGCAGGCAACTCATTTTCATGGTATCGCTACATTGTGGTGTGATACATGTGGAATATGTGCTTTACATTACTTCCTGTTTTGAATCATGCATGATTAGTAAGCATACGATCTAGGTTGGGTCAATGGACATCGTCCAAACAACTGGGTTCTTTTCTAACCAATTTTGAATGAAGGTATGGGTAATTCCACTTCAAAAACATTCCAGAAATTATTATAAAATAGTTAACACTTTTATTTACGAGTAGACGTGGCATACTGTCCTGTACAGTATTTGATCAAGCGATTATATATCATGCTTAGATTTGCATAAGTCAACAGTCGACAAGCAGTGTGGATTATAAGACTTTCCAATACTGCGATAATATAGAGCTTGCAATAATACAGAGTCACACTCGGACCCTGTGTACGGTGATACCGCGGCATTCATCGTGTCACGGCATTTGTGATTTTCCTTAGTTCACATGGGACACGCCTCTTAGCGGCTGTCTATTAATGCAAATCAGTAACCAGGAAGTGCTCGCTTCATAAACAATTTCCTCGGAATGTTCCGTCTGCTGTAAGTAAGGAATTATAAACTAGTTGATACTTACTTCTGGCATCTTTTTTAAAATTGCCTTACCCCCATCTATCAATGGAAAACGATATAACCTACAGTTCCATAAGGAAACTTTCTCTATCGACCTGAACTAAATCATCTGCATATTCATGGTGACTAACAGAAGTTACGTAGTCCGCACATTTTCCCCACACTCTGTGCCCAGAATCTATTTGGAGATCATAAGGGCCATAATGCCAAACTTAGAAATATGTTCTTTACTTGTAGCCAAAAGATAAAAACATACTTTGGGCTTACTAGGAGTGCTTTTTATATATTTATTGTTGACTTTTAACATTTTTCCATTCTTTTGACAAATTATTGTCATCCAATTTATTTTTAAAACAATCTTAACATATCATTTCTGATATTTTGTTGTTGATTTGTCAAATATTTTTCTCTTACTTTTCGGTAAATATGCATTGAATACCCATCACTGATAACACATTTAGAATTTTACTTGTGCTGTCTTTGCACTTGTCTGGACAAATCCCTGAAGTCTGGCATTCAGTAATAATATGAACACTATGGGCATTACTCCTGAAGGGTGTGCAAAATTAACGTTGTGACAAAATGAAAACATAACCAATCAAAATTATTTCATACCCATTGTTTTGATGTGTGCATTGATGCTGCCGTCTCATTCAAGGCTGTCACGAATTTGTCCATACTATGAACAAGCCCTGATTGATTTTCCTCTGTCGTTTGGCCCCAGTCTTTCTGTGCTTTAACCAAGGGAATGTAGATATCCGACAGGAGAGAGCCAAGTGTTTCGATTGCATTGTGTTTGAGTTCTCCACAAAATATGTCCCTCTCCATATGTGTTGCATCGACATCTTTTTCGGTGCTATTTCGTAAGAAATACAAAATATTGACTCCGTCAAGATCGACATCTTTCAACGAAGCAAGATTTCCTGTCACATGTAATTCTCTAGTTGACAACACGCCTGATTCTGGTCTTTCGCAAAACAGAAACAATCTACAGGGTCCGCCGGCTCTAAGAAACTTATTTATTTTGTTGAGCGTCGATTCTTCACACATAAAATCCTCCAACAACGTTGGGTTGTCATAGCCGCCGATTTTAAAACTTTCTTGGATTTTCCCAGCTATCCACCAGTGTCTTTCATCCATCGTGCAGGTTGTCAGTCTTTAAGCATAACAAAAGTAATTTCTCTGAAGTTTTTGGAAAGTTCTTCAAGTTTTGTGTGAGTTTTCACAGTTTTGCAGAACGCTCAGCTGAGATTTTCCACGCAGGCGGCCATATTGATTGTTGTTGGTTACCAAGTACCCGGATGAACGCACCTTGCAGCCGACCGAGTTCGGGCTTGTTGCCTGGCCCTAAATCGTTATTTCCTATAATCACCTGATTATGACTCTACTGTTTGTATGGATTTATTTCGCCAATAAGAAACATTATGCTGATCAATACGCCTGTATAACGCTTGATACCCCTTCTCGCGTTCATTTGGTTTAGTTTTGCACTAATTAAAATGCATATAATATTAAAGTTTTATATAACCTGATAATTTAAACAACTGAGATGTATCCATTTTTATTTTTTTTTACTATCGTACAAAATCTTAAAGCCTCTCAAGATAATAAGATAATACTCATTATTATATGTCTAGTAAATTATCAGTACGCGCTGACACTGCGTGAGATGGAAACTTGTAACCTGTTGTCGGGTCCGTTTTTCTGTCATCATGCAACGATTTCCCGAAAGTGACTTCTATACACTTCTACATTAGAGCATGAATCTGGTAAACTAGTGGTTGATGTCATGACAACGATCCGCGCCGTCGAGGTAGGGTGACACACAACCTGTTACCATGGTTACACACCATAGTCACGTATTGACAAGCCTTGGGGATCGGGGACTCATTCTCTCACGAAATCAACACGCGAATTCATAGCATGCATAAAGTAAGATTATATTTCTGACAATGAAACATTAACATTTGCCCGATATACTTCTCCTTTCCACTTACAGCTGCGTGTGTGTAGGGTTAAAGGGCAGATCCGGCATTTTTAAAAAGGGAGGGGTCTAAAATTAACAAAATCCCTCTCAGATAATTGTACAGCCTACAATTAACATACTACATATTAAATTTTGTTTACAAAAAGGGGATCCGGACCGCCTGGACCATAGGGATTTATGGTAATGAACATGCCGACCAAGCAGCCAAAACTTTCACTAAAACTCCAAGAAATAAATCTAAATCTGCCCATTTCCAAATCAGAAATTAAAAGCATAACAAAACAAAAATCTCCAAAAAATGGCAAACAAAATACAAAAACTCAAACTGTCAGATAAAAAAAGTACTAAAAACCACCTAACTAAAGCCAACATTCTTCACCCATCCCAAAAAATCGACAGGGCCATAACTAAATTACAAACAGGTCACACCAAACTAAACAGCCACTTTCAAACACTAAAAATACACGCAACAGGCACATGCCCACACTGCACTCAAAAAGAAACCACAGAACATGCACTCATCCACTACCCACACTACAAGACACACAGAACAACACTCAAAAACACACTAAACTTAAACTCCGAGTTAACTCTAGAAAAAATCTTAAACCCACTAAATAACACATCCAACTTTAAAGCCTCAGGCAAATACCTAATTAAAACAGATCTTATTAACCGAATATAACCCCCAAATAATCAAAACAAAACAAATTCTTACAAAATAATACTTAATAAATAAACCAAACTCTTGGCATTCATTCCAAATCTCCAAATTTAAAAACTCCTATATAAGCAACCCCATAAACCCCCCTCCTGGGTTGCACAAATCCCTTCCTTCATATTTTTTGGCAAATACATTAAATGGCCTGGCGAGCCCGTGTGCGACATACGCTTGTAGTCGGAAAGCGCACGTAAAATCCCCAACCTCACTCAGTCAGCCTGGACACCGCTCTGGATCCGCCTGTGGGGGTCCCAAGTATACGTCAAGACGCTTTGGTTATGGTGCTATATGTTAAGACTCTTAACGTAAACGTTTTCATAGTTTATGAGGGGCGGTTGGGTAGTCTATAGTGGCTAAAGCGTTCGCTCGTCACGCCGAAGACCCGGGTTGGATTCCCGACATGGGTACAATGTGTGAAGCCCATTTCTGATGCCCGCCGTGACATTGTTGGAATATAGCTAAAAGCGGCGTAAAACCATACTCACTCGCACAGTTAGTTAATGACCGCATCAGTTATCTTTTAAAGCTCTGATTCGAAAGTTACATCACAAGCATATTGAACAGGAAAATAAATATTCACTCGAATGAAGTTGGTTATCCAGTATAAAATATAGTAGTATCGAGATATAATACACTGCATGGAGAATCGAGGATAGAGTGGACCATTACTTTTTTCGGTGTATCGTGAGTGAGTTGCGTTTAACGCCGCTTTTAACATTATTCCAGTTATATCAGCTTAATGTGGGAGGAAAGCCCGAAGTGATGCAGGTCTCAAACGTTTACCACTTCGATGAAACCCACGAGCACTGGTATGGTGCTGACAAACCTAGAAACATAATCGGGGTGAACCGGGATTCGAACCCACATTCATAGGATTCAGGCATGCCCAAGGGACGAAACTCTGCACAACGAATCGCGGCGCTTTAGACGACTAGCCAACCCGTGCCCCACTAACACGACTGAAAAAGGGGATGTATGAACACTATACCCAAGCCAATAACTGCACAAATATCATATGACACACAATAGGTAGACAGGCTGACACCCACCACTCACACAGACCCCTCTAGATTCAACACTTTTTTACACAGGTGGCAAAGTACAGTCGCGTGTGTGGTGTTGCGTTAGTCATTTGTGCCCGGAGCCACTGACCGTGGGTTCGATTCCCAGTTTCGTTCTAAGTTTATCAGTCCCGTATACATTTGCTCGTGAGTATCGTTAAACTGATAAAATATCACTTGTGGCTCTCTTCTCATGAGTCGAATATAGGCAAGCGATCCTGCCACGCCAAAGGGGTGCAACTCTGCACAGATAATTGTGGCGCGTTAGACCACTGGAACACCAGTGTCCTCACACATAATGCATGCTTAGTGACAGCTTTGCATTATGACAAGTTATACGAAGACGGAATCAAGTTGCTAATATGTTGGTTAGCCTATGCGTCACAAGACTGTTGGTTGGTTGGCTGATATCGGTGTAGCACCGTATGGCGCTGATCGTCACCAGGGGCTTTGATAATACCTATTTCTGGTTTGCGACTTTCTTTCGGGAACCGGAGAATCAGTGATCGAGATAATAATAGGTTATAGATTTTCTTCCTTAAATTAATTCGTGGTGTGATAAAATTAGAGAACAAATGCATAAAATGGGGACAGTCGGGTAGTCTAGTCGCTTGTCATTAGATTGCCCGACCGTCCCTTTTATAGAGTGGAAGTAATGCTGATATAATCTGTTCATATAAGGTACAAACTCTCGATTTTTCCTAATTAATTAGGTCATGAAATAAAATTAATTGATATTGTTAATGAAATGTACCATGTAGATGTAGATACTTGTTTATAGAATAAAGTGTATGTTACAAAAGAGTACACAGGGATTCAGATCGGTTAAATATCTTGGATATTGACATATTGTAATCCAAAATGTATCAAATTTGGTATTGATATACCAGATGTTCTATCAAAAGCTGATAAAATTATGACATTTGCTACTGCCATTTGTCTCTAAGAAGATCAATGCGTATATTTTAACCGTCCATGTTTTCGTGTCCAAAATCTGGGGTAACAGACGCAAATGTTTTTCGCGGTAAGCAAATCTTGAAGAGCGAGTTATCTCCCTTTACAAAATAAACTAAAATGTCGGCTTTCTGTTGAAAGTCGCCGACAAAGCTCCTGTAACTGGCGCACAAGAGATTCTCAAAGATCAGTAGATAAGGTAGGCCTATAAAACATGAACATACAATTAGGTAATACATTTTACTGTGTTTTGTTGGGCTAACGAAAAGCGTTTATAGATTCTTTGTTTTACGATTCAATATAATCAAAACGCATTTTACTTAATTGTTTTATTTTGACAATTTTTCATATCGTTTCATAGTGTTGTTTTGTTTAATGAGCATGGTATGCTTAGCAAGTTAACAACCGAAAAGTGTATGAGGAGCCAATATCACTTATTATTTCGGATAATTGCAAAATCCAAACATTCATCTTTTTATGTGGATCTAGCTTACATTATTATAACTTATCATGTTACCCTCAGTTTTGCTGAAGGGATGTTGTGGACACGGCTGCAGCAGATATGTACCCCGGTACTATTGATTAAGCTGACTAGCTCTGATATGTTAAGTGAAGCACTGTTAAATGCAGTGTTAAACTCACTAAGTCATTCACTGTGTGCTTTGTTTCAGCTGTGTCCAGTGGGTGACCAGGAAGAGCATGCCCCAAACAGAGATGGCAGTCGCTCAAGGGAACCCTGGTGGGGCGGGGACTATCTCACTAGCTACACTCATAGACTACAGTCTGCAGAGAACACACCATGAACTCAGTATCTTGTCGGAGTTGTAAGTTATTCACTTTCATTTCTGACATACTACACCCATGGGGATTACGGATGTGAATATCGGTCCCCAGTAACCCATGCTTGTCGTAAGAAGCAACTAAATGGATCAGGTAGTCAGGCTTGCTGACCCGGTTGATTGCATGTCATTTATCACAAATGCATCTGATTGATGTTCATGATGTCAATCACTGGATTGTCTGGTCCAGACTTGATTATGTCAATGCCTGATGTCAATGACAGCATACAGCTGGAATATTGCTGAGTGCAGAGTTAAACAAGAAACAAACAAAATATCTGTAATAGTAATTCTCTGAAGGGATAAATGTAGAAAACAAATTGACACAACTTGAATTTGAAATATTTGTAAACACAATATTTTGAGCTCAATATGTTATCTATATATATATAAGTAAGTGCTATTCAATCATGGGGGCGGTGGGGTATTATACACGAATAAATAAGTGTACATTGATCAATCGGAAGGGGTGCTAATGAGGATTGTTCACTAGCCAATATATTAGCAAATATCACCGTGGGCACTTATTAGAACGGGACGCTTATTACATCGAATACAGTATGTTGAGGATAAATTCAGTCCTTCCTTTGTTAATCATGATCATTTAGTAAAGTCTTAATCATTTACTCAAATGTTTTACTTGATGTACTGTTTCCTTCAGGTTACCACGGAAGACTGATATGGACAGGTAAGTTGACATTTCTTTTAATAATGGAAAAATGAATTGAAAGTGAACTGTTAATTCGATGCTTATGTTTTTGGATCATACAATGTCAGAATTTTGCATATAAGTTGAAATACGAAGCCAGTTGGAATTAATCTGTTATGGTCTCATTACCATGATCATACACAGAGAAACAAGCAATAGTAACTTTGCTTGTTTATTGTTCCAGGAAAATTGAGATATTCCAATTTGCCAACCGTACCCGTCAGTTGTTTGTGAGACTTCTGGCACTGGTGAAATGGGCAACTTCCGCAAGCAAAGTTGACAAATGCACAGTAAGTAATGTCCTGTTGAGGAAAAGATAATACACACGATTTAGAATCAGTATCGTGAGAACCATGAATACAACTATCCAATCTTTCTGTTTATATGTCTCTGATATACCTCACCTGTCAGGATTCTGGGTTAGAATTGGTTCCCAGCAACCATTGCCAATAGTAAGAGATGATGAATTGATTGGTGATCAGGCTTGCTGACTTGGTTGATGGCGTATCAGTGTACTCTGACATGTGGATCATTGCTCATAATATCATTCACAAAATTGTCTGTTCCAGACTTGACAGACAGGCCACAGTCATTTACCTTGACTATTGTGGAGTGTAATAGGGCTGGGACGGGTAACTTGGGTACCCGGGTCGGGTGGGTAGTGAGTAGGACCCGGGTACCCACAGGACTACCCAGACCCGTGGTTAGTCACGTGATATATTGTTTAATGACAAAATTTAACTCTATGGTTACACTACAAGTCACTAATTTCTTTTTGACTATGCACCCATTCCTTCTGATTTCTCATATGGTTGAATAAAGATATAACTTAATTCAACTTCAGTGTATGTGTGACCAGATTGTTTAAAACGTGTATCTAAATACAGTTTTCCAGGGCTATGCTAAGAAATGTTCCCAATCGGACATATTGAGACACCTCCTAAGATCTAGAGTGGGTACCCGGGTAGGGTCGGGTAATAGGGGGGTGGGTACCCGGGTAGTAAATTTGGACTCGTCCCAGCCCTAGAGTGTAATGTTAAACAACACGCATATACACACACCCACCCACCCACACTGTAATATATCTCTTCTCCCTTACAGGACATCTGCAACTTCTTGGAACAACAGTCTTTCTTCTTCGTGGACACTGCTGACCAGCTGGCTAAAGTAGCCAGGGAGACACTGGTCACTGCCCGGTCAGTACTCAATACAGGGAGCTTTGTATGCACTATGTTACCATTTACAGGGCACAACAGTTTTAAGCTCACCTGGACTCTTGGCATGATCTGTTACTGTGACCTGGTGTGGCATGCTTTCTATCTGCCTGTATCTACCCGTTATGGCAGCCATATTGAAAAATATTATCTTTTGAGCATGCAGGATTAAATTGAGGATCAAATTAGGAAAATGGTTCATGTGAGCCACATACTTATGTCATGTGATTTTGTCAGTTGCTATTTCTTCTGTTTTACTGATTGAACTGCTTCTGCTCACACATCTTTCAAATTTGTACATGATGTATATGTCACTGGTTACAACATCGTGAATAAAGAAGGGTTTTGTTTAAACGTTACAATTGGCCACAGAGTTAATGTTTATTGTATGTAGCCTTTGTGACCCTTTTCTGGTTCAGAATAGGCCCCCAGTGTGTTACGCCTGTCACGAGAGGCGGCTATGAGTATTGGGTGGTCAGACTGTCTCTTGGTCACATGTTGATCTGTGCTCATGCTTTCAGCCACTTGTTTACCTGGTACGTCTTGTATTATCTACAGACTGCAGTGTTATTGTTGATTGTAGTGTTTAACAGCATTCACTAATTCCTCTCTTCTAGTAGATATTTTCCATTTTTTTAGTTCTGTTACCCTGTATCTGATTCCTAATGATGTATGTGAAGAAGGATTCTTTTAAGAATTAAAATGACAAGTCCTTCAGCACGTTGCGGTGGTTGCATGTGTGACGTGGATGATTGTCATACATACTGGCTCCTGCTATCAATGTGATCAAGCACCTGTATGTCGCGGCCCCGTTCCACAACGCAACCGTACCGCTATGACAGTCATAATTCTATGTTAAAGTATAGGACTTATAATCACCTAAGAGCAATGATCTCTTTGTGGAAGGGGGCCCTTGACCACAGTAGATCTGTTACTCACATCCATGATTTCGCTGTATTGCTCAGTGTGACGTAAATTAATATTTACTCTTTTTACTGCAGACTGCCCAGTTTCTCTCTGCCGTGTGCTATCGATGTTCTCACCACAGGGACATACCCCCGACTTCCAACCTGTATCAGGGTGAGACTAAAAACATTTTCTTTACGGCAAGTCGTGACTGAATTTCATTCTGGCTCACGTAACATTGACTGCCTGCTGGTATTCAACTTCTGTCTTGGTTCATCTTGGGACCACATGGGTACAATGTGTGAAGCCCATTTTGGGTGTTCCATGTCGTGATATTGCTGGAATATTGCTAAAAGCGGCGTAAAACCATACTCACTCAGCTTGGGAACAGGACCAATCATAGTAGAGGTTATGAGTGATGAAATCCCTCTGACAAAATAGTGATATGGCAGTCTCTGTATTTATTGTGAATCATGTTGCTGCGAGGCCTTTGGTTTAGGCTGTTTTTTCATGATTTACAATATTTGTTATTTACTCATGTATACTACACAAAAGAAGTTTAGGGGCGGTTGGGTAGCCTAGTGGTTAAAGCGTTCGCTCGTCACGCCCAAGACCCAGGCTCGATTCCCGACATGGTTACAATGTGTGAAGCCCATTTCTGGTGTCCCCTGCCATGATATTGCTGGAATATTGCTAAAAGCGTTGTAAAACCTCACTCACTCACTCACTCACTCACTCACTCACTCACTCACTCACTCACTCACTCACTCACTCACTCACTCACTCACTCACTCACTCACTCACTCACTCACTCACTCGATTCTTTGCCATGACAGTTTCTTTATACTAATATGAATGAATTGGGAGTTTTTGAACTTCTTTTGAGCAGTATATTTACAAATGTGGGCCTATAACTTTCAAGGAAGGCAAGTTACATTTGAGAGTTACCAGCCTGCGTGGCTTGTTAGGAGTAAAGATGTTTTCCGACACTGTACAGCTCCCATGTGTGTAGTTGTCCTTCCATGCCTCCAGGACAAGATAGTACCACCGGACCCCATCACTCCCCAGGAGAAGAAGCAGACCCTGGACCGCCTGAACCAGGTGATCCAGTACCGCCTGGTGTCCTGCGAGCTGCCCCCACAGATGAGGAGACTCAAGATAGGTCAGTCCTAGAGCCAGCTCCCTCCACTCACACATAGAGAAGCACCTTGAAAGACATCACTTTGAAAGTAAAAGTAAAACAATTATACAGGATTGGCGACTACCACTTGTCCCATGACTTGTGTAGGATGAGATGGTAATGTGGCTGTTAACCTTCTAGCGCCTCACAGGCAGCTTGGGTAGTATACTCCCCAGGGAGCTGAGAATGAAAATCTAGTGCACACTGAACGTATTGACCGGGGGAATAATAGCGTAACACTACGAGCATCCACTTGGTGAATGGAATCTGGCGCATTATAAATGCACTTTTTTGACGAAATCTAGGTGTTTTAGACACAGCATGCACACTAGTCTGAGCTGAGCTGGATGTAACTCATGATGTCCACCATCTGAATGTTTGATAAAGAACACTTTCAAAATAATTAATTCAAGTTCACCGAAATGTTTGACTTGATATAGCTTGATCAGTAGCTGATCAGTGCGGACTGCAATAAAACTGAATAATGGGGACTGGAGTGTGCAGAAGTCAGAAATAGCAAGTTCTCAAAACAGGGAACCCTCATAAAGCATTTCAAGATGCCAGTAGTAAGAGCCTTGTAAGGGCCTCTGCAGAGGAGAATGTGTTGAGAAGTTGTTCAACATGTGGAATCACGATTATATCCATTACTTGAGCTATCAATCTCATTATTCGACCAATCAGAGCTTCACTTAAGAGATCGCAAAAGTGAAAGTCGGAATGTGTTTTTTAATTATGCAACCTTGAAAAGGTTAACAGGGGGCACTCTGAAGAACAGTTTAGGGCTGTATGACTGATTCTGTCAAAACCATTGTCCATTTCTTAGGGTAGGGACGATACACCAACTGTGCAATCTGATACATATCACAATCCCTTGGTCACGATTCGATACGTATCATGATACTTGCATGTGCTCTGTGGTGTGTAAGCCATCTTTGTCATAGACAGGATGGCTAAGTACCTGGCACACTAGCGATTTACAGTTGGCAGTGTCAAGTATGGCACAAAGGATGAACATATTTTTGTTTTCACTGCTCATTTTCACTTGTAATTAGTGTTGGTGTAACACTTATTAAAAAATACATTTACGGTTCAAATCGATTTTTTTTTTTTACTTAGCGTGTGATTGTGGTCAATACTTGTATAGAGAAGTAAAAGATCGTGATCCACCGATGTATCAGTGTATCATCCCACTAATCTCTTGCTTCTATGTGAAGGGACGGAAGGGACTTTTTGATTGGCTGATGTCAACCTCCTATTCGTCGTTTCATTTGATGGTGTACAATTGCGAATGTCAGTCTGATGTGACCTGTAATGGGATGTCCTAAGATCTTTGAGCAGTTGTAGTGAGCGCTAAGATCTGGTTTTAATGAGATTGGCTGGGTGTCAGTTCCACATGTTTCAGAATAAGATTGAATGTTTTATACTCAGTTCAACCAGAGTTTGCTGTTTTCTATGTTTCAGAAAATGGCAGGGTCAAATTCCTTGTAGAACATGAGTTTGAGGTGAGTTTATATGTTTCATTATTTTTGGAACTGAAATGAACTAGAGGGATCGAATATTTGTTCATGTTAATTTTGGATTAGGTAAGGATTTCTTTCAGTGCTCACTAGTAAGAATGAAAAGAAAATATAGTTGTTTTCATTTTAACATTTTACAATTTTTGCTGATATTTATAATCCCATTTGAAAGAGATTGTGATTAAGCTGTATGGTGATTGACAGGTGACCTTGACCTTGATGGGTGACAGCCCCACAATACCATGGCGATTACTTGATATTGATATCCTGGTAGAAGATCATGAAACTGGAGGTAAGGGTGTTTTTGTCACATTTCTCCATAGCAACAACATTTGATGATTTTGTGAAATCAGTTGATTTTTTTCGGACATTCTGGACATTAAAATAGTGTTCATATAGTCGAATGTGATGTCTTGTGATGTTACTGGCAGTACCTCTTGATGATTCCTGTGTTTCAGATGGGAAGTCCCTGGTTCATTCACTGCAGGTACGTGCCCCGTGATGAATGATTTCATGAATTTTCCTTTACACTCCAGTCAGTAAATGTACAGCTGTATAATTCTGGGTGTGAAGTGCAGGCCCAGTTCCACAATGCGATCATATCACAATGACTATCATAAGTCTATGTAAATCAGGGTGTTATGATCATCTTAGTTCTACGATCGGGGGGCACGGGTGGCCCAGTCGTCTAAGGTGCCGCAATTCGCTGTGCAGAGTTGTGTCCCTTGGGCACGTCAGAAACCTATGATTGTGGGTTCGAATCCCGGTTCGCCCCGTTTATGTTTCTAGGTTTGTCAGCACCATACCCGTGCTCGTGGGTTTCACCGAAGTGGTAAACGTCTAAGATCTGCATCACTTGGGGTTTTCCTCCCACATTAAGCTGACACGCTGTGATATGACTAGAATACTGTTAAAAGCGCCGTTAAACCAAACTCACTCACTCACTAGTTTTACTATTGTCTTAGCTCTTTGATCGCTTTGTGAAACGCAGCAAACCAGCAGTTTATAGCATTAGCATAACAGGATGTCAGGGTACAATAGACATGCTTTCTTAATAATGAAAAATAGATCTTTAAAGGAAATTGTTATGATAGCTGTACTGCATAATATTTCCTGTATGTTTGGTGCTATGTGTGTTCGACAATATCAGTCGGATTTGGTAGAAGGTCACTGTGGACTATTTTACTACATTGTATTAAGAATGTTTTAACTCATAACATTGTATGATCTGTAGGAATGTCATGCTACAGGTGTCACACGATACAATACATATCTTGATACAGAAGTCACGATACGATGCGTATCTCGATACTGCATATTCAAAATGTTGTGAGAAAACCCAGTCATTAGATTGAGAAGAGAGTCCATAGACAGACTCATAAAGGTAAAGAAGGACAACTGACAACTGACTTACACCCATCAACATGACACTGAGTCAAGCCAATTATTCTGTATGAGAAAATAATAAGAAACACGTTTACGTACTGTATTATGACAGGCAGCAAGGAAAAGCTGGTCAGAGGTCCAAGAAAGTTATGAGGAATTAATAATGTAGTTTGTACTTGCTTATTAATATCGATGTGAGATCAACAAGCAGAATCGATATGGGGTTAAATGTGAATCAATGCCAAATAAAGTGTATGGGACGTTGTTTTATGCAAAGTTTGCCGATGGTGTACCGGTGAGTCACGCCATCACTAATTATCTGCCGCAGATCCACTACATCCACCAGCTGGCACAGAACCGTCTCCTGGACAACGACAAGCCCCTACATGACCTCTACAAGGTGCTGCGTATCCTTCAGTTGCAGTGTGAGAACATATTTGGGAGGAAGTGTGTCATACAGCAGTTTGTTTACATCATGGTTGTCATGTTGTCGTTGGGATGGGGAAGGGGGGTGGGGGGGGTGGGTATGAGGAGGGGGGGGGGTCTATCAGGGTTAGGTTGTGTTTGAGAACGGAGGGTGGGGTGGTGTCTGGTAGGTTGGGTTGGGGGTAGGGGTAAGGGTGTATTTAATTCACATTTAAGAGGCTTCTATCAATGATTGGGAACACAGACGGCCCAGTCGTCGGATGTGCCACAATTTGCTGTGCAGGGTTTAGTCCCTTGCGCACGCCAGAAACCTATGATTATGGTTTCGCTTCCTGGTTTGCCCCGATTATGTTTCACACCTGTGCCTTGGGTTTCGCCAAAGTGGTATATATCTGAGACCCGCATCACTTCAGGTTCTCCTCACACATTAAGGTGACATACTGTGATATAGCTAATCTGGAATACTGTTCATAGCAGCATAAACCCAACTCACTCACTCACTCTACCTGTGGCTTGAGGTCTATCTCAGGGTTAGTGTGGTGTTTGATGTGAGGATGGGATGGTGTCTGTTGGGTAGGGGTAGTGGTATTGTAGTTATCAATAACTTCTGGCCTGAACCCGATTCTGATCTAGATCCCCACCGAAAATCTATTTGTGTATAGGGATATTTTCATACAGACCTATAAGGCCGCAGTAGATGTGGGCTAGATGTATGCATGACAGCTAATGTCACTAGAATATATTTACTATGCATACAATATCATAGACGTGCTGTTCAAATTACTGCTCTTCCTTAACTAGATGATAGATTCTTTTTGTCAGTCCCTGCAGCTCGAAGTGCTTCATTCCCAGGTGAGTGTCTCGCACTTGTTGTGGTCACATGCAAGGGGGGACAACTTATGTGTCATTATCTCCCTTGCACACTTTTTAATTGTACTCTTGAATAACATTACCGTTTTATGAATTATTTGTTAAAATCTTTGGTATAAGGGCAGACAACTCTTTCTTTTCACTCATTTTGAGATGAGTTTCAATTCTCCAATCTTATTTTTTATATAATCAATCCAATCTCTCAACATGCTCAATTGTCACTATTACGGATCATATTTATGTGAATCAAATGTATTCATGTATGTTACAGTTTGGAGACATACCAGTTTAAGAATCTTTTGTCTGATGTATCCAAATTTTTCAAGCCTATTTTTTGTTTAGACTCAGAGACTGATTCGCAACCGACTTGGTGATAGTGTTCGAGTGGAGGAATACACTCTCAGCAAGAGCCTGCTGACCTCATACTGGAGGTAAGCTGTCATAGGGGGTCCAACAAAACAACTTTGGCGCTACGTCTGTCGCAAGTTTATGTTAAGGGGGGGCACGGGTGGCTCACTCGTCTAAGGCGCTGTGATTCGCTGTGCAGAGTTGCGTCCCTGGGGTACGCCAGAAACCTATGATTGTATGTTTGAATCCCGGTTCTCCCTGATTATGTTTTTAGGTTTGTCAGCACCATACCCGTGCTCGCGGGTTTCACCGAAGTGGTAAATGTCAGACACCTGCATCACTTCAGGCTTTCCTCCCACATTAAGCTGACACGCCGCGATGTAACTGTAATACTGTTAAAAGCGGCATTAAACCCAACTCACTCATGTAGTTTACTGTGTCGGGAATAGTACGAGCCGCCACACACACATATGCATGCACTCTGCAACATGATCCCTATAATCTTGAACGCAACGTTAAATGCCATTTTACCTCACCTCACTTGCATGAACATCCAAACATAAGTCCAATAACCTTGAACACAACGTTAAACCCCGTTTCACCTCACCTCACCTCTCATTGATGTGTCGCTCTGATCAGCATTATCATGACAACTACACATATATGCAGGTTGTCCCTGCCTCTGTACTCTACCTCTGTAGTTCAGTGATCATCTACACTGATGTTTGTAAAGTTCACCCATCTCACCCCCAACCAATGCTACAACTAAGTGGCTACTTATCTCTGAAGGTTATCGTCTAGGACTGGTTTAACATAATTATTTCCTCTGTTACAGGGATCAGCTGAAGAAGGATAAAGATGGGACAGGTTTGTGTTCTATATTGTGTTTGTCATTATGTGTCAGCCGCTCCTTTGTATTCTTTGTTATCCGCAACTCCTGTCTGTGTATTGCGTAAAAGTCAATCATGATTACAGGTAACTGAAACATTAATTATCTCCCACCATGAATTGGAAGAGGGATATAGGAATGGGTGCTGTCCGTCCATCCGTCACATTTTGCTTACGGAGCACAACTAAAAAAACATGGTCCATAGATGGGTCTAATGGTGAACTGGTGCCTTTTGATATTTTGTGATTTTTGGAAAATGCATTTAGACTTATACAGAAAATGGCGGTAGTATTGGTGTGGGATATGAGTATTTCATGCTTGTTCAGACTTGGTCCAGTTCCTGCTAATCATGCGAATAGTTCAAATATTTTAACCCTGAGATCCTGGTTGTATCAGTATATCATATCTAGTGGTGTATTCCCTGCAGTGTATAAGCTGGGTGTCCATGTGTGAGATCCTCTTCTATCACTATATTGTATATCTAGTGGTGTATTCCCAGCAGTGTATAAGCTGACTGTCCATGTGTGAGATCCTCTTCTATCACTATATTGTATATCTAGTGGTGTATTCCCAGCAGTGTATAAGCTGAGCATCCACGTGTGAGATCCTCTTCTATCACTATATTGTATATCTAGTGGTGTATTCCCTGCAGTGTATAAGCTGACTTCCATGTGTGAGATCCTCTTCTATCACTATATTGTATATCTAGTGGTGTATTCCCTGCAGTGTATAAGCTGGGCATCCACGTGTGAGATCCTCTTCTATCACTGTATTGTATATCTAGTGGTGTATTCCTTGCAGTGTATAAGCTGGGTGTCCACGTGTGAGATCCTCTTCTATCACTATATTGTATATCTAGTGGTGTATTCCCTGCAGTGTATAAGCTGGTTGTCCATGTGTGAGATCCTCTTCTATCACTATATTGTATATGATGTGGTGTTTCTCTGCAGTGTATAAGCTGGGTGTCCACGTGTGAGATCCTCTTCTATCACTATATTGTATATCTAGTGGTGTATTCCCTGCAGTGTATAAGCTGAGCATCCATGTGTGAGATCCTCTTCTATCAGTATATTGTATATCTAGCGGTGTATTCTCTGCAGTGTATAAGCTGGGTGTCCATGTGTGAGATCCTCTTCTATCACTATATTGTTTATCTAGTGGTGTATTCCCTGCAGTGTATAAGCTGAGCGTCCACGTGTGAGATCCTCTTCTATCACTATATTGTATATCTAGCGGTGTATTCTCTGCAGTGTATAAGCTGGGTGTCCATGTGTGAGATCCTCTTCTATCACTATATTGTTTATCTAGTGGTGTATTCCCTGCAGTGTATAAGCTGAGCGTCCACGTGTGAGATCCTCTTCTATCACTATATTGTATATGATGTGGTGTATTCCCTGCAGTGTATAAGCTGGGTGTCCACGTGTGAGATCCTCTTCTATCACTATATTGTATATGAAGTGGTGTTTCTCTGCAGTGTATAAGCTGGGTGTCCACGTGTGAGATCCTCTTCTATCACTATATTGTATATGATGTGGTGTATTCCCTGCTGTGTATAAGCTGACTGTCCATGTGTGAGATCCTCTTCTATCACTGTATTGTATATCTAGTGGTGTATTCTCTGCAGTGTATAAGCTGAGCATCCACGTGTGAGATCCTCTTCTATCACTGTATTGTATATCTAGTGGTGTATTCCCTGCAGTGTATAAGCTGGGTGTCCATGTGTGAGATCCTCTTCTATCACTATATTGTATATCTAGTGGTGTATTCCCTGCAGTGTATAAGCTGGGTGTCCATGTGTGAGATCCTCTTCTATCACTATATTGTCTATCTAGTGGTGTATTCCCTGCAGTGTATAAGCTGGGTGTCCATGTGTGAGATCCTCTTCTATCACTATATTGTATATCTAGTGGTGTATTCCCAGCAGTGTATAAGCTGAGCATCCACGTGTGAGATCCTCTTCTATCACTGTATTGTATATCTAGTGGTGTATTCCCTGCAGTGTATAAGCTGGGTGTCCATGTGTGAGATCCTCTTCTATCACTATATTGTATATCTAGTGGTGTATTCCCTGCAGTGTATAAGCTGGGTGTCCATGTGTGAGATCCTCTTCTATCACTATATTGTCTATCTAGTGGTGTATTCCCTGCAGTGTATAAGCTGGGTGTCCATGTGTGAGATCCTCTTCTATCACTATGTTGTATATCTAGTGGTGTATTCCCTGCAGTGTATAAGCTGACTGTCCATGTGTGAGATCCTCTTCTATCACTATATTGTATATCTAGTGGTGTATTCCCTGTAGTGTATAAGCTGAGCATCCACGTGTGAGATCCTCTTCTATCACTGTATTGTATATCTAGTGGTGTATTCCTTGCAGTGTATAAGCTGGGTGTCCACGTGTGAGATCCTCTTCTATCACTATATTGTATATGAAGTGGTGTTTCTCTGCAGTGTATAAGCTGGGTGTCCACGTGTGAGATCCTCTTCTATCACTATATTGTATATCTAGTGGTGTATTCCCTGCAGTGTATAAGCTGAGCGTCCACGTGTGAGATCCTCTTCTATCACTATATTGTATATGATGTGGTGTATTCCCTGCAGTGTATAAGCTGGGTGTCCACGTGTGAGATCCTCTTCTATCACTATATTGTATATCTAGTGGTGTATTCCCTGCAGTGTATAAGCTGGGTGTCCACGTGTGAGATCCTCTTCGATCACTATATTGTATATCTAGTTGTGTATTCCCTGCTGTGTATAAGCTGGTTGTCCACGTGTGAGATCCTCTTCTATCACTATATTGTATATGATGTGGTGTTTCTCTGCAGTGTATAAGCTGGGTTTCCACGTGTGAGATCCTCTTCTATCACTATATTGTATATGATGTGGTGTTTCTCTGCAGTGTATAAGCTGAGCGTCCACGTGTGTGATGACGATGATGGCAAGCCGCTGCAGATCAGTCACAGTCCGCCCATGTCTCCGGACGACAGCAATAAAGTGGGACTGGCAATCAAGGTGAGGACAGGTTTACAGTACCGGTAGTCAGGTTAATATGACATTTTGAGTAGTGCATCTCACATGGAGGTCGTCACTGGCAGATGTCTTGATGGCTTGGTTTAATACCCATAGAAGCAGTTGAATCTCTACAGAAAGCTCACATGAGGTGTTGACTATTTCAGAGTGACCAACTGTCGATCGAGAAACTCCTCATGCAGACGATAGAAGTGAGGACCCATATCAAGTTGAAGGTATGTTCCTGGTTGCATTATCGTTGTGCTAGCAACAGGTGCACAACATCACATATTCTATTACTGATCTTTCTATGTTGACTTGTTAGTGGGTACTACTGGGGGACATTTTCTACCATTCCAATACTAGCCATTTCCAAGCCACATGTGAGTGAGTGAGTGAGTGAGTATGGTTTTACGCTGCTTTTAGCAATATTCCAGCAATATCATGGTGGGGGACACCAGAAATGGGCTTCACACGTTGTACCCATGTCGGTAATTGAACCCGGGTCTTCGGCGTGATGAGCAAACCACTAGGCTAACCGACCGTCCCGCTAGCCACAAGTCTAACATGTCAAGTAATGCTGTCGCATGTTTGCCTGGAAATGGCATCCCGACTTCTAGAAACCCTCATGTAATCTTCTTGTAACTAAACATGCTGAACAGGGACTGTTTCCAACATGAGTATTGGTATTAGGCTGGGACGATACACAGACTGTGCAGTCCAATACGTATCATGATACCTTGCTCACGATCCGATACGTATCACAATACTGACATGTGCTCTTATCTGTGGTGTGTAGCCATCTTTTCCATAGACAGGATGGCCATATATCTGGCACACAAATGATTTACATTTGGCAGTGTCAAGTACGGCGCAATGGATGAAAATATTTACGTTTTCACTACTCAGTTTCACTAGTAGTTTGGTGTAAGAATACACTTAAGGTAAGAATCGGTACTTTTTACTTAGTGTGCGATTATGGTCGGTACTTGTATTGAGAAGTAAAAAATCACCATCCACAGATGCATCAGTGTATCGTCCCACTCATTGTTATGTAATTGGCATCAAGTTAGTAGATATGTCAGTACTAAAAGTGTATTTTTGGGACCTGTCTTGTCTTAGGTGCCACAGTGTGCAGAGTTGTGTCCCTTATTCTCTTTCTGATTAAATCCTCCTTGGGGCACTTATTGCATTTTCCTTGCTCAAGAAAATCTATATGACATAGTTGTAACCATTTTCCTTAATAAAAAATGTTACCACACAAAAAACTTCGTTTTTGTATGATATACGACCACCCTTACGGGGCCTCACCCCCAACGGCGCCTCACGCCAGGGGGAGCAACTCTCACCCAAATCACTTTCCTTATGTCATCTGTAAGAGACAGACGTGTTGATTTTTCACACAAGACAAAAATAAGAGAAATCTATCGTTCGACAAGAACCATGGCTGACCAAACTGTATGTATGGTACATTTCTTTCTTTGCAAAGGCGTAATACCTCGCATTGTGAAGTTATAGAGTTGTAATAATACGCCACGTGCACGGTACCTTTGAATTCAAATGGCCGTAATGGCGTCCATATTGTAGTTCCACGGGCTGATACATGTAACACCAAGGCCATTAAGAAACGGCTTGGGGTTTTGTTATATCATACAGCATTGGTCTACAATTTTTTCCTTTACAAAACCCAAGGTGGTGTGTTAATTCATAAACTACACTTACCTTTTTTACGGGTTTTTACACCTTAGCGCGTAACACGCCCCTTTGGTGTTATAATTATACTACACATTGGCTATTAGTATCGCGTTACAAATCGCATTCTACATTACGCCTTTGCTTTTAGTTTCACAATTTATGCACGTTTCTTTCCGATCTTTATATCGCACTGATACACGTTGATACCCTTCCCGCCCACCTCAGAAATTACGGTCTTGTTTACAAGACCTTCAAACTGTGTACGGGTTGTTCTAAGACAGGCACGAACGCTGCCGAATATGTCTGGCGGAGGACATTGCCTTTACCCCCCGGGGCCCCCAAAAGAGACAAGTTGACTTGTTCCACTTTAAAGAGGTCTATTAAAGGCGGGGGTAGATATCAGATCTACTAAGACATCCCCCCCTCCCCATCTAAAAAGGGTAAAAAAGCTGCCGAGATTGTCTCCCCCGCTCCCTCTCCGGGGGCCGGGGGAGAAGGCTCGAGGGTCCCCGTAATAAGCACTGCACCCTCTCCTGCACTGTCTTTGGCAGACTTTTCTGCGTTACTTAAGTCGCAGATGGCGTCGATGATGGAGGAGGTAAAGTCTCAGCTCCGAGAGGAGATACGGACCGAGCCTTCCCCGTTGTCGGCGCCGGACGCGGCTTCGAGACCTTGTGATATGCCCGGCGTCGGCCGAGGCAGGCAACTTGGTCTCGGGGACGATCTCAGACCGGGCTTCGGCGCCGGCTCGAGGTCGCTCCCCAGCGGAGGGGTGGCGGGCGCCGGCCCGTGCACTACCGACGCACAATTTTTCCCTAGCGGAGCCAGACGCCTCTTCCGAGGCCGAGGCTTTCACTAGTGGATACCTAGCCCGGAGCCAGGTTGGTTCCCTTTGTCTCGGGGACGATCTCAGACCGAGCTTCGGCTCCGGCTCGAGGTCGCTCCCCAGCGTTGTGGTGGCGGGCACCGGCCCGTGCACTACCGACGCACAATTTTCCCTAGCGGAGCCAGACGCCTCTTCCGAGGCCGAGGCGTCCACTAGTGGATACCTAGCCCGGAGCCAGGTTGGTTCCCTTTGTCTCGGGGACGATCCGAGACCGAGCTTCGGCTCCGGCTCGAGGTCGCTCCCCAGCGTAGTGGTGGCGGGCACCGGCCCGTGCACTACCGACGCACAATTTACCCTAGCGGAGCCAGACGCCTCTTCCGAGGCCAAGGCTTTCACTAGTGGATACCTAGCCCAGTGCCAGGTGGGTTCCCTTGAACCTCCGGCACCTCGGCACCGGGACTCGGCCTCGGGCCGGGTGCAGAGACACGTGCGGGACAGGATTGTCCATGTACTGCCTCAGGTTGCTGCGCCCATGCCAGAGTCGGAGACACCCAACTTGACTAAGGTCAAGCAGGGCCGGCGGTTGCCCCCCCTTTCCCGTGTGCGGTGCGGAGTTGAAGGCTGCTTACATATGCTTCGAGGAGCAATATCATAATGCATGCCAACAGCTCCGTGTGTCCGTACACTCCGCGTATCTGTCGGCTGTACAGAGGGAGTTAGCGGGAGAGGGGCCGGCCGACTCTTCGGAGTTGGCCGCGCAACTAACATTATCTTGCGCGGGACGCTATTCGTAGCTGTGCATCGCAGATGATGTGCGCTGTTATGTGCATGCGCAGGCGGTGGATGTCGGTATCTAAATACTCGACTTACACACGCCAAGACCTACTTGCTTTGCCGTATAAGAGGGTGCCACCCTCTTCCCTGGGGCTCAGCAGGCGGTCCGAGAGGCTGCTCAATTGTATACTTCCATCAAAGACTCATAAGGCCTTGTTGGAGGTACCAAGCGTTAAAACCGCGTAAGCGGGCCTCTCCAATTGTCCCCTCCTACGCTAACGCACGGGTCAGACGTCCACACCTGCTTGGAAGCCGCCGCTTCCTTCAGGTATAAGGGCGCCGTGAGGAGCAAGAGAGGCACGGGCCGGGGCAAGGCAGCTGGTCGAGGCCAACAGCTTTTTCGCGGGGCTGGGAACGATGGGTTCCCATTAGCGCCCGAAGAGCCCCGGGTGAACCCATAGTCGCAAGTTATCGGGAAAACTCATCCGCTCCTCCACTTTTCCGGGATAAAGCACACACCGGTGCCTGCTACCCGAGAGAAGGCGGAATTCCTCCGTGCCGAGGTCGACGCACTTCTTATGAAAGCTGCGATCGAACCGGGTCCCGAGGGACAGGAAAGCGAGGGCTTCTACTCGACTTGTTTCCTAGTCACCAAACAGTGATCTCAACTGTCGAGACAGGAGAATGGCTAACGTCAATAGACTTAAAATACGCCTATCTCCACATACCAATACATCCAGAGTTCAAGAAATACCTGAGGTTTTCTTTCGACGGGAGGTGTTATCAGTTCAGGGTTCTACCATTCGGGATCTCCACGGCCCCGAGGGTGTTCACCAAGCTGATGTTGATTCCCGCCCAAGTGGCCAGGTCAAAAGGTCGGTTCTGCCATCCGTACCTCGACGACTGGGTTACTAAGAGCTCTATTGCAATCCCTGAGTCAGATAGCTACACAACAAGTGATAGATATTCTGATCACTCTAGGGTGGATGGTCAATCTCAAGAAGTCAGATCTGAGCCCCACTCAGAATCTAGTCTTCCTAGTGGCTAATTTCAACACGGTGAGAGGACGTGTATCTCTGTCACAAGATATCAAGTCCCTTAAGCGCAAGTCACACTGCTCGTACATGGCTCCAGTTACTGGACAACATGGCGGCGACAGTGGATTTGGTCTGGCGGGCGCGCTTGAGAATGAGTCCCATTCAACAAGCACTCCGTCGACTTTGGGCGAACTCGGAAGATCTCGAGACTGTGCTCGAGACTCCGTAGTGGCTCATTACACACCTCCAGTGGTGGACCGAGGTCGGGAATCACTCCCGTTCCGTCTCTCACAGTTCAAACAGACGCGTCACTCTCCGGCTGGGGAGGCGTTCTGAATGATCACACTGCCTCGGGACTATGGTCCCAGCAGGAGATCAAACTGCATATCAATGTGCTAGAACTGAGAGCGGTCAGGTTGGTGTTCCAACGCTTCCCGGATCTGCTTCGTGGCCAAGTGGTTCGTCTAGAGATGGACAACCAAACGGCGATGACTTACATCCGGAAGCAGGGGGGAACGGCGTCTCCGTCGCTTCGACGAAAGACGTGGCAGTTCCTACTATAGTGCGACTCTCACGATATCAGGGTGCTACCTGTTTATCTCCCGGGGGTGGACAACGTCCGTGCGGACGCTCTGTCTTGCCGGATCCTCGCTCCTCACGAGTGGAGGCTCGACCCGGGGATATTCGGGATTTTCTCCCTGTTATACAGGTCGTTACAGGTGGATCTGTTTGCGTCTGGGTTAAATAACCAGACACCAACGTTCTGCTCCCGAGTCCACGACCCGAGGTCGGTGGCACCGGACGCCTTTCAGCTAGATTGGACGGACAGTTCTGTGGGCATTCTCCCCAGTACCTCTGATTTCCAAGGTCCTGTCTCAGCTAGGCACTCAGCCTGCGCGACTAA